AATGAAGTGTCAGAAGAGGCTGAATCCTGTCACTAACTACACAACAGAAACAGCTTTTGCAAGTTAAGAAGAAAGCGGAATACAGTGGTACCTCAGGTTAAGAACTTAATTCGTTCTTGTGGTCCGTTCTTAACCTGAAACTGTTCTTAACCTGAGGTACCACTTTAGCTAATGGGGCCTCCCGCTGCCACCGTGCTGCCGCCGCACAATTTCTGTTCTCCTCCTGAAATAAAGTTCTTAACCCAAGGCACTATTTCTGGGTTAACGGAGTCTGTAACCTGAAGCGTCTGTAACCTGAGGTACCACTGTAGCTGCTCAAGCCTTCAGCGAAGTAAAGAAGAAAGCCACTGTAAATGTGACAATCTTGGGGCAACTATTAGAGACTGCGATTCCACGTCACAACACAATGCAGCAATCCAGGACAGATTGATTTCCAAGTCCACTGTAATGTGGATTAGGTACTTGGAACTGATTCCGAGAACTGTACACAGTTTACTTACAAAATCTGAAGTTTACCAAGTGATGACTTCATTTTGTTCAGCGGGGGAATCAAACTGATGAATTCCTAACATTAGCACCACTCCCTGAAGAACTCACAGCTTAGTATAGTAAGGAGATGGAAGCTTTTACAGACCATTTCACAGGAAATAAAAATGTGATCTGAGCGGGCTAAATTTAATGTCTGCTGTCAAGGGTCCTTGCAAACTGTAGGCAGTTTTATCATTTATTTACACACACATGAATAATCCCGCATGTTATTCTCATATCAGATTTTAATTGTGGGCCATCTTGAACTAATCTTAATGATGACAAGTTGTCACAACAACTGGATCCTGTGTTAGTTTTCCAAAAGACCATTACACAAGTTCAGCAGCAGCAAGAATAATAACCTTTAAATTAGTCTTCAACCTCATAAGGACACCACAGATTTATGAATTACAGAGCAAGCCTCTACATGCTTACTCTGAAGTAAAACCCCACTGAGTTAAAATGGTCTTTGTCTCTTGTAGGTGTTTATAGGACCAGTTTTTCATGGTCAACATATTGGAGACATTAGGAAACTTTTCAAAACTAAAAACTTAACATAGGCAGATGAACACACATTGGTTAGCACAATGAGTGGCTTCCACATAATTAATCTAAACAAAATAGACATAATAAAGGTTACTTGGGGGAGGGTGCAGTAAAAATCCCAACGTTTGCCTGCTCAGCCAGAAAAGTAATATTCCAAAGTTGCAGAAAATGGCCACATTCTGTGTTGACAGAGCATGTTGTCCTCCTTGGACCCTTTGTGGGAGTCTTCCTCTCATTATTTTTTCCCCCTATATACAGTGGTAACTTGGTTCTCAAACGCCTTGGTTCTCAAACGCCAAAAACCCAGAAGTGAATGTTCCGATTTCCGAACGTTTTTCAGAAGCCAAACGTCCGATGTGGCTGTCAGCTATTGTTTCCAGGGCACCTTCACCAACCAGAAGCTGCGCCTTGGTTTTCGAACATTTCGGAAGTCAAATGGACTTCTCGAACGGATTCAGTTTGGTGTTCTTGTTTTTGCTATTTATTTTGCGTTTTCGTTTTTGAGGCTTTTTTGGTTAATCTGTTTTTGTGACTGTGTGGAACCCAGTTCAGCTACTGATTGATTGATTGATTGATTGATTGATTGTGTGACTGCGGAAATGGATAAAAGTCTGCCATCCAAACAATGACTATCATCAGTGCAGGTAAGAAAAAAAAAACTTTAATTTTTATCATCTTCCATACAGTCTTACTCATTTTACAGTACAGTACATTGATTATTACTTTCATTTCATGGATCCAAAGTTTTGTTAATTATTCACGTTCTATGGGGGAAATTCTGAGTTTTTGCTGAAACAGCTACTATTATTCCTCTTGGTTGTGACCTGTCTAAATATTTCTCAAAGCTGGAAAGATGCTTTGACCTTTGCTTGAGATGCGTGGTACAAGAAAGCCTTGCTTCTCATCACCCAGGAAAATCCCACACATGATCTTAGGGCTACCAGGGGCAAAGCATCCTCAGATGATTTTGCTGCAGTGCGCTGACCTTCATATGACCTACATGAACAAACACATGATAAACTGCTTAGTCCTGCCAAGTATGACTTCATTTTGGAAGAACTACTGAGTTGCATTCTTGTTTGGGCCCCTCGGTGCTCCTCAACTGTACGTCTGTTCGTATTGTTTCCCACTTGTGACTTGTGCTATAATAGATATGTTGTTGTTGTTCTTTAGTCGTTTAGTCATGTCCGACTCTTCGTGACCCCATGGACCAGAGCACACCAGGCACTCCTGTCTTCCACTGCCTCCCGCAGTTTGGTCAAACTCATGCTGGTAGTTTCGAGAACACTGTCCAACCATCTCGTCCTCTGTCGTCCCCTTCTCCTTGTGCCCTCCATTTTCCCCAACATCAGGGTCTTTTCCAGGGAGTCTTCTCTTCTCATGATGTGGCCAAAGTATTGGAGCCTCAGCTTCAGGATCTGTCCTTCCAGTGAGCACTCAGGGATGATTTCCTTAAGAATGGAGGCGTTTGATCTTCTTGCAGTCCATGGGACTCTCAAGAGTCTCCTCCAGCACCATAATTCAAAAGCATCAATTCTTCGGCGATCAGCCTTCTTTATGGTCCAGCTCTCACTTCCATACATCACTACTGGGAAAACCACAGCTTTAACAATATGGACCTTTGTCGGCAAATAGAACCATAGAATTGTAAAGTTGGAAGGGACCTAGAGAGTCATCTAGCCCAACCCTCTTGCATTGCAGGAATCTCAACATGCGGCCCCTCCCATCCGATTTGTAACCATACCAGACCCTGCTTAGCTTTGCAAATGTGCCTGCAGCTTTACTGCTGCGCCACTAATATAGTTTTAGATGTCGCATTTTCTCTGTTCTGGAGGCCCGCTTCGGTTGGTTTCTTCTCTATATTCATACCCTTGTTTACGTAAATAAACATTATGAAATAAAAGATGATTGCTGAGTTGTCTCACCTTGAGATCCTATGGGAATCTTCAACATAGAGACTATTTCTGCAATTCAGCAGCACAGATGCTTTAGCTGGGATTCCAGCATTGGACTAGAAATCAGTGGTATCCAAACTTTTTTTCAAAGCGGCCCTTCACTTCAAAGTGATGAAGTGAAGGGCCGTGAGGGCCAACCAAAGTTGCTGAGCTTTTTTTAGGATTGAAATTGTTGAGCTTTCTTTTAGGATTTTACCCCCAAAGTTGTTAAACTTTTTTTAGGATTGCAGTTCTTGATTGAAGTTGTTTTGAGTTTTTGGGGGGATTTTACCCCACAAAATAAGCTGCCACAGGGGCCGGATTAAAAAAAAGGGCCCAAAACAGACTTTGGACATGCCTGGACATGCCTGGACTAGATGATACTTGGGGTCTACAATTCTATGATAATCATGGAAATCTGGGAGAAATTTAAGAGAATGCTTAACCCCCACCCCGGTTTATTAACTTAATTTAAAATAGCATTACAAGTGTAAAAAGCACAAGGTAGCAAGGCTCAGACTTCGAAAGAATGAACAGGCCTTTGTATTCCAAGCACAAATCCTATCGTAGCCTCTTGTTGGTTCCCAGTGGTTCATTTCCACAGAATCCTCTGTTCTACTTCAAGGCGGTACGAAGATCACTTTAGTAACTCCGGGAATGTCAATTTCTTGCCCACCGAAGGCCTTCAAGGTCACTTTTCTCTCCTCGGTGTCGTTTTTAAAGAAAGCTCTACTTATAAACAGGAGATTCCTTCTCGTCCTGCTCTCAAAAAGTCATACAAGTTTATTCTTTTAAATTAATTTAAACCAGATGTGTTCACTGCTTGGAACTGGAGCAAGGAATGTCAAGCTGCTGCTGGTTGTCATATATCGAGCTCTTTGGAATTATGAAGAATGGTTAGGCAAAGTCCTTTCCCTTGATCGCTCTCCGCATCGCAGCAGGGGGAAGCCGACGGAACACAGAGGCATTTCTCTCGCTTACAAAAGGATTTTTTTTCCAGCAGTTTGATTGCAGAAACGAGGAGGGGGCATACAGGGCGACATTGCGTTCCTCTTTTCTCCTTATCCTCTTTACAACTGCTTGTATCAAAACAAGTGCAAACCCTACTGTAGTATAAACAATGCTTGCACAAACTACATTAGGATGGATCTGTGGAGGAAGCTGGTCTCCTCTCAGTGCGCATTGGACATCTCTGGATTGAGGTGGCGGCAGGGGGAGGAATAGAAGAGTGTGCAAGATGTCTGTGTCTCTGTTAACAATATTAGTAGTAGTGTTTATCCCCTAGAAGTGAGCAGGCAGACTATCAGAGTGTGTGTGTATGGATAAAAAAGTCGGGTGCCACCCCCAGCCTCTGCAAGACTCCCAGGGGTTCCAGACACTCACCCAGTGTCTGTGTTCTTTTAGAGCATGGGTGGGTTAAGAATTTTGCTTCAGGATGAGAACAGAAATTGTGCTCCAGTGGCGCAGCAGCAGCAGGAGGCCCCATTAGCTAAAGTGGTGCTTCAGGTTAAGAACAGTTTCAGGTTAAGAACGGACCTCCGGAACGAATTAAGTACTTAACCCGAGGTACCACTGTATATATATATATATTAAAGCAAGAAGATCAAGGGACGAACCTGGATAGCTCAGTTCTTTAGAGCATGGGTAGGCAGACTAAGGCCCGGGGGCCGGATCTGGCCCAATCGCCTTCTAAATTTGGCCCGCGGACGGTCCAGGAATCGCCGTGTTTTTACATGAGTAGAATGTGCCCTTTTATTTAAAATGCATCTCTGGGTTATTTGCGGGGCCTGCCTGGTGTTTTTACATGAGTAGAATGTGTGCTTTTATTTTAAATGCATCTCTGGTTTATTTGTGGGGCATAGGAATTCGTTCATTCCCCCCCCCCCAATATAGTCCGTCCCCCCACAAGGTCTGAGGGACAGTGGACCGGCCCCCTGCTGAAAAAGCTTGCTGACCCCTGCTTTAGAGAATTGAGACACAGCGGAGATGGTCTTGCTCTAAGAAATATGGTTTATTCACCTATTTACACCTGCATGGAGGGAGTCCAGATCGTACAGCATGGTCAAGAGGGGCTTGTACCCCACAGCAGTGCAGCCAGCCTTCAGCCAGCCTGCCCAAGATGGATCCCAGTCTTTCTTTCTTTCTCCTTCTCCTCTTCAGAACACCCTGCTAAAAACACTCTTTTCCTATCACTTCACACCCTGGCTACCTTCCAAACCCCGTGTCTCTGTTCACACCACCACAGCAAAGACGAGAAGTGGGTCTTGAAGTCTGGGCAGCCCAGGACCTCCAAACACACTGCCCAGGCTTGCGTCCAGAGGAGGTTCACTTCGGTGCTGAATATCCAAGAGATTTGATTTCACACTCCATCATCTCTCAAGACGGAAGGATGACAACCACAATACAGTGGTACCTTGGGTTACATACGCTTCAGGTTACATACACTTCAGGTTACAGACTCCACTAACCCAGAAATAGTACCTCGGGTTAAGAACTTTGCTTCAGGATGAGAACAGAAATCGTGCTCCGGCGGCGCGGCGGCAGCGGGAGGCCCCATTAGCTAAAGTGGTACTTCAGGTTAAGAAGAGTTTCAGGTTAAGAACAGACCTCTGGAACGAATTAAGTACTTAACCCGAGGTACCACTGTACATGTGTGTGTACACAAACCAGCTTCCAGACAGAGAGAAAAAATGTGAAGACAACTTTTCATTTAAAGAGTCCTCCTTGTACCACAGACACCTGGGACATAAAGGAAGATCACACAACCTCTCTTAGCCCTCTCAGCAGACAAGCAGAAAGTTGCCAGCAATTGCCATGAAGGGGTGCTGTGAAGAGTCATAGAGCCATCAAGAAGGCATTGCGCGCTCTTCTCCACTCCCTCAAGTACATCTGAATCTCTACTGCATCTCCTAAAACAGGTGGCTTTGCTGGGACTACAACTCCCATAATCCCCAACCACTGGCCTGAGAGATGGAGGGAGGTTGAAAATAGCTCCTGAAGGACTACAGGTTAGTCACCCCTCCCTTGTACTGCAAAGGCACATCCAACCTTGAGGACAGAGGACATTTTTCACCAAACGCAAGTAAGATCGTACAGAAAAAGACAGACAAAAACTCTGATCTAGACAACACGGCCTCCAGCTTTTTTTTTTTATTTTCTTCAAATTTAAAAATTGCTTGGCAATACTACTGACGAAACACAGGAGTGTTGCTTCAGGTGTCAGTGAATCCTTGGGGGGAAAAGAGAACAGCTTTTTGTACACTGTTTGGGCTCTGACAGGAAGTGGGCAAGCAACATGGCAGCACAGCTGAAGACCACATTCAAGAAAGGCCACCAGTGTAGGGGGTCTGGGTATTTGTCTTGTTTCCTCCAAGAGCAGTCTTTTCAAATGTGCTTCCAGAGGGTTGCTTTGAAGAAAAAATGCGGTAGTTCTAAAGGGAAAAGGTCACACGAGAGCTTTGTGTTCCCCTTTCGGTTCCCGTTTGGGGCAGCGGAGAAAGGAGGCCTTTCGGTAACAGAGGGGAATTCGAAACCGCACGCCAACTTTTGACCCTTGCACAGCGCAGGAACGGCAACAAAAGAAAATATCCCGTGAAGAAAGGTGTCTCTGAGGCCAGCCATGGTGGAGGAGGTGCCTTTAAGAGCTGGCATTGCACCACTACACCTTTTGGTCTTGAAACGTACATAGCAAGTTGTCCAGATATGCCCAAGGCTGGACCGCGTGATGGTGCTGTGTCCAGCCACCGTTCTTGGCAGACGAGGAGGGCTCACCGGCGCCTGAAGGCTCGCGATATTCTCCAGGCGTTGGGCTCTTCGTAGCGGTTGTAAAGGGGCTCCAGACGCTGCTGTTTCTTCTGCTTGCTCAGTTTTGTGGGGTCAGAGACCTTGAAGAAGGCAGGGGCGAACTCCACCAGCCAGCGGGGATCGATGGTGGTGACCTCCCGCATATACTCTTTAGTGGTGAGCACCAGCTCATGATATACAACCCTGCAGGACGAGAAAGGGGGACGGGTGAATTAGGACACCCCTCTCTCCCCAGAATGCGGCTCACTCTAAAAACCCTTTCCTCTATGTGCAATATGAAGGCACATCTCCCTACACCAGGCATGGTCAAACCTGGGCCTCCAAAATATAAGATAAAAAACAAATAAAATAAAACCTACATACAGCAACAGTGTTTTGTGTTGTGTAGGCTCCTATGATGTAAGTAATGGGCCCTGCCTGCTAGCCTTCTCCCTAAAATATCACTGGTTCGCTCATTTCTAGATATAGGGTGCCTATATTCTGCATGAACTGGCTGCATGGCAATATATAGCATGCAGCTGCAGAATGCAGTGCAGCACAGTTGAATGTAGGTCAGGCTGTTGTGTCTAATATTAAAGAGTGCTTGTAGACTGATGATCAGGCAGCATACACTAAGGGTGTGAGTCTTATGCCTACTGATTGATTTCATGTAATACATAATTAATTTTGATCCCATTATGGCTTTAGATACCTATTAGGTCCATAAATGACAATTCCCATCATCCCTGACCACTGGTCCTGTTAGCTAGGGATGATGGGAGTTGTAGTCCCAAAACACCTGGAGGGCCAAGTTTGGCCATGCCTTCCCTACACCAAGGGTAACTATAGGGCAGTGTTTCTCGAACTGGGGTCCCCAGCTGTTGCTGGACTACAACTCCCATCAACCCTTGCCACTGGTCCCGCTGGCTAGGGATGATGGGAGTTGCGGTACAACAACACCCGGGGACCCAGGTTTGAGAAACACTGCTGTAGGATCAACAAGAACGAGGACATAAATCAAACAGAGCTTGCAAGGTGACAGCTGGTTTGGAATCCCTCCCCCAAACAAATTTGGCGTTGAAATATGACAAGACAAAAGCATGTGTATTTCAAAAGGTCTCCAGGTGTGACAGGAGCAAATTCCCACAGGGCTAAGATACCGTATATTTATTTTAAAATGCATGCCACACTTTTATTAGTATTCACTCTGCTTGCCAACCCCCTACTCCCTCCTCCTGTAATGCTTAGACCAGGACTAGGAAAGCATTTTGGCTCCACAAGACAGACCCTTATCAGGATTTGCCTTGCGGACCAAATTTGACCGTTCGGCGTCACCACCCACCTGTCAATTAAGTGACATCGCAATTGGCGTCGTGCTTTGAAGCCTCAGAGTTGGGACTTCAAAGCACTCTTGCAAGGAGCTTGAAGGCCCTGACTTCAGGACCTTAAAGCCTAGCAAAGCAAAGCGTATGGGGTGTGCAAGGGATGAAGTTCTCTTGCACACCCCAATCAAGCTGGGTTGATTTCCCTTTGTACCAACTGATGTGCAGGGGGGTCAATCCTACTTAGCATCTTCCTTCCAAAAATTTAGGGGGTGGGTAATGCTTTGCGGGGGATGGGGAGCTTGCTTTGGTGACAGGGAGAGGCCGCCGGGACAACATAACACCGGTCCTGAGAGATCTGCATTGGCTCCCAGTACGTTTCCGAGCACAATTCAAAGTGTTGGCGCTGACCTTTAAAGCCCTAAACGGCCTCAGTTCTGTATACCTGAAGGAGCGTCTCCACCCTCATCGTTCAGCCCGGACACTGAGGTCCAGCGCTGAGGGCCTTCTGGCGGTTCCCTCATTGCGAGATGTGACGTTACAGGGAACCAGACAGAGGGCCTTCTCAGTAGTGGCGCCTGGCCTGTGGAACGCCCTCCCATCAGATGTGAAGGAAATAAGCAGCTATCCTATCTTTAAAAGACATCTGTAGGCAGCCCTGTTCAGGGAAGTTTTTAATATTTAATGCTGTATTGTTTTTAACACTCGATTGGGAGCTGCCCAGAGTGGCTGGGGAAACTCAGCCCTCAGCCAGATGGGCGGGGTATAAATAATAAATTATTAATTATTATTATTATTATTATTATTATTACATGCCACTTCCCAGGAGTGCAGTCAAATCAAGTCCTTTGCAAGCCTCCCCATGTGGTTCTGTTCAACAGCAAATGGGGTTGCCCCACCAGGCTAAGCCCATGAGCTCCCCCTTAACTTTCAACTGTGTCATACAAACATCCCTTTTCTTGGTAGAAACAATGACGTCCGGCAGCCCCAGCCTCCTTACCATTCAGGCTGGCGGTTGAAGAGGGCACTTGAGGGGTGGATGTAGACGACCTGCTGGTCAATCAAGGTCCGGTAGCCCTCTTGGGGATCCTTCTTGGCGGCATTCCGGAAGAAACCGCTGCAAATGGCTTTCTGGACGCGTACGGTGGCTTTTCCACATGACACTACGTCCAGCTTGTGCCTGTCCAACCAGAGGAGTGGGGGAAGAGTTTAGAACAGAAGCTTCAGTTGATGCAAATCCAGGCTGCCCTACACCCAAGTCCACACACAAACGCCACAGCTAAAACTTTGCTGTGATCCCCAGGAAAGCGCTCTGCTCGAAAGAGAGTTTTGCCCAGCTCAAAAACTCACGTTCAGCTTTTTGAACATTAGATTATCTTCGTCAGGTGCACTATTTCTGCTGCTCTAGTGCTTAGCGGTAGGGGAGGGAACAGGTTAAGTATTGCCTCCTACCATGAGCGGGACGCGGGTGGCGCTGTGGTCTAAACCACTGAGCCTCTTGGGCTTGCCAATCAGAAGGTTGGCGGTTCGAATCCCCGCGACGGGGCGAGCTCCCTTTGCTCGGTCCCTGCTCCTGCCAACCTAGCAGTTCGAAAGCACGTCAAAGTGCAAGTAGATAAACAGGTACTGCTCCGGCGGGAAGGTAAACGGCGTTTCCGTGCGCTGCTCTGGTTCGCCAGAAGCGGCTTAGTCATGCTGGCCACAAGACCCGGAAGCTGTATGCCGGCTCCCTCGGCCAATGAAGCGAGATGAGCGCTGCAACCCCAGAGCCAGTCACAACTGGACCTAATGGTCAGGGATCCCTTTACCTTACCTACTATGAGCACATTCCTAATTAAGACTAGGGCTGGGCAATGTCTGGCTGTGTGTTTGCCTCCTCGCAAGCGAGCGAGGCAGGCAGTCTCTGTCCTCCCAACCGACCACTGGGGAGGAAAGAGACTGGCCGCCCACCACACTTGCTCACAGCCAGGCAGGCAGGCAGACAGGAGAGCAGGTGATTTGAGCTGAGAAGACATCATGGCGCTGCCAGCACAGTGCAGGTAGGCAGGCAGGCAGGTGTGTTGGCGGTGGCCGGGGAGCTACTATGTATTGCCAGCTCAAAAAGTCTGAAACCAGTACAGTGGTACCTAGGGTTACATACGCTTCAGGTTACATACACTTCAGGTTACAGACTCCGCTAACCCAGAAATAGTACCTCGGGTTAAGAACTTTGTTTCAGCATGAGAACAGAAATCGTCCTCTGGTGGCGCGGCGGCAGCAGGAGGCCCCATTGGCTAAAGTGGTGCTTCAGGTTAAGAACAGTTTCAGGTTAAGAACAGACCTCCAGAACGAATTAAGTACTTAACCTGAGGTACCACTGTATCGTGATCTGAACATCATACGGGTTTCGGATAATGAAGTGAAAACCGGCCAGCTCTAATTAAGACTCTGCAAGGCTGAGATGCCTTTGGGAGCACTGACACACAGAATGGATGCTTCCCCCATTGTCTCCCCTGCCCCAAGGAAGCAATAGAAAAAGAAAATTAAAATACAATTAAAAAATCCATATGAGCACTGAATGTAATGGGTGTCCCGGCTCCCATCTTCAACCACGAATCCACCAGCGAGCTGCAGACCACCTGAACGAAGCTCATGGATCACTGGTCCATGACAGTTTGGGAACATCCTGTTCTAGCACATTTCTCCTGTCCCTGGCCAGACCCTCACCTATCCATGATGCCTAACATCTGTTTGCGAATATCCTGGGCACGGCGCAGCGAGCGGGCTTGGATGAAGTTCTCATAGCACCAGGGATTGGAGAACTTGTTGTTCTTCCAGGAGTTGTACACAGCCAGAAGCGTGAGGTGGTCCCCTTCCGTCTGGTGAAACTTGGCTTTCTTCTGGTCAGCGAGAGCTTGCTTGTCCTACAACGCACACAAGCAAAACAGGAAGTGAGTTTTCTCCAGCAGCCCCCCGTCATCAGGAACACCAAAAGAACAGGGACAGAACTCTGGCTTATAAGGAATCGGTTTCTGGAGGAGCCAATATATTTTACCTAAAATTTACAAAATGGCAACAAGTGCATGCACAAAATGGTAGTATCTACGCAGGTCAGCTAAAAAAAGGCACAATTGCAAATATTTTTAACAACATTTACAGTCTTGCCTTGGAAGTTGAGCGGAATCCATTCTGGAAGTCTGTTTGACTTCCAAAACGTTCAGAAACCAAAGCACGGCTTCCGATTGGCTGTAGGAAGCTCTTGCAGCCAATCAGAAGCCCCGTGGACATTTGGGTTCCAAAGAACATTCACAAACCGGAACACTCACTTCCAGGTTTGTGGCGTTCAGGAGCCAAAACGTCTGAGTACCAAGGCGTTTGTATAGCCTTTGAACAAATTATTGGAACCCATAACACAATTTTCTGCAGTCATTAGTTGTTATTGCACTATTTTAAGGGGCTGACATTACCAAGGGATTTGTGCTAATGTTTCTGGACAGATGCAGACAGACTGTGGGGTGTGGGAAGAAGAGAATTGGCTTGCCTTCTATTGTACTGGTACCTTCAATTACTTGTGCAAACTGAACAGATAAACTGTTTCTATATATATGTATTTCAACACCACGTTTTGATTTTCATCTCTAGTTGATGAAGCAATTCAAGGCTGGCTGGCTCATGACACAAACTGAACAAAAGTTGCACACTTTATTGGACATCAGCTCAGCTGCAAGGGGCCACTGCCTATGCTCCTTCCCCCTTTTGACATCATTTTAGGCTCTGTACACCTTCTAGAGCGGGTGTGGGGAACCTCTGGCCCTCCAAATGTTGCAGAAATACAACTCCCATCCGCCCCCAACAAGTATAGCCAATGGTCAGGGATGATGGGAGATGCAGTTTAGCAACACCTGGAGGGCCAAAGGTCCCCTACATCTGCTCTAGAGTAAGGCATCCTACCTGCTGAAATATCTGCTAAGTATGGGACGGACGATATCAAATAATGGTCAAGTATTTACAACATCCGGTTATTACAAACGTTAACACAAGGGAGTCAATGATAATTCAACATTAGTTAACAGGGAATCAATCACAGCTTACTGACACATCAAACCTGCGCATTTCCTTGTTTGCCTGATCTACATCATCTTCTTGCTGATTTTTGTTATTTTGAATTTACTGACATGCTCTGTTGTTTTGTACATTTGGCATTTCCAACGTTCTCCTTTTTTAACATTCTGAAGGTTTGTTGCAAGCCTCTTTGAGCACAGCTCGTTGTGGAAAAGCGGCACGTAAAGTAAAAAAATTAATCAATTTTCCAAAACAAGGAGTTGATGCCGGGTAACTCTAGCTGCGCAAAGTGAATCCGTGACAGGGAACTGCAGTCTCCCACATCTAGGTCCGATTCACTACCCACCAGACCAGCACTCCATGTTCTTTTCCTCTTCCCTGGCGCTGGCCCAGCTGCGACCAGTGCCAGGCTGTCTTGAGAGTCCAATCTCCCAAACGTGCCCATTTACCTTGGGTCGGTAGAAGACGTTCTGCACCGACAGCATGGAGACGATGGTGAGCATTTCCTCGCTGCATCCCAAATGCACCGACATGATGAGCATCTTGCACAACATGGGCTCCAGGGGGAACTCGGCCATCTGTCGGGAAGGAAGGGAACGGCATTCACAGCTGGTTATTTCTTTGAATCTGTGCAGCCTCCCCAAGCAGTGGCAGTCAACCTGATTGCAGCAAACCACCGAACTTTGTCTTTGGGGGGGGGGCAGGAACAGAATGCCCCAAGTACAGTGGTGCCCCGCAAGACGAATGCCTCGCAAGACGAAAAACTCGCTAGACGAAAGGGTTTTGCGTTTTTTGAGTCGTTCCGCAAGACGAATTTCCCTATGGGCTTGCTTCGCAAGACGAAACGTCTTGCGAGTTCTTGCGAGTTTGTTTCCTTTTTCTTAAAGCCGCTAAGCCGTTAATAGCTGCTAAGCCGCTAATAGCCGCTAAGCCGCTAATAGCCGCTAATAGCCGTGCTTCGCAAGACGAAAAAACCGCAAGACGAAGAGACTCGCGGAACGGATTAATTTCGTCTTGCGAGGCACCACTGTACTTGCACACACATTTCAATACTCCCTCTTTGATTTTCATTTCCACCTTATGAAGCTGGTTGTCTGGTATAGCTATCATAACTGAAGCTCTTCCTTCCCAGAGATGGTTCCCAGAGCATACCAGGCAAATCCAGGGCTAGGGACCTCTAACCATCTCTTGCTCCAGTGCTGCACTGGGAGCTTTTCCCCACCCCCAAAGTCAGGGCAGGTCACAAGGGTTTAGCACACCCGCAATGGATTTCAGGATTCTGGCAAGCTCAGCCAGCTTGTTCTCTCCTTTTGTTAAACAAGTTTCTAGTTCTTATGGGTGAGAAGTTAGAAATACCGTATTTTTCGCTCTATAAGACGCACCTAGTTTATGGAGAAGGAAAACAAGAAAAAAAATATTCTGAATCTCAGAAGCCAGAACAAGAAGAGGGATCGCTGCGCAGCGAAAGCAGCGATCCCTCTTGCTGTTCTGGCTTCTGGGATAGCTGCGCAGCCTGCATTCACTCCATAAGACACACACACATTTCCCCTTACTCTTTAGGAGGGAAAAAGTGAGTCTTATAGAGCAAAAAATACGGTACGTATCATCTATCTTCTGTTTCTGGTACAATCTGAGGGGGAAAGGCTGAGCAGAGCTTTCCAGATCACAGGGGTAGGGAGAAAAGGGTTTCCAACACCCTCTGCGGTTCCTTCTCCCCCATACTGCTGCATCTATTTCCTGGCCCATTTCCACTATTTCCGGATCTACACTGGCTCCCAGTACGTTTCCAAGCACAATTCAAAGTGTTGGTGCTGACCTTTATAAACCTAAACAGCCTCAGCCCAGTATACCTGAAGGAGCGTCTCCACCCCCATTGTTCAGCCCGGACACTGAGGTCCAGCTCCGAGGGCCTTCTGGTGGTTCCCTCACTGTGAGAAGCGAGGTTACAGGGAACCAGGCGGAAGGCCTTCTTAGTAGTGGCACCCACACTGTGGAAGGCCCTCCCATCAGATGTCAAGGAGATAAATAACTATACAACTTTAAGAAGACATTTGAAGGCAGCCCTGTATCTGGAAGTTTTTAAATGTTTGATGTTTTAATCTGCTGGAAGCAACCCAGTCAGATGGGCGGCATATAAATAATCACAATCAAAATCCCAGAACTTTAACGCAATAACAAATAAGGAGGAACAGCAAATGCAAGCAGACTCAAGTTGCTTATTCTAGCTGCAAACACTAGGTTCTACAAGTCGTGTTTCCCAAAGATTCCCCGAGCTTGGATATCCCTTCCATCACCCCCATCCCCACAGCCATGAGACCTGAACAGTGCAGGGCCTACCCGGCGTCCCAGTCGGGTGAGCAGCCCTTCGTCATCCAGGGCACCCAGAGTGTACAGCTGTTCCATTGCGGTGATCAGAGTTTCCATTGGCGGAGCATCCATGAAATCAAAGGAGAGCAGGTCGTTGATTCCCATAGCCTGTGTGTGTGCGTGAGAGAGAGGGAGGAGAGAACATGAGGTGTGCTGTACAAATATCTGGATAAAAAAGGTAAAGGCAAAAGACTAATTCATCATGCGAAAGGCTGGGCTGGATGAATCCCTAGCCGGAATTAAGATTGCCCGAAGAAATATCAACCTCCGATATGCAGATGACACAACCTTGATGGCAGAAAGTGAGGAGGAATTAAAGAACCTTTTAATGAGGGTGAAAGAGGAGAGCGCAAAATATGGTCTGAAGCTCAACGTCAAAAAAACCAAGATCATGGCCACTGGGCCCATCACCTCCTGGCAAACAGAAGGGGAAGAAATGGAGGCAGTGAGAGGTTTTACTTTCTTGGGCAAACTGCGGGAGGCAGTGGAAGACAGAAGTGCCTGGAGTGCTCTGGTCCATGGGGTCACGAAGAGTTGGACACAACTAAACGACTAAACAACAACAAAAGACCCCTGGACGGTTAAGTCCAGTCAAAGGCGACTATGGGGTTGTGGCACTCATCTCGCTTTCAGGCCGAGGGAGCTGGCGTTTGTCCGCAGGCAGTTTTCCAGGTCATGTGGCCAGCATGACTAAACCGCTTCTGGCACAGCAGGACACCGGGACAGAAGCAAGAGCGCATGGAAACGCCGTTTACCTTCCCGCTGCAGTGGTACCTATTTATCTACTTGCACTGGCATGCTTTCGAACTGCTAGGTTGGCAGGAGCTGGGACAGAGCAACGGGAGCTCACTCAGTCGCAGGGATTCGAACCGCCGACCTTCTGATCGGCAAGCCCAAGAGGCTCAGTGGTTTAGACCATGCCTTGTACAAACATCTTCCACCGCCCTGACCAAATGAAAAGAACCCAGCTCAAACGCTACAAACAGAAGGAAGGTTCATTTTACAAGGCGCTACAAAGATACTCTGCAAGGCTTTTCTAGAGATGGCTCTGCCATAAGAGACCAGCTGCTGCGTCACCAGCGCCTACCTTAAGGGACAGCACAGTGCTGGCCAAGTTGGTCCTCTGGATCTCAGGCACGTTGGTGGTGAGCATCTCGTCGCGGTAGGCCCGTTCTGTGTACAGCCGGTAGCACTTGCCTGGCCCGGTTCTCCCAGCCCTCCCAGCTCGCTGCTTGGCTTGGGCCTGCAGGAATCATAGATAACAAACCAGGTCAGCAAATTACTTTCTCTCTCTCCCCCGCCCCTTTCTATAATTTTTATTAGATTTTCTGTTCTACATTTTAGGATATTCATTCAAGCAACCTTAAACTATAAATGCTTTCCCTTCTTCTATTTCCATGGTTCATTTTGCATAACGTAAATCCCTGCATATTTTATATAAACTAAACCAGTTTTCCATTATTACATTCATCAAAACTATTTACACTATTGAATTTATCTTAACGCTGCCCACGTTTTCAAATATACACAATTCCGCCCCCCACATATATTCAATAAACATTTTCCAATCTTCTTTAAACGTATGTTCTTCATGTTCTCTTATTCTATATGTTAGGTCTGCCAGCTGCGCATATTCCATCAGTTTAAGTTGCCATTCTTCTTTAGTTGTAACCTTGCTCATTTTCCATTTTTGGGCTAACAGAACATAATCCGCAGTAGTGGCATACATAAAGGTAAAGGGACCCCTGACCATTAGGTCCAGTCGTGGCCGACTCTGGGGTTGCGGTACTCATCTTGCTTTATTGGCCGAGGGAGCTGGTGTACAGCTTCCGGGTCATGTGGCCAGCATGACTAAGCCACTTCTGGTGAACCAGAGCAGCGCACGGAAACACCGTTTACCTTCCCGCCGGAGCGGTACCTATTTATCTACTTGCACTTTGACGTGCTTTCGAACTACTAGGTGGGCAGGAGCAGGGACCGAGCAACAGGAGCTCACCCCGCCGCGGGGATTCGAACCGCCAACCTTCTAACCGGCAAGTCCTAGGCTCAGTGGTTTAGACCACAGCGCCACCTGCATTCCTAGTGGCACACATAAATAACCTTTTTTGACACCTGGGAATTTCCATCTGAATTGTCCCCAACGAAAAGGACTCTGGGTTTTGTTTTTTAAGTACTTTTAAACATTTTTTCCAATTTATGACAAATGATTTCCCAGCAAATTACTTTTGACTGCCCCCTCAGCGCATTTTATTTAGCACCAGGGAACTATAGCTGCAGTATGGAATATGGAAACCACACCGTCGTAGGTCTTGCAGGTCCGAAACAGGTGTGAGAAAATGTGAAGGAAGGAAACATGGTTAGCAGTGAAGCAGCCCAGAGGGAAGTGAGGGGAAGATGGGGCTCGTCATCCTGGGAAGGTGGCCCATCTAGGAGAAGGGAGTCTCTGATCCTAAACTTCCCCTGCCCTTATTGGATGGCGCCTTGTACGCCTCCTTCCAGCAACTCCTGCAGCCAAGCTGGTGCCAAACGTATTGCTCTGCTTTCTTTTGGACCACATCAGCGAGGCCGAAAGGGGTGTGTGTGTCTTGTTGTCCGGGCAGCCCAGGACCTCCATACACACTGCCTAGGCTTCTGCTAACACAGCGGGTTGACTTCAGTCCTGGAGGCACACTCCACTGTCTCTCAAGACAGGCGGACGCCAACAACAACCAGCCCAGTTGTGACAGAGGAATATGAACCAAGCAAATCTGGTTTTTAGCTTACTGTTGGTTTTAATTATTTTTCTAAGGTTTGAAATTGTTGCTTTTTAACCGGGTTTCCCTGATCATTTTATGGTTTTATTCTTTTTGTAAACCGCTTTGGGGATTTCTTTGCAGTGAAGCGGTATGTAATTTTTTGAAATACGTAAAAATATCTAAATGAGGAAATACGGCAAAAGGTACAACAACATCTCTGTGGAACTAAGGGAGGCTGTTTAGGGTATCCATGGATGCGCCGCACAAACACAGAACTCAGCATTCTAAAACTCAAAAATTTCGTTTTTAAACAAGCAAGCATGTTTCTAGGCCTTAGATTTGGAAATGTGTGGTTATTCCACAAAATCTCAGAAGTGAGGAAGACACACGTGTGTGGCCAAGTCTGAGCAAGAGTTAATTCAGAAGCAGAAGACATTCAAATTTCAGAATTCTTGCAGCCTCCAAATTCAGCTACCCTTGGAGTAGAGCATGGGTAGGCAAACTAAGGCCCGGGGGCCAGATCTGGTCCAAACGCCTTCTAAATCTAGCCTGCAGACGGTCCGGGAATCAGCATGTTTTTACATGAGTAGAATGTGTGCTTTTATTTAAAATGCATCTCTGGGTTATTTGTGGGGCAAAGGAATTCATTCATCCCCCCCGCAATACAGTCCGGCCCCCCACAAGGTCTGAGGGACAGTGGACCGGCCCCTGCTGAAAAAGTTTGCTGACCCCTGGAGTAGAGTATGGAAAAGGAAATACAAAAGATGAGAGGGGGCATTCACTGATTAGGGAACACAACTAGAGTGCCATAAAAAGGAGCAAGTTATTCCTGAAGTTTATTTTTATTTGTGGAGGGTGTCTTGGTGACAGGGAGGTGCTGTTCCTGCCGCACAAGGATAGAGCCAGCATGGTGCAGTGGTTAAGAGCAGTGGACTCATAATCTGGTGAACTGGGTTCGATTCCCTGCTCCTCCACATGCAGCTGCTGGGTGACCTTGGGCTAGTCACACTTCTCTGAAGTCTCTCAGCCCCACTCACCTCACAGAGTGTTTGTTGTGGGGGAGGAAGGGAAAGGAGATTGTTAGCCGCTTTGAGACTCCTTAGGGTAGTGATAAAGCAGGATATCAAATCCAAACTCTTCTAGGACATCCCTATTCACCGTAGAGCTGGATATGGAACAACTGATCGGTTCAAAATTGGGAAAGGAGTACGACAAGGCTGTATATTGTCTCCCTGCTTATTTAACTTATATGCAGAACTCATCATGCGAAAGGCTGGACTGGATGAATCCTAAGGCGGAATTAAGAGTGCCAGAAGAAATATCAACAACCTCGGATATGCAGATGACACAACCGTGATGGCAGAAAGTGAGGAGGAATTAAAGAACATCTTAATGAGGGTGAAAGAGGAGAGCGCAAAATATGGTCTGAAGCTCAACATCAAAAAAACCAAGATCATGGCCACTGTGCCCATCACCTCCTGGCAAATAGAAGGGGAAGAAATGGAGACAGTGAGAGATTTTACTTTCTTGGGCTCCATGATCACTGCAGATGGTGACTGCAGTCACGAAATTAAAAGACGCCTGCTTCTTGGGAGAAAAGCAATGACAAACCTAGACAGCATCTTAAAAAGCAGAGACATCACGTTGCCAACAAAGGTCCATATAGTTAAAGCTATGGTTTTCCCAGTAATGATGTATGGAAGTGAGAGCTGGACCATAAAGAAGGCTGATCGCCGAAGAATTGATGCTTTTGAATTATGGTGTTGGAGGAGACTCTTGAGAGTCCCATGGACTGCAAGAAGATCAAACCGATCCATTCTGAAGGAAATCAGCCCTGAGTGCTCACTGGAAGGACAGATCCTGAAGCTGAGGCTCCAAGAATTTGGCCACCTCATGAGAAGAGAAGACTCCTGAGAAGACCCTGATGTTGGGAAAGATGGAGGGCACAAGGAGAAGGGGATGACAGAGGACGAGATGGTTGGACAGTGTTCTCGAAGCTACCAGCATGAGTTTGACCAAACTGCGGGAGGCAGTGGAATAGAGGAGTGCCTGGCGTGCTGTGGTGCATGGGGTCACGAAGAGTTGGACACAGCTAAACAACTTAACAACAACAACAACAACATTCACCTAATAGCACAAGCAGACAAATCATTTTCTTCTCCATATTTCATAGGGCTGAGCAAGAGAAATCCATCACATCTGCCAACAGAAATTCTTCTAACTCCCACGGACCCCAGTCGCAGATCTTGTGTAGAACAGCCACCCAGCCACGTACCTGAGAAATAGGTGTCACAACCAGCTGGTCAATTCCTGTCTTTGAGTTGTATACTTTCTGTTTCACAAACCCAGGGTCCACCACGTAATAGATGCCGTCAATTGTGAGCGAAGTTTCAGCGATGTTCGTGGCAATGACCACCTAGATAGGACGAAAGAGACAGAGACGCAGGGTCAAACAGCATGCTAAACAGGAGGCAGCAAAAGCCTCCACAGACTGGTCCAGAAGGGAACTTTCACAGGAATCGTATGGGGGGGGGCGCCATCTTTGCCAGAAAATGGTAGAAGCAGCTACCTTTCGACTCCCTGGGGGAGCTGGGTCAAAGATGCGTGTCTGCATCTCGCTAGGCAGGGCCGAGTAGACGGGCAAGATGATCAGCTCAGGGACGTCGGGACCCAGGGATTTCATTCGCTCATAGAGGATCTCGCAGGCCGTGTCAATCTCCTCCTGGCCAGTCAAAAACACCAGGATGTCTCCTGCAGAACAGAAAAACGGTTCCTCTGATTAGCTCCACCCACAGGCAGGCCAGGGCACAACATTTACAACTTCAGGAACAGATAATAATAATAATAATAATAATTATTATTATTATTATTATTATTATTATTATTATTTATTATTTATACCTCACCCATCTGGCTGGCTTTCCCCAGCCACTCTGGGCGGCTTCCAACCGAATATTAAAAACAATACAGTGTCAGACATTAAAAACTTCCCTAAACAGGGCCACCTTCAGTTGTCTTTTAAAAGTAAAATACAGTGGTACCTCGGGTTACATACGCTTCAGGTTACATACGCTTCAGGTGACAGACTCCGCTAACCCAGAAATAGTACCTCGGGTTAAGAACTTTGCTTCAGGATGAGAACAGAAATCCTGTTCCAGCGGCGTGGCAGCAGCAGGGGGCCCCATTAGCTAAAGTGGTGCTTCAGGTTAAGAACAGTTTCAAGTTAAGAACAGACCTCCGGAACGAATTAAGTACTTAACCCGAGGTACCACTGTAGTTGTTTAATGCCTTGACATCTGCTGGGAGGGCGTTCCACAGGGCGGGCGCCACTACCGAGAAGGCCCTCTGCCTGGTTCCCTCTAACCTCACTTCTCGCAGTGAAGGAACTGCCAGAAGGCCCTCGGCGCTGGACCTCTGTGTCTGGGCTGGACGATGGTGGTAGAGACGCTCCTTCAGGTATACAGGACCCAGTTCGTTTAGGGCTTTAAAGGTCAGCACCAACACTTTGAATTGTGCTCGGAAAAATACTGGGAGCCAATGAAGATAAAATGTTCAGCATAAACAGAGTAGTTGTCGTCTTCTCTGGTGCTCACTTGTAGCTGAGCGAGATTGTCTTCCATGAACACGGGCTTAACAGGGAGTCTGTAAATAACTATAGAGTAGTATGGTTTGGGGAAATGTAGCTTCTCGTTTGCAAGATGGGTGCACATAGGAGGGTAGTGTGCTGCAGATCTGGGATAGCTCAGGTGGTAGAGCATGAGACTCTTAATCTCAAGGTCGTGGGTTCAAGCCCCACATTGGGCAAAAGATTCCTGCATTACCCTTGTGGCCCCTTCCAACTCTACAATTCTATTATTCTAGGATAGGTAAAGGACTCCTGACCATTAGGTCCAGTCGTGACCGACTCTAGGGTTGCGGCGCTCATCTCGCTTTATTGGCCGAGGGAGCCGGCGTACAACTTCTGGGTAATGTGGCCAGCATGACTAAGCCGCTTCTGGAGAACCAGAGCAGGGCACGGAAACGCCGTTTACCTTCCCGCTGGAGCGGTACCTATTTATCTACTTGCACTTTGACGTGCTTTTGAACTGCTAGGTTGGCAGGAGCAGGGACCAAGCAACGGGAGCTCACCCCGTCACAGGAATTCGAACTGCCGACCTTCTGATCAGCAAGCCCTAGGCTCTGTGGTTTAACCCACAGCGCCACTCACCATTAAAGGTTTCTTCTTGTTGGCCAGTGAAGAGTATCTACAGCAGACTACCCCACTCTCATAGCAGGTCTCTTCAGATGAGATAGACCTTAAAGTGTCTGTGAACTTCGTTTTTTTTTTAGAACTCCAAAAACAAAACTGATGAACAGAAAAGAGAGGACTTAAACATCATCTAGCCCAAGCCAGCCACCCTAGGTAAAAAGAAAGGCAAAAGACCCCTGGATGGTTAAGTCCAGTCAAAGGCAACTATGGGGTTTGTGGCACTCATCTCGATTTCAGGCCGAGGGAGCCGGCATTTGTCCACAGACAGCTTTCTGGGTCATGTGGCCAGCAGCACTAAACTGCTTCTGGTGCAATGGGACACCGTGACAGAAGAAGAGAAGAAGAGTTTGGACTTGATATCCTGCTTTATCACTACCCGAAGGAGTCTCAAAGGGCTAACATTCTCCTTTCCCTTCCTCCCCCACAACAAACACTCTGTGAGGTGAGTGGGGCTGAGTGACTTCAGAGAAGTGTGACTAGCCCAAGGTCACCCAGCAGCTGCATGTGGAGGAGCGGAGACGCGAACCCGGTTCACCAGATTACGAGTCTACCGCTCTTAACCACTACATCACACTGGAAGCCAGAGTGTACGGAAACGCCATTTACCTTTCCGCCACAGCAGTATCTATTTATCTCCTTGCACTGGCGTGCTTTTGAACTGCTAGGCTGGCAGGAGCTGGGACAGAGCAACGGGAGCTCACCCCGTCATGGGGATTCGAACCACTGACCTTCTGATCAGTAAGCCCAAGAGGCTTGGTGGTTTAGAACACAGCGCCACCTTGGAACCTGCAGCAGTGCTCTATGATTACTGCATGGGACTGAAAGCCTTCCATCCTCCAACATGAAGCAACCTTCAAGGTGAGTGCCAACATTCCATGCCTTACCTGGTGGCTCCGTCAAGTGGATCTGCATGACTGTGATCAGGCTGGCATCCAGATAATCTGTCTCTGGCTCCTTAGTATAGAGAATCTCCACCGGGTACGTCCTGCCTGGGATGGTAAAGATGGGAGCCTCGTAGAAGTACTGGGAGAACTTAACCGCGTCCAAGGTGGCTGACGTCACTATCAACTTCATGTCTTGCCTCTTCTGAACCGTCTGCAGGAGAGAAGTTGGCAAAACATGTTCAGGGAAGGAAAAATTGTACACAGCAACAAAAGCCATGAGGGGGCAACAGCCCTGGCTGGCAGCCAAACTAATCCGAGGACCAATCAAGAGCTGGGGCCCAGGACAGGCAGGCTTCTTTCTTATTTTCTGAGCACAGGGTTACACAGTGGAGAATCCATATCCTTGTTAAGAAAGCCTTCCATCGTTGGGAAATGATATATAAATAATAACAATAACAATAACAATAATAATAATAATTTTTATTTATACCCCACCCTCCCCAGCCAAGGCCGGGCTCAGGGCGGCTAACAAGCAATAATAAAAACAAGTTGAATGATTACAACTTAAAAACAAAATTAAAATACAACATTAAAATATTGAAACATTAAATATTAAAATGCAGCCTCATCACAGGAGGAGAAAGGAAAAAAGAAAGAGAGGGAGGGAATCAAATTGGCTCCAAGCCAAAGGCCAGGCGTAACAACTCTGTCTTACAGGCCCTGTGGAAAGAAATCAGATCCTGCAGGGCCCTGGTCTCATGAGGCAGAGCGTTCCACCAGGCAGGAGCCAGCGTTGAAAAGGCCCTGGCTCTGGTTGAAGCTAATCTAACTTCCTTAGGGCCCAGGACCACGAGGGTGTTGCTATTTATGGACCTTGAGGCTCTTCGTGGGGCATACCGGGAGAGGCGGTCCCGTAGGTACGAGGGTCCTAGACCATAAATAAATGAAAAAAATGTTTGAAATAACTTTTGTTAAAAAATCAGAAGCCTTTTTATTAGGAATTATAAGTACCAAGACTCCAAAGGACCAGAGGACATTGTCCATGTATGCTACAACGGCCGCTCGGATTTTGGTAGCCCAGAGGTGGAAGGAAGGGACAACCCCACAACCAGAGAAGAATGGCAAATCAGATTGACGGACTATGCCGAAATGGCAAAACCAACTGGGAAGCTCGGGAATCAAGAAGACAAGAAATTTTAAAAAGAATGGGAAATGTTTATAATGTATATACAAATTCACTGTAAACAGGTCAAAACATTAGCGGGATTTTAAATACAATTGAAATGTAACAGAATGTATAGATAACTGAGGAAGATGAAAAATTGGAGAAGTATTGATATATAATTGAAAATAGAACTAAAAGGACCCATGGAAGGGATGGGGAGAAGTCAAGAGATTCAGAGTAATCTCGATATTTGGATTTCGTATTGTGTTTCGTTGTACGTTTTTATTTTTGACAATCAAATTAAAAAGATTATAAAAATAAAATAAAGGTTTTCGTCAATTGTTCTTTTCTAAGTCATTATTTTTAGGAGGTTGTTGGGGGTGGTGGGGAGAGGGATTTGAAAGAGCTGACACCTTTTTCAGGAGACCAAAGAGCACATCGGTGTGTATGGTGCGCTCGTGGGCTTCATCCAACATGATGATGGCATACTGCGTCAGATCCGGGTCGATCAGGCACTCTCGCAGCAACATCCCGTCCGTCATGTACTTGATCACCGTCTCGGGACTGGTGCAGTCCTCAAACCGGATGGTGTAGCCAACCTGCCAAGGAGAGTGGGGCAAAACGATCAGAAGGGGGTGAAAGGGCAACCATTTCTGCTCTGGCAATTACATCTTGCCTGCCCGCCTGCAAGAAACAACTGCAAATTTAAAGGTTAGAGCAAGAATAATAATAATATTTTTTATTTATACCCCGCCCTCCCCAGCCAAGGCTGGGCTCAGGGCGGCTAACAAGCAATAATAAAAACAAGTTGAATGAATACAACATTAAAATATTGAAACATTAAATATTAAAATGCAGCCTCATCACAGGAGGAGAAAGGAAAAAAGAAAGAGAGGAAGGGAATCAAATTGGCTCCAAGCCAAAGGCCAGGCGGAACAACTCTGTCTTACAGGCCCTGCGGAAAGAAATCAGATCCTGCAGGGCCCTGGTCTCATGAGGCAGAGCGTTCCACCAGGCTGGAGCCAGTATTGAAAAGGCTCTGGCTCTGGTTGAAGCCAATCTAACTTCTTTAGGGCCCGGGACCACTAGGGTGTTGCTATTTATGGACCTTGAGGCTCTCCGTGGGGCATACCAGGAGGGACGTTCCTGTAAGTACAAGGGTCCTAGGCCATGAAAGGCTTTAAAGGTCAAAACCAGCACCTTATATCTGACCCTGTACTCCACCGGGAGCCAGTGCAGCTGGAAAAGCACTGGGTGAATATGCTCCCATGGCAGAGACCCCGTGAGGAGCCTCGCTGCTGCATTCTGCACCCGCTGGAGTTTCTGGGACAGCTTCAAGGGCAGCCCCGCGTGGATGGGGATGGATGGATGGATGGACGCATTCCCGCGTGGATGGGAACCTCTGGCCTGTGGAACAGATCTGCATTCCCAACTGGTCTCTTGCCCATTCCATTGTGTTGGCCCTGAGCACAACCTCACACGGCCTATCCACTCCTGCCAGCTTGAGGAAAGTAAGCCACCATGGAATTGTATGATCTGCCACTTCTGGCACATTGCAGGGTCAATCCACCAAGCACCAGCGCATCTTACCTCCTGTCCCAGACAGCAGCCAAACTCCTCCGATACCCGTTTGGCCACGGACATGGCAGCCACTCGCCGAGGCTGGGTGCAGCCAATCTTCCCGCGGGACGTGTAGCCAGCCTCAGCAAGGTACTGCGTGATCTGCGTCGTTTTCCCAGAGCCCGTCTCCCCGATGACTATCAGAATCTGGTTATCGTGAACAGCCTAGGACAGAGAAGCCATTGAATGCTCAGGTATCCTCACTGTTCAAAGGTACTCAAATCTCTTCCACCTGCTACTCTGTCTGTTCTCCTCCGTGAACATTACGTCCAATAGGGAAGCGTGCTGCTCTTTGTCTGCACGAATCGGTTTTTCTTTTAAAATCAAGCCGCAGGTTCGGACGCTACAGAAAGGGGCCTACAAATCTGCATGGATGCAATAGCACGGCAGGTGGAAAAATGTTTCCTCGAAATTATTGCCAATACCACAGAACCCGATGAATCTAAATGTCAGAGCTTTCTGTTGGAAGTGTATGGTTCTTAAAGTGTTATTCAAGAAAGAGCTCAAATGGAAAAAGATGCTCAAACAAACTAACACCGGGGGAGCTTCCAGTGACCAGATGGTGACTTTTAGCTCACTGAGCAGACACCATTTGCTTTGCATCCTTCCTCTATACAACTAATTCTATCTGGTGTTCTCAAAGTTCCTTATAGGGCAACTTCTGGTTTCATACACCCTGCCACACCCTGCTCAGGTTTTGAACATCCAGAAGAGCAAACCTACATGCAAAGTACATATACCACATTCACAGCCCTCTCTTTATAAAGCTGATGTTATGCTTCTACAGTCGTACCTTGGAAGTCGAACAGAATCCGTTCCGGAAGCCCGTTCGACTTTCAAACATTCGGAAACCAAAGCGTGGCTTCTGATTGGCCGCAGGAAGCTCCTGCAGCCAATCGGAAGCCTTGGAAGCCACGTTGGATGTTCAGGTTCCAAAGAACGTTTGCAACCTGGAACACTCACTTCCGGGTTTGCGGCATTCGGGAGCCAAAATGTTCCGACTTGCAAGGCGTTCGGAATCCAAGGTATGACTGTATTGGCCTTCCAGTCTGTTCGACTGCACGATATTAACCAATTTGTTTTTACTGTTTTATTCTCTGGGTTGTAAGCCGCCCTGAATTTCTGAAACAAAGGCAGGGCATGCAGGAATTAAACAGGAAACATTTGCTAGGTAAGGGCATTCATAGACGAAGCTGAATCAGCTCCCAACAATCACAGGTTTTCTGTGTTTTTCCGCTTGCAGAATTTAACGGGAGAAGAATTGGCAGGAATATAAAAGCTCCTTAGGATTTTGGAACACCATGGTCATCTCCTGTGGAGGCCAAACCACCTGATATCGGCATGTTGAGATGCTGGATTTGATGACCCTTGGTTCAATTCCGGACAGCTGGCTTTTTTCTTCTTCTTCTTCTCCTCAGTCTTACCTGGATAAGCTGATCCTTCAGCCGGTATATTGGGAGACTTTCCCTCTGCTCAATGATCGACAGCTGAGTTTTCTTCCCATAAGAGGCTTTATTGCCTCCGAAAGCGTGTTTCTTCCACTCTGGGATGTCGTTTGGCATCATGCCGATCCCTCGCATGTTGGCAGCGATTTGTCTCCCATCCACTGGAAAGAGAGAGGAAAATTTACATCACACTTTGGTCCGTATGGCAACATGGAAGGGGTAAGAGAGGACTGACTAGAAAGGGGTGTGAGTGTTAGTTTCTGTGTGTTGCCACTGTGCAGTGCTTTTGGAGTCACAAGACTCTGTTTACATTCCAGAGACCTTCCAGGCTGTTGGAAGTCTCACGGAAGACAGGAGACGGATGTGATGTTTACTGGTTTCCTGTTCCTTTGTTCCTTTGTTTTAGTTGCTCTCTGCTTTCACAGAGAGAGGATGTAGATTTCTTTGCTGTCTGAGTAGTAAGAAATAAAGCATAGTGATGTAGCCATAAATCTCATCACTTCCCTGTGCTGGAAACTCTGCTGAACGGGAATGTGCCTGAGGCCTCATCAAAGGCTCAGGTCGTTAATTATCGTCGGAGGACTCGGCCAGAGGAAAATGAGCTTTATCAACTTGGCCGAGCGGTGATCCCGACAGTGAGCACACGGGCTCAGGTAACAGGACAGTGAAAACCATTCATTCCACAACTGCTTAGAGGGGGAAAGAAGTTGGCTATCAAGGCAGCCAGAATTTCTGGATCTCTGCGTCTCCTAAATTGCCTGATGCATCCCAATTTACAGTACACGTTACATGTTACAGCGGGCTCCCACACTGATGTCTAAACAGAAGTACATTTTACAACCAAAAAACATCAGGAGGGAGATTCGGTTACCGTCTGGGAGGGGATCCACCCAGTGTTTGTTGAGTCCCATGGGGATGGAGTCCATCTCTGCCTCCCTCTGGGCTTGCTTCAGCTCTCGCCTCTCTTTTGCAAGCGCACTCTGCATCATGGCAGCTTGAGACAGGGAGCCGTCAGGGTTCTGGAGTAATACAGGAAAACGTATTCCATTACTCGCTGCAGCTAAGTTTGTCCAAGAAGTCCTTGCTGAGCTTCTCTCATCTCGGTAGCCACCCCAATAAATCACACCCCCAAATCAAATATCAGCATACCCTTGCCATCCCTCCCCACTTCTGGCAATTATGGAAGGGCCCGGGAACTGGATCTGGTCACCTTCACAATCTTGATGGGGCTCATGTCCATGCTCTGCTTGGTGTGTCCTCGCAGGAACGGCGGCTCCTCCTCTACCAGTTCGATTTCCAGGTCCTCGTCTGGAAGAGGGAATCAAGCTCAGTCCCAGGCACATTTTAACAAGGTTCCCTGCTCTCATCAACAAACTCCAACCTTGTTCTTTACCAGCTAAGCTAGGGGATGGCACCTGGGATAGCTCAGTGGGTACAGCCCCATATTGGGCAAAAGATTCCAACAGGGCAGGAGGGGTTGGACTAGATGACCTTCGTGACCCCTTCCAGCTCTACAATCTTATGATTATCTAGCAGCCTCTAGGCTAATCTAGCCCCTGCAAACAGAGCAGACTAGTCCCTGTATTGGAAAACTTTTGCCTAATAATAATAATAATAATAATAATAATAATTTATTACTTATACCCTGCCCATTTGGCTGGGTTTCCCCAGCCACTCTGGGCGGCTTCCAACAGAACACTAAAATACAATAACCTATTAAACATTAAAAGCTTCCCTAAACAGGACTGTCTTCAGATGTCTTCTAAAAGTTTGGTATTTTTCTCTTTGACATCTGGTGGGAGGGCATTCCACAGGGCGGGTGCCACTACCGAGAAGGCCCTCTGCCTGGTTCCCTGTAACTTGGCTTCTCGCAGCGAGGGAACCACCAGAAGGCCCTCGGCGCTGGACCTCAGTGTCCGGGCAGAACGATGGAGGTGGAGACGCTCCTAGCCTCTGAAGAACACAGAAATACAATGGAAAGAGACTCTCCCTTGAGTTCTACCTTGCAGATGTTCTCAGCCAGGGGCAGGTAAGCTGTGGCCCTCCAGATGTTGGCAGACTAACTCCCATCAGTCCCAGTCAGCAGGGCCAAAAGTCAGAGATGATGGGAGCTGTAGTCCAGCAACATCTGGATGGGTGCGGATGTTAGCCATGTTTCTAGGCAGTGTGGAAGGCAGGGGAGCAGTTAATTAGTCTTGATAGTGGAAGTACAGTGGTACCTTGGTACTCGAACGGCTTGGCCCCTGAACAAATCGGCTCCCGAAAGCCGCAAACTAGGAAGTGTTCAGGTTTGCAATCGTTTTTCGGAAGCTGAACGTCTGACGCTGCTTCCGCAACTTCCAATTGAGTGCAGGAAGCTGCTGCAGCCAATCGGAAGCCGTGCCTTGGTTTTCGAACCGTTTCGGGAGCTGAACAGACTCCTGGAATGGATTAAGTTTGAGAACCAAGGCACCACCGTACCTCAAATCCACCATTCTCCAGTTCAGAGTGGGACGTGAGCAAAATGAATTGCTAGATGAGGAACAAGCACAGAGGTGAATCAAGTCTAGACCATCACAGAGCACAATTTTCATTACCTTCCTCATCGTCAACCTTTGGCAGGATCCCCGTTTCCTCGTCGAAGTCAGGGAACTCCTCCTTGGAAAGCACGTTGGCAGCAATCATCTGAAGGGGGTGGGGAAGCACAAGGACAAAACCTTCAGCCAAAAAGTTTAGAGGTCTGTCTTGTTTCAAACACAAGTTTCTTTAAACGACGGCCAACACCCACTTCATGCTCAGGCAAAGGACTCAGGACTTGTCTCCTGCTTAGTTGCCATTTAGTCCCAAGCCAGAAATCGTTCACGTTATTAATCGTGATTTAGTCCCAAGCCAGAAATCGTTACCTGCTTGATTTCCCATTTCTCAGGGTCAGAAATGCGGGTGAGGCGCTTCCGTTCCAACGTATCATCCTCTACCTCCGGAGCGCTGACCAAGGACAGGTGGGTTGGCCTGTCTGGGTTCCTCATGGCTGCCTCCTCAGACTCCCCGACGAGGTTCCGACGTCTGTTTGGGTTCAAATCCTCCCCTGTGTCTTGATCTACATCCTAAAGAACACATAAATCACAGATTGGCACTCCCCTCAATGTAGTGATGGAAAAATTAAAAAAGAAAATTAGCTTAGTTCCATTCTGCAATTAATTTGTTTTTTAATTTATGCTTTATTGTACACAGAGAAAAACAACAACAAAAAACACACAACAACCATACATTTACATCACCCGCCACCTCAAATACAAAATAAACAAAAAAGTATTTTTTTATGTTTTGTCAGTAAACCTTCTCAAAGTACATCCAACTTCCCGTCTTCTCCATACTTCTTTCAAAATTTACAAACTTACTGCATAAATCTGTATGTTCATTTTACAATAAAACATTACTCTTCTGTGTCTTTATTTCTTATTTAGTACAGCTGCAGAAGTTATTCAAAGGCAGCGACCGAATTCACACTGTAACAGTTATTTTTAAGGTATGTTTTGAAAACTTCCCATTCTGCAATAAATATTTGTTGTGACTTGTCTTTCATTTTTTCCAGATAGTTGGGCCAGCTCTGCATATTCAGCTAGTTTTCGTAACCGTTCTGATCTGGAAGGAATTTTATCACTTTTCCAGTTAGTCACTATTAAGACTAACATATAAAATGGCGTATAAAAAAAAACTTATTTTACCTTTACAGTGGTAACTCAGGTTACATACGCTTCAGGTTACAGACTCTGTTAACCCAGAAATAGTACCTCGGGTTAAGAACTTTGCTTCAGGATGAGAACAGAAATTGTGCTCCGGCAGCACGGCAGCAGCGGGAGGCCCCATTAGCTAAAGTGGTGCTTCAGGTTAAGAACAGTTTCAGGTTAAGAACGGACCTCCGGAACGAATTAAGTACTTAACCCGAGGTTACCACTGTATAGGAATGTCTTGTTCTGTAATTCCGAGTAGAAAGGCCTCTGGTTTTTTTTTTTAAAATAAGACCCTGAACATTTTCCTAAATTCACCGTGTATGTCATCCCAGAAGATCTTAATTTTTTTACATAGCCACCACATATGAAACATGGTACCAATTTCTACTCCACATCTCCAATAGTTCCATTTCGCAATTAGTGTGCAAGCTTAGCGTGTCGCCCAGGTGAGACATGTAGCGGCATGGTTGATATCAACAACAACAGTTCCTGTCTTGAGGTTTCCCAGTAAGCAAGAAGCACTGGCTGGTAAACAATGGCCCATTTGCATCTGTCACTACCTCCGAGGTCAGTAGCAGATGGCTCTTGAGATCAGTGTGGTCCATGCAGGATTCCCCACTTTTACTCTCTTCCTTAAAACTGCTGGTGTGAATTAGAGGAAAGGGCAGGTGAGATATCCCAAGGCCAAAATAACTGCAGAGCAAGGGTGAATAGTTGAAGTCCAGGGTAGAAACAGTGCCTTGGCACTATTCCCTGATAGCAACCGCTCACCTCCTAGGGAGCAAGTGTTTTCGCACCACAATACATTGTCCTAAAAGAGACCCACCCCTTGGCCCAAATCAGAGATGGAATTGTTTTATTATATGGCCAAAGTAAGGAGGAGTGGAATGAGGATGGCCAGGGACTGAGAAATGAGCACTGGAGGAGCAGCAAGGCAAGATGAAACAGACAGAGGAAAGAGATGCTAATGTCCCAGGAAACAAGGAGCAAGACAGAAGCGAAGGGCAGAAAGGGAAGGGAAAAGAAACAGAAGCAGACACAAGGTGGGCTTTTATGGAATGGACCCTCTCTTACCTTCATGCTGAGGCTGGTTTTAGAGCCAGTGAAGGACAGAACTTTGACTTTGACCCTCTGCCCTTTGCTCACCACGTCAGCCACGTTAGCAACACGCCCCTCGCGGCGCAGCTCTGAGATGTGGACAAGTCCTTCCCAACGCTTCCTAAAAAGGGGAATTGGACACAGAAAGAGCCAGTGGGTATCTGCTACATCTCACGCAGGAGCTTTTCGAAGTTATACACTGTAAGCTCCACCCACCGTAAAGGTATCAAGGCGGATATGGTAATAACATACTTAATTGTTGGACTGGGAGGTGTATATAATCCCAAGCAAGCTTACCCAAAACAAAAACCCCTGGACTTCAACGTAACTTACTTTGTACGTGCCTAAAATGCCATAAAATCCCCGCGACGGGGTGAGCTCCCGTTGCTCGGTCCCTGCTCCTGCCAACCTAGCAGTTCAAAAGCACATCAAAGTGCAAGTAGATAAATAGGTACCGCTCCAGCGGGAAGGTAAACGGCGTTTCCGTGCGCTGCTCTGGTTCGCCAGAAACGGCTTTGTCATGCTGGCCACATGACCCGGAAGCTGTACGCCGGCTCCCTCAGCCAATAAAGCGAGATGAGCACCGCAATTCCAGAGTCAGTCACGACTGGACTTAATGGTCAGGGGTCCCCTTTACCCTTTAAAATGCCATAGACATGGCTTTGCAGTTAAAAAATAGTGTTGTGTCAGTTTCTCACTTTCTGGAACTGCACAGATCAGTGGCAGCCAGGGATGCAAAAGGTGAAGCCCACCTTGTATCAAATACCTGAGTCCTTCAAGCTGGACAAAGCAGCCAAACTGCATGATGCTGGTGACTTTGCCGTTGTAGATGTCCCCGATGGATGGCTCCTCTGGTGGGGGCCGGTCCACGTGCTTATCCCGCCATCGCTCGTTGCTCTTCTCTGCAGGCTTCTCTCGCTCCTTGCGGTCCCAGCTGGGGCTTCTGCTCCTGGAACGGTATCTGGACTTTCCCTTATTCCGCTCCCTCGTCCGGGAACGAGAGGGCGACTTCCGCTTCCGCTTCTGGTCCCGGCCCCTGCTGCGGCTGCGGCTCCTCCGCCTTCTCTTGCTGCAAACAACAGAAAGTATGAGTACTCAGGTGCACTCTTGATTCAGACACTACTTTAATACAGTGGTACCTTGGACGCGGGTGGTGCTGTGGTCTAAACCACTGAGCCTAGGGCTTGCTGATCGGAAGGTCGGCGGTTCGAATCCCCGCAACAGGATTCCTTGGGAGACCAAGGAGAGTTGTTTTTAAAACACCTCTGCAGCCTCCTCCTTGGTCAGTCAAGTGGAAGACTACAGGGCATGGCAGAATTAGTGACAGCAGGGGCGTCATGTTGGGCAACCTAATTTGGCTGATAATAGTTAAAATACTGGCAGGTGCCTTTTTCTTCCTTTTTTACAGAAACAAAATGGCAAAATTCAGCAGCTTCTCCAGGCTGCGGTCTTTACTCCAATATAGTCCACTACAATGGTGATATTTGTGGATTCGTGATGGAATATCCTACCTGAGATAAGAGAGTTGAATTAGATCAGGGGTGGGCAGACTTCAGGCTTTCGGGATCTACTTTACTTTTTAAGTAAAATCTTGAGGTCCACCAATAAGAGGCAGGTGCAAAACAATAGCTATTTTGGGAGGGGCGCTAAGAATTAAGAAAATAAGAGGTACACGTGCCATCAATAAATTTGCGATCAATAACAGAACCTTGCAAGTCCTTTCACCTTGTCATCCGCACACACCCTTTGTCACGCTGTGACATTCGTTTTTACCTGGCTCATTTAGAGGAGAGGAACCTTTTAGACAAGGCTACTGTTAGACAGGGGAAGTGGGTGGCGCTGTGGGTTACACCACAGAGCCTAGGACTTGCCGATCAGAAGGTTGGTGGTTTGAATCCCCGCGACGGGGTGAGCTCCCGTTGCTCCGTCCCTGCTCCTGCCAACCTAGCGGTTCGAAAGCACGTCAAAGTGCAAGTAGATAAATAGGTACCGCTCTGGCGGGAAGGTAAACGGCGTTTCCGTGCGCTGCTCTGGTTCGCCAGAAGCGGCTTAGTCATGCTGGCCACATGACCTGGAAGCTGTACGCCGGCTCCCTTGGCCAGTAAAGCGAGATGAGCGCTGCAACCCCAGAGTCGGTCACGATTGGACCTAATGGTCAGGGGTCCCTTTACCTTTACCTTACTGTTAGACAACTGGGAATCAGAAACTCTTAGCAATCTACTGTGTGCCATTCTTAAACCTACCAGTAGATCCCAACCTGCCTTCTGCCCACCTCTGAGCTAGATCACCTATGATTTTTCCAAAACAACAACGACACACTGAAAAAGTTTCCTTCTTGAGGAGATGAAGCCCCAGGAACCTACTGGTCCTCACTGCTTCTGTGCTTCTCCTGCCTGCCTGCAGTTGGCATCAAAGCTTCCAGTTCCTTGAGGGCATCGGCAGCGACCTTCACATCATCTTCATCCAACATTGTCTGTGAAGGAAAGGAGAGAACCCCCCTGAATAGACCGCTGATACACTAATTCAACATCTCTTTCAGATCCATGTGGCGACAGCTGAACTAGAACCGAGTTCTTCTTGGCACTAAAGTCAAATCTCACCCCACTTGGACCCCACTGTTGAATTCAGTAGGACTCGCTTTTAAGTAGGCATGGTTAGGATTCTGCTGCTGATCAGGGAAGCAAGAGAAAACAGAAAGGAGCGTATCCACCTCCATCGTTCTGCCCGGACACTGAGGTCCAGCGCCAAGGAACTTCTGGTGGTTCCCTCGCTGCGAGAAGCCAAGTTACAGGGAACCAGGCAGAGGGCCTTCTCGGTAGTGGCACCCGCCCTGTGGAACGCCCTCCCACCAGATGTCAAAGAGAACAACAACTACCAGACTTTTAGAAGACATCTGAAGGCAGCCCTGTTTAGGGAAGCTTTTAATGTTTGACAGACTATTGTATTTTAATATTTTGTTGGAAGCCGCCAAGAGTGGCTGGGGAAACCCAGCCAGATGGGCGGGGTATAAATAACAATAATAATTTCTTGGGAATGCTGTTATTTTGCTATTATTCACAACCCCCACTCCATTCCCGCATTTGGGGTGCCTGGCTCTCCTTCCTAATCTCACAAACCTCCTCCCTCCAGCCTTCATGCCTGCAACCCACACTCTTGTGTGTAAGTCCCACCCACTCACCCTGTTCCTAATGTGCTCTCTTGCCCCAGATTCCTCTGCACTCTGCTCTTCCTGTCTGCAGCTAGTAATGAACAAAAACCCACCTACCCTGACAATGGGATTGTCTGGTCTACAGAGGGCTGGAAACAACTCCTTGTACTTTTCTTTTTCGGTTTTCGGTTTTACAGCCTCTACAGCGATAATAAACAAAAGAAAACACACACGACTTGAAATTTCATTTCATTTCACTTGTAACCTGTATACAGTATAGAGAAGCCAGAGCCAAATTGAAAAAGGGCATTAGGAACGCCAAAGCTATGTACTGCCGGAGGATCGAAAAACATTTTGAGAGCTCCGACCCTCGTCGAGTATGGCAAGGCCTGCGACAAATTACAGGGCAAAATATTAAAAGCGAACTGGCTAGCAGCAGTGCGCACCTGGCTGATCAACTGAATCAATTTTTAGTCGCCTTGAGGTGGGAACTGGAACTACCGTCACTACAGCATTGGCTACCAGCACATCATCAGAAACTACTACTGATAGACAACCATTTTTATTACAGACCTGTGACGTACAACGTGCCTTTCGGAGCATTGACATTAGGAAGGCAGCTGGACCGGATGGAATCATGGGGACGGGCTATTAGGGACTGCGCTGCAGAATTAGCTGGTGTGTTTACGGACATTTTTAATCTATCCCTGTTGCAGGGTTCTGTCCCTACCTGCCTGAAGACATCGATTATAGTGCCAGTCCCCAAGCAGTCAGTGGTGGTATCTCTCAATGACTATAGACCAATAGCCTTAACATCTGTCGTTATGAAATGTTTTGAGAGATTGGTGCTAGATCATATTAAGGCTGGTCTTCCATCCACTCTAGACCCGTTCCAGTTTGCATACAGAAGAAATAGATCTACTGATGATGCTATTTCCATCGCTGTCCATACTGTACTGAGTCATCTAGAACGACAGGGAACCTACGCAAGGCTGTTGTTTGTGGACTACAGTTCTGCCTTCAATACAATTCTGCCAGACAGGTTATTTCTTAAAATGACCAATTTGGGTATACATCAGAAGATCTGTCTGTGGGTAAGGAATTTCCTGACTGATAGGCCGCAGACAGTGAGAATGGGCCCTTACTATTCTTCTACTCTAGTATTAAGCACAGGAGCCCCTCAGGGATGTGTGCTAAGTCCCTTTCTCTATTCCCTGTACACATTTGATTGCACCCCACTGTATGAGTCCAACACAATCATCAAATTTGCGGATGATACAACAGTGGTGGGGCTCATTAGTGAGAACGATGAGACTGCTTATAGGAAAGAAGTACAGGGGTTAATTCAATGGTGTAAAGAAAACAATCTTATGCTTAACACCAAAAAAACCAAAGAACTCATAATTGACTTTAGGAGAAAGAAAAGCGTATTTTTACCATTGCACATAAATGGCGAGGAGGTGGAGAGGGTTGGTAGTTTTAAATACCTGGGCACTTACATCTCTGAGGACCTCTCATGGACTGTAAATATTAATATGGTTGTGAGGAAGGTGCAGGGGAGGTTGTATTTCCTGAGAATGCTCAGGGGACTGAATCTATCTCAGCACCTACTTCTGTCCTATTATCACAGTACCATCGAGAGTGTCTTAACATATAGTATATTATCGTGGTATGGGAGCAGCTCTGAAACGGATAAAAAGCTTTACAGAGAATAATTAAAATTGCCCAGAATGTTATTGGGCTCCAACTACCAACCCTGGATGAGATCTTCACGTCTCGCACTTTGAAGAAGTCACACAATATCCTGAGAGATCCCACCCATCCTGCTCACAACTTCTTTGAACTGTTGCCTTCGGGCAGAAGATATAGGACAATGAAAACACGAACCACACGCCTTCTGAATAGTTTCTATCCAAGAGCTCTGATTGCACTAAATAATGATCTCAGGGCCAGTTGCAAGGAATAGCAAGCAGGGAGTAGGAAGGAATGAGACAGGTTTTTAGGTTATGTTATGCTTTTAATAGGTTATGTTACATTCTGGAGTATGATATGTTTTTATAGATTATGTCTGAATAGGATGAGAGTGTTGGAGATACGTGCAAATGTGTATGTGAACCCGGTCTTCGAGTGGGTGTTTGATTTTCGTTGTTGTGTATACTGTGTATATACGGACAATGACAATAAATTTATCTATCTATCTAACCTGTATATGTACCTCCTTTCTTTATTACTTTCTCTATTAGATTTTCATCTAAATGTTATTAACTCTGCTGCGTTACTTGCACTCTGGAAAGGTGAAGGTTCATGGCAGATTTGTATTTTGAGGAGCTCTTTCTCACAGGCAGGTGATGGGATCCCTTCTGACAGGCCAAGCACTGAGCATGGCAAGGTGGGCACTGAAACCCTGTAACTCACGGTGTGGAATTTTGGCAGAAATCCCAAGACCACTTACTAAAGTGGTGCACTCTTCCCACCTTAGATCAAATCTATGCTGTCAGGTGCCATAAGAAAGCAGCAGAGATAGCGCAGGATAGTACGCACCCTGGAAATGATCTCTTTCAGCTTCTGCCTTCTGGAAGAAGGTATAGGGTTATAAAGGCTAGGACTAGCCGCCTGAGAAACAGTTTCTACACAAATGCAATTCTGGTTCTAAATGCAGCATAAGGGGTCTCTATAGTATAGTGTATTTTAAAATGGGGTTTCAGAGTTTTTAGGGGCTTTTGAATGTTTTATGTAGTTTTTCAATTTCATTGTTCTGCATGGGACAATGACAATAAAGGTATCATATATCGTATATATAAAGGCTCACACTATGAAACTGTAAGAGACTGCAAGTGTGCCGACCCAGAATCTGGCTTGTACCAACCCACAGTGGTATCTGTTTTTAACCCATATTTTTGTTTATTTGTACACCTATTCCAGAACTGTGCAATGGTTGTTTTCTAACAACAACTTGCAGCTGCTAGGTCCCTTCCATCCCCATTCTGCCTGTGTGCCCGTGAGGCTTCACTTACCTTTGCTAGTGGAAGGTTTTGCAGGCGGTCGCATCGTCTGTATAAGACGCAGCAGGTTGCTAATGAGGGAATCCTGAAATATAGGATTTGGGTTTAAAAAAAGAAGCAGAAACATAATTTATTGCTCCTGCAATTCTTTCCCTCCCCACCAGCTCAACCACCAACACCACCCTCTGCACCTGCCGCCTTTAAAAGATTTTGGCACTCACTGTAAATTCGGCACCATTCTTCACCAAGGCTGCCTTGAATGCATCAAAGGTTGTATTTCTCTCTGCGAGGTTTATCACAAATTCAGCTGTAAACAATTGGAGGGTGAAAGGAAAAAGGATTAGGCGAAAAGGGCTCACACAGTTTTGGAGCAGGCATGGTCCCAATTCTTAAAATACCTGCATATACAGTGGTACCTCGCAAGACGAATGCCTCGCAAGACGGAAAACTCGCAAAACGAAAGGGTTTTTGGTTTTTTGAGTTGCTTCGCAAGATGATTTTCCCTATGGGCTTGCTTCGCAAGACGGAAACATCTTGCAAGTTTGTTTCTTTTCTTAAAACCGTTAATACAGTTGCGACTTGACTTCGAGGAGCAACTCATAGAACGCGGTGTGGTAGCCTTTTTTGAGGTTTTTGAAGACTTTGGTGATTTTTGAAGCTTTTCCAAAACTTTTCCGACACCGTGCTTCGCAAGACGAAAAGAACCGCAAGATCTGAAAAACTCATGGAACGAATTAATTTCGCCTTGCGAGGCACCACTGTACATTTCCCAACTACCATATTTTTCACTCTATAGGACGCACTTTTTCCCCTCCAAAAATTAAGAGGAAATGTGTGTGCGTCCTATGGAGCGAATGCAGGCTCCTTGGCTTCAACGATAGCAATGTGAAGCCTCCAAAGCGCAGAGGAGTGCTCCCTCCGCGCTCTGGAGGCTTCAGCGTTGCTTAGCTGAAGCCTGGAAAGTGAGAGGGGTCGGTGCGCACTGCCCTCTCGCTCTCCAGGCTTCAGGGATAGCCGCCTGAAGCCTCCGGAGCGCAGCAGGAGGTCCCGCTGCACTCCGGAAGCTTCGCGTTGCTTTCGCTGAAGCCAGGAGAGCAAGACTCTCCTGGCTTCAGCAGAGAGGGAGAGCTGCGCAGCACCCCTTCAGCCAAGCGGGAGGAGAAATGGAAGGGGCTCTGTTTCTCCTGCCGCTTCGCTGAAGGGGCGCTGAGCAAAGAGGGGGAAAATTTTTTTTCTTGTTCTCCCCCTCTAAAACAAGGTGCGTCCTATGGTCAGGTGCGTCCTATAGAGCAAAAAATACAGTACATATTGCTTGGAAGAACTGGTGCACTCTCTATGCAATTCACAGGATGCTATAAGCAGATAGCAGATTTAACGAAGAAGAGATGCCTACAGATAAAAACAGTCCAGATTAGATTAGCAAGCCAGTCAAGAAGCATATCCTCCCTGGGAAGGGCACTCTCAGATTTAGGAACATCTCTAACAGAAGCCTGGCAACAGGTAGGGGTGTACTGGGGGTGGGGTAGGGGAAACAGAATTGATTATAATGAATTTAAAAGAACTGTTTAAAATATATTAAATGGTACCAATGATTTTTTAAATCGTTTCATTGCTTGTTGAAAGAAAGGCAGAATAAAAATCCAAAAAATTATAAATTAAAATGCATACATTTGTCGCATGATAACTGAAGGCATCATTGTCAGTCATATGACCACAGGTGAACATTTTTATTTTTGTAGCTATTTCTGAATTGTATCCTTTCCTCATATACAAACATGCTACAATGAACCACCTATCTAGGGCAGTGGGAAGTTTTCTACTGCAGGAAAATTCACACCATTGGTAATTTGACTGAGGGGAGGAGGTAATCCTCTGCCTCTGTATGCGAGCGTTTCATATCAACGGCTACCAGCCATGATGGATATGCTCTACCTCCACTGTCAGAGGCAAATCTTTAAAAAGTATAGTATAAACACCGACAGCTGGAAATCATTGGCCTGCGAGAGCTCCAATGGGAGAACAGCCTTTACCAAAGGTGTTGTGGACCTTGAAGAGACTCAGACTCAGGACAAAAGGAAGAAACATGCTAAGAGGAAATCATGTTTGTGACTGGGCAAGAGACATTGGACATAATATAATGTTGGAAGATTGGGAAAGGTTTTGGAAGAAAGGGGTTACCGTATTTTTCGCCCTATAGGACGCACCGTCCCATAAGGCGCACCTAGTTTTTGGGAAATAAAGGGGGAAATTATTCCCCAGGCGCGGGCTGGGGCGGGGAGCCCGAGCTTCCCTGACCCCAGCCCCCAGAACAGGCAACTCTTCGCAAGCCGCGGGAGCCCAGCGCAGGGCTCCCGTGCCTTGCAGAGAGCTGCGCGACTCTGGCATGCAGGCAACTCTCCGTGGCCGCGGAGCCCAGCACCGGGCTCCCGCGGCTTGCGGAGAGTTGCCGCGCGAAGCCTGGAGAGTGAGAGGGGTCGGTGCGCTCTCGCTCTCCAGGCTTCAGCGAATGCCTGCATTCGCCCCATAGGACGCACACACATTTCCTCTTCTTTTTTGGAGGGGAAAAAGTGCGTCCTATGGGGCGAAAAATACGGTAAGTTTACTGCATGTACGATGCTAAAGGAAAATATTATGAAAATGATGCATAGATGGTACTTAATCCCTGTAAAATTAGCAAAGATTTATCATAATAGTGATAATCTCTGCTGGAAACGTAAAGAAAAAGAAGGTACCTTTTTTCATATGTGGTGGACCTGCACCAAGGTGAAAGACTTATGGGAAAAGATTTATAATGAATTGAAAAAAAATGTTGAAATATACATTTATCAAGAAACCAGAGGCTTTTCTTCTTGGAATAACAGGTTTGGAACTGCCCCAAAAAGATGTTAAATTTTTTTTTGTATGCCACAACGGCTGCTCGAATATTATTAGCCAAGAACTGGAAAATACAAGAAGTACCAACAGTGGAAGATTGGCAGATGAAGATGATGAACTTTTTGGAGCTAGCTGACCTGACTGGAAGAATCTGTGACCAGAAAGAAGAGGAATACCAAGAAGATTGGAAGAAATTTAAGGACTATTTGAATAAATATTGTAATATAAACGATTAGAAGTCACTTGAAAGTACCAAATAGGCCTAGGACTAAATTAGGACTTAATTATATAAATGTGATTTAGAATGGTAAGAAAATGAATAAGATAGATAACAGTTGGAAATACTTTTGTTTAAGAATGATATTGCAAAGCTGTTACATGCAGATACAAGGAAATTCAGAAGGGACGGATTAGAGGAAGCCAATTAACATGTAAATAAGGATGGGTTTTCAAAAGATTAAGATCGTTTTTATTTTTTATTGTGATGGGTAGGGTGGTTTTGTGTACTGTTTTTTTCTTTGGTGTACTTCTGTTTTGTTTGTTTGTTTGTTGTTTTGTTATGTGGTATTTGTTATAATATTGGGATGCGGGTGGCGCTGTGGGTTAAACCACAGAGCCTAGGACTTGCCGATCAGAAGGTTGGCAGTTTGAATACCCGCAACGGGGTGAGCTCCTGTTGCTCGGTCCCTGCTCCTGCCAACCTAGCAGTTCGAAAGCACATCAAAGTGCTTCTGGCGGGAAGGTAAACGGCGTTTCCGTGCGCTGCTCTGGTTCGCCAGAAGCGGCTTAGTCATCCTGGCCACATGACCCGGAAGCTGTCTGTGGACAAACGCCGGCTCCCTCGGCCAATAAAGCGAGATGAGCGCCGCAACCCCAGAGTCAGCCATGACTGGACCTAATGGTCAGGGGTCCCTTTACCTTTTATGTTATAATTGTGGAAAATTTAATAAAAAAATTTGAAGGGAAAAAAAAGTAAGTTATGTTTGGCAAACCCTCACCATGATCAACTCCTGCCTGGAAACCTATGTCCCCACTGTGGAAGGACGTGTGCATCCAGAACTGGCCTTCACAGTCCCTTACGGACTCACTGTTAAGACCATGTTCATGGAAGACAATCTTCCTTGGCTATGAATGATCACCAAAGAAGTAGTCTCTAAATACCAGTTGCTGCAATTTGCAGGTGGGAAGGGAGCGCTGTTGCACTCATATCCCGTTTGCGGGCTTCTCACAGGCATCAGGTGGGCGACTATGTGAACAGGATACTGGGCTAGGTGGGACATTCGCCTGATTTAGCAAGGCTCTTCTGGCATTCTTATTTATTAATTCCCCAGCTTCATAAACGCAGCCTCCAGAGAGCACAAGGCAGCCCAGCAAATGTGGGATTTTCATCCCAGAATCCCCTCACCTCCTTTCTTTACCAACAGACAAAACAAATACAGTGGTACCTCGGGTTACATATGCTTCAGGTTACATACGCTTCAGGTTACAGACTCCGCTAACCCAGAAATAGTGCTTCAGGTTAAGAACTTTGCTTCAGGATGAGAACAGAAATCGTGCTCTGGCGGCGCCCCGGCGGCAGCAGGAGGCCCCATTAGCTAAAGTGGTGCTTCAGGTTAAGAACAGTTTCAGGTTAAGAACGGACCTCCGAAACGAATTAAGTACTTAACCCGAGGTACCACTGTATTACTACTACTACTACTACTACTACTACTACTAGTACTATAATTTATACCCCACCCATCTGGCTGGGTTTCCCCAGCCACTCTGAGTGGCTTCCAACAGAATATTAAAAACACAATAAAACACCAAACGTTAAAAACTTCCCTAAACAGGGCTGCCTGTTCAGATGTCTTCTGAAAGTCGGATAATTGTTTACTTCCTTGACATCTGATGCAAGGGTGTTCCACAGGGTGGGTGCCACTACCGAGAAGGCCTGGTCCCCTGTAACCTCACTTCTCGCAAACTTACTATTTATTCGATTTATAGATCACCCTTTATCCAAAGATCCCAGGGCTGCGTACAACCATAAGAACATAATTTGCACAGCGTAAGCCAGTGAGTCACAACCTTCTTCTTTTTTTGCCATGCTCCGCCTAAACATCTCTAAAATCCTGTGACTTATAATTCTTATTATTCAAAAAGTGAACTCCTATTCATGTGGAGGAAGCCTAAAAGGCCATTCACTTGGTCTAACCAAGCTTCCAAAGAACATGGATGGCATCCATGAAAGAGAAAAATAAAAGAATGAAAGGACAGTTGAAGTACTGAGGAAGAAATCACTAAGAAATTGTTAAAATAATAATAATAATAAGCGATAACCTCTCCACTGTCACCAGGTGACTGCCATGTACATTCTAATTTTAATTTTAAAAATGTGTATGTCACAATATATATTTAGATACTGTGTATGAGGGCCCTAGAACCATAAGAAATGCCAAAAATTCACTGTTAATAACACATTGGGAAGCATAAATTATAACCATAATAACAGCCCCCTAACACGTTTAAGAAGTCACAGATTATTTATTACTGTTATTGCAGATGACACAACCTTGATGGCAGAAAGTGAGGAGGAATTAAAGAACATTTTAATGAGAGTGAAAGAGGAGAGTGCAAAATGTGGTCTGAAGCTCAACATCAAAAAAACTAAGACCATGGCCACTGGGCCCATCACCTCCTGGCAAACAGAAGGGGAAGAAATGGAGGCAGTGAGAGATTTTACTTTCTTGGGCTCCATGATCACTGCAGATGGTGACAGCAGTCACGAAATTAAAAGACACCTGCTTCTTGGGAGAAAAGCAATGACAAACCTAGACAGCATCTTAAAAGCAGAGACATCAACGTTGCCAATAAAGGTCCATATAGTTAAAGCTATGGTTTTCCCAGTAATGATGTATGGAAGTGAGAGCTGGACCATAAAGAAGGCTGATCGCCGAAGAATTGATGCTTTTGAATTATGGTGCTGGAGGAGACTCTTGAGAGTCCCATGGACTGCAAGAAGATCAAACTGATCCATTCTGAAGGAAATCAGCCCTGAATGCTCACTGGAAGGACAGATCCTGAAGCTGAGGCTCCAGTACTTTGGCCACCTAATGAGAGAGAAGATTCCCTGGAAAAGGAGAAGGGGATGACAGAGGATGAGATGGTTGGACAGTGCTCTCGAAGCTACCAGCATGAGTTTGACCAAACTGGGCAGGCAGTGGAAGACAGGAGTGCCTGGCGTGCTCTGGTCCAGGGGGTCACGAAGAGTCGGACACGACTAAACGACTAAACAACAACAACATACAGTGGTACCTCAGGTTACATACGCTTCAGGTTACAGACTCCGCTAACCCAGAAATAGTGCTTCAGGTTAAGAACTTTGCTTCAGGATGAGAACAGAAATTGTGCAGCGCAGCGGCAGCAGGAGGCCCCATTAGCTAAAGTGGTGCTTCAAGTTAAGTACAGTTTCAGGTTAAGAACGGACCTCAAGAATGAATTAAGTACTTAACCCGAGGTACCACTGTATTTATTTATCTGTACCCCGCCTTTCCCCCCTGACATAGGCTCGAGGCGGCTTACAGATAAAAACAGTAACAGCCAATATGACAAAATGGACCCCTTTACACCCTCGGAGCCTACCCAGATCCTTGTCGTTGATGCCCAAGTGGTTGTCGAGCTCCGTGCAGACTTTGGAGACCAGGGACAGGTACTCGAGCTTAGCGAGCTCGTCCATGGGCTCCGCCATGGCGCCTCCGCCGCCCTGCGCCCACCGCGCAGCCTTCGGGCGTCCGACGACCGGCACTTCCGGGGGCGCCTCTACAGCGCAAGGATCATAGAGAAAGTGGGCGGGGCGGAGAGCGGGAAGAAAGAAAACAACCGCAGTCACTTCCGGTTTCCTCTTCTTACGGCGATGCCCATAGACCTGAGGGGAAACCATAGACAAGGACAAGCCTAGACAAGCCCTTCTCGAGCTTGGTAACTGCCGTTGAACTGCAAACCCCATCATCCTCTGGCGCTGGCCCCGCTAGCTAGGGATGATGGGAGTCGTAGTCTAATCAGACCAAGGCTTATTAAAGGCTGCTCTATAGAGTCTAGACTGAAGGTTAGAGATGGGTGTTCTGCTCTCAGTGTAATTTTTATTTATGTTCACTCCCCCCGGGCTGTCCATAGGAATCAGGGGAGAATTGTAAAAAAAATTATGATTTAACTGTGACCAATCAGCTGGTTGTCCCCCTCAAAAAAAAAAAAAAAAAAGGACAGGCAAAGAGAGATGTTTCTGCTCCTACTTCCTTGTGATTTCTAATAATAATAATAATAATAATAATAATAATAATTTATTATTTTATACCCCGCCCATCTGGCTGGGTTTCCCCAGCTACTCTGAATATTAAAAACAATACAGCATCAGACATAGAATTTGTTTTGTGCTTTTGCAACGTCTGCAATTGCCACCTGCCTGCCTTGCAAGTCTATGGAGGCTTCAAGAAGGCGGTTTGCAAAGAGGGTCTTCTGCCCACAGAGGGGTGTCTAAGAGGGGCGATTTTGAGCCCATACAGCCTGAGGGTTTGTGTCATAGCTGTCAACTTTTTCCTCTTCTTGCGAGGATTCCTATTTGGAATAAGGGAATTTCCCTTTTAAAAAAGGGAAAAGTTGACAGCTATGGGGGGTGTGTGTGTGTGCTTGTGTGTTGACTCGAATGTCAAACCAACCTCAGCTTCAAACCAGCATTAGGGTACCCTGCGAAGGCTATTGCACACTTCCCCTCAATCTGGTCCCCGATGTGGGAGCAATAGCACTGGGCTATTGCTTAAAAAGCAGAGACATCACCTTGCCAACAAAGGTCCGTATAGTTAAAGCTATGGTTTTCCCAGTAGTGATGTACGGAAGTGAGAGCTGGACCAGTGGCGTAGCGTGGGTTGTCAGCACCCAGGGCAAGGCAAGTAATTTGCGCCCCCTAACCCGGGGCAAGGCAAGTAATTTGCGCCCCCTAACCCCTAACCTGCCGCCGCTGCCAGCTTCTTCTTGCTGCTGCCTGGTCTGGTCTGGTGTGGTTCTCTCCCGCGCTCAGCGCTGCGCTGGGCGGCCGCTGCACTGTCCCTCCCCCAGATAGTCCCTCGCTCTCTCTCCGCACCACACGCCTGGCACCCACCGCCTGGCACCCACCCCCTCCACAGTGGGCGGCGACCCAGCGGCTCAGATGGGATTCGCACAGCCAGCACTGCAGTGAGAGAGAGTGAGTGAGCCAGGTAGGGGCAGAGAGCTGCGAGTGCGAGCGAGCGCCCCCCCAGATGTTGCGCCCGGTGCGGCCGGCCCCCCCTGCACCCCACACGCTACGCCACTGAGCTGGACCATAAAGAAGGCTGGTCGCCAAAGAATTGATACTTTTGGAATTATGGTGCTGGAGGAGACTCTTGAGAGTCCCATGGACTGCAAGAAGATCAAACCGATCCATTCTTAAGGAAATCAGCCCTGAATGCTCACTGAAAGGACAGGTCCTGAAGCTGAGGCTCCAATACTTTGGCCACCTCATGAGAAGAGAAGACTCCCTGGAAAAGACCCTGATGTTGGGAAAGATGGAGGGCACAAGGAGGAGACGAGAGGATGAGATGGTGGGACAGTGTTCTCGAAGCTACCAACATGAGTTTGACCAAACTGCGGGAGACAGTGGAAGACAGGAGTGCCTGGCGTGCTCTGGTCCATAGGGTCACGAAGAGTCGGACACGACTAAACGACTAAACAACAACAACAACGTTATTGCAACTGCAACACAGCTAGTGATATCCCTGCTATGGATGATCTCGCAGTGCATGGTCACTTGTTTTAATATTAGCAGCTGCATTACATTTTAAAATGATTCCAGGGATCTGTCGCGACCTTTGGCTAGTGCAATAAATTTATTGATGATGATGATGATGAAGTCTGCAGTCCAGGTGGATGGAATACGGCTGGCTGGCTGGCTGGCCTACCCTGCAGGGTGTCTGAGTATGTGAATGTGTGTGTGCATTACATTTTAAAATGATTGCAGGGATCTGTCGTGTCCTTTGGCTAGTGCAATAAATTTATTGATGATGATGATGATGATGATGATGATAAAGGTATGTGAATGTGTGTGTGCATTACATTTTAAATTGATTGCAGGGATCTGTCGTGGCCTTTGGCAAGTGCAATAAATTTATTGATGATGGTGAAGGTATGTGTTTGTGTGTGTGCATTACATTTTAAATTGATTGCAGGGATCTGTCGTGGCCTTTGGCAAGTGCAATAAATTTATTGATGATGATGAAGGTATGTGTTTGTGTGTGTGCATTACATTTTAAAATGATTGCAGGGATCTGACGTGGCCTTTGGCTAGTGCAATAAATTTATTGATGATGATGATGATGAAGTCTGCGGTGCAGGTGGACGGAATACGGCAGGGCTCCTGAGTGTGTGTACTGTATGTGTAATCTTTCCCCTGGTCATCCGAGCGCACTCCCTTCCAAGAACTGCCCTCCCGCAGCCCTGATTGGGCGACGTCACGGCATGACGCGTGACGCTGTGCCAGACCCGGGGGCGGAGGGAGGGGGGAGGGTCTGGAAAGATGGCGGAGCCGTCGAGCGTTTCTCCGGAGAGCTCCTGGACGGCCAGAGTGAGTGAGACCGGGGGGTGTAAGGGCAAGGCGAGCGGGTGGGGACCGAGGCTCAAGCCATGGGGCAGGTCTAAGGGACGGGGCGGGTGGGTCCCGGTCGCCTGCTCAGCTCGGAACCCGCGAGGCTCTGAAGACAGTGTCTCTGAGCATGTGAAGAATGCCCCTTCCCCCCTGGGAAGCAGGCCTGGGGCCTTTTCAGTGTATATAACCTAAACCCCATCCCTCCAGGTCAGTGAATAGGGAGAAGTGGGAAGAAAGGCGCTCGCTTGATCGCCTCTGGGGCGGATTTCTCTGGTTACGAAATCAGCTGAAATCTGGGCTTAGTTTAAACGTGGCTTAATGGAGCTGATAAACAACCCCTCCTAATTGCATTAAAAGATGCCAAGGAGACTTAGAAAAAGAAAAAGCAGCAGTTGGTTCTCCCGGGATTGCATAGCTGTCAACGTTTTCCCTTTTTTTTAAGGGAAATTCCCTTATTCCAAGTTTGATTCCCTCCCCCTCTTTCTTTTTCCTTTCTCCTCCTGTGAAGAGGCTGCTTCCTAATGTTTTAATGTTGTATTTTAATCTTGTTTTTAAATTGTATTTTAATCAACTTGTTTTTATTATTGGTTGTTAGCTGCCGTGAGCCCGGTCTTGGCTGGGGAGGGCGGAGTATGAATAAAATTTATTATTATTATTATTATTCCGAGTAGGATTCCTCACAAGAAAAGGGGAAAAGTTGACAGTTATGGGATTGGCATTCTGGCCTTTCAAAACTCCTCCTGCCCCTTCGACAGCCTGAACTGACCCTCCCTCTGCGCTCACGATGATGGAGCCTTTCTCAGCTGTGGGTTCCCAGATGTTGGACTATAACTACCATCGTCCCTAACTAGCAGGACCAGCCGTCAGGAATGATGGGAGTTGTAGTCCAACAGCCTGGGGGGGGACGACCCAAGGTTGGGAAAGGCAGAAGTAAGGGGAGACCCTGTTGAATGTTTGTGTGTATTTGAGCTGCTAAGTGCATAGGAAAAGAGCTGGAAAAGATTATAGTGCCCATTGCTCGTTTTCCGCTGCGTTGCAAATGGGCCAGAATGAAAGAGGAGTGGGGAAAGCTCAGCACTGAGACCTCTGCTCCAAAAGGCCTGAAATTGTGAGGCTCCTGTTTCAGGAATTCTGCCTTAGACCACTTAGCCATCCCACCTAGTGTTGTTTACTGGCAGCAGCTCTGCAAGATCCTTTCTTAGGCCCTGCTGCTGCTGATTCTGGGATAGTTCCCAAAGCTACCCCCTCCCCTCCAGAAGGTGGGAATATTGCTTGTCTCCTATCCAGAGAGGGGCGCGGGTGGCGCTGTGGGTTAAACCACAGAGCCTAGGACTTGCCGATCAGAAGGTCAGCGGTTCGAATCCCCGCAACGGGGCGAGCTCCCGTTGCTTGGTCTCTGCTCCTGCCAACCTAGCAGTTTGAAAGCACGTCAAAGTGCAAGTAGATAAATAGGTACCGCTCCGGCGGGAAGGTAAACGGCGTTTCCGTGCGCTGCTCTGGTTTGCCAGAAGCGGCTTAGTCATGCTGGCCACATGACCCAGAAGCTGTACACCGGCTCCCTCGGCCAATAAAGCGAGATGAGCAACCCCAGAGTCGGCCACGACTGGACCTAATGGTCCGGGGTCTCTTTACCTTTACCTATCCAGAGGCTGCAATATACAACTTTCAGTTTCCTCCCTTTAGTGCTATAAAATATATGAGGGCAAAAGCAACCTTTCAGCAGGTTGACTTCCTGCATTGTCACTTTGATCTTTCTACACAGAGAGTAATTAGGTTTTGAAAAAAATGTTTTAATGGGGGTCGATGGAATGATTTTGTTTTAGCTTTACTTGACATGAGATAACAGCATATTTGTTGAACACACCTCTTTGTGCACTCAGCACAGAGGTATCAGTTTTAGAGATGCTTAAGAACCAGCCACAGTTCAGGTAAGACATTGGCATGTGTCTAAAGAAAAAGTTGTCTTATTTCCACCCCCCTCTCTTCTTGTGGCACAACAAACCAGGTTGACTCGACGTTTAGCGACAACGGGCTGGATCCTGGTAAGTGTTTGGTAGCCCCTCTTTCTCATGACTTCTTGGATTGCTTATCGTCTTGCTAAATATCCTTAGCTGCTTTCCCTGCTTCTCCCTGGGCCCTTGTGTTTTAACAGGTGCTCTTCCCTTCCTTGGTGGATTCGTGTTTTGGGCCTACACATTTCAGCTGGGCTTTGGATCCACAAATTTTGGCTAGCCATCGTTTGTGGTTGCCACTGACTCTTCCCCTCCCCTCCTCAGACACGCACAGGATTTGGGAAGGACAAGGTCTCCCGTGTTGCCCTTTCGGAAGCGTTCAGCTGGGAACGGAAGGGTTGTGTGAATCTGCGTGCCGCTACATATTGCACCCATATTCTTAGAGTGGGAGAGGGACGACGCCTCATCTTTGAGCTGGAAGCATGAAATGACAAGGGAGAATTGTGAGGGAGGCAGGCAGTTATGGTGACCTCGTTTGTGGGCCTTTCGTGCCATACATACACACTTACCAGAGATATATATGACGGATCACACCACCGCATTCAGCTAATGTAGCTTAGCTCCCGGTTGCCCAATTGCAACCGGTGAATCCCTGCTTCACATAAAAGTGTGCTATCAAAGAGGGAGGACCGAACCCTTTTCTCCCCCTAACTGCAAACGCAGTAGGGTGGATAGAGGGTATTAAGGAGCAAAATTATGTGGAGGGTGCACTCTTGTCAGGTCTACTTTGGTGGTGTTTCTCTTTCAGCACTCTTTGTGGAAAGCAGGAGGAAAGGGAGCATTGCATCAAGAGCAAACAGCATCGGCTCCACCAGTGCCTCTTCAGTACCCAACACAGGTACAGCCCACTGACTTCTCTGTCAATGGAACAGTCACTCGTCTCCCAACTGTGAAGTGAACAGAGCCTCTCACCTGTACCCCTGCATTATTCTGGGAGGCAGTGTCTTAAGTATTCCAGTTGAAGGGAGTGCCATGGAAGGGAAGAAGAGAGGTATTAAAGGACTACCAAATGGGACATCAGGTTCACCATTGGTTGGTGATGACTTTTGGAAACTGCACTCCTAGTTTGACATAGCCAAATTCTCGGCTAATCCCTGGCTTTTTTGCAAGGTGTTAACGTCCCATCCCTCCTTCTCAGTGGCCCATGGAAGTGTGAAAATGCAGAGAAAAGGAAGCCCCCTAGCAGGGGTGTATTCCCTTTTAATTCCCAGAAAAGGGATCCGAGGCTGGCTTGCGCTTTCACAGCCTACAAATGGCGATTCTTCCAATATACCCGTGCAGTTTTCTCGTCGCAACTTGAGCCTGATGAAATCTTGCGGTGAGGAAGCTGCTGGGCGCCCTCCCCCGCTTCCCTTAGGCCCCTTCCTGCTGCCTTGCCCCTTAGCTGACAGGGCCTGTTTTCCTGCTGCAGATGATGAAGACTCCGACTACCAGCAGGAAGCCTACAAAGAAATCTACAAGGACCGCCGCCGCCGCGCCCACACACAGGCTGAGCAGAAGCGGAGGGATGCCATCAAGGTCAGAAAGTGGGGTGACCTACACATCCATACATGCTCGACGCCCCTTTCTGCCCCCCTGGTATAGCAAGTTTGCACTGCCCCTCCCCTGCAGCAGCCAAGAAAAATGGCGGCTGGAGGTGTGCTGACTTAGCTAATCATTTGGGAGGGGACAGCCTTGCTTTGTAAGTTTTAACACCGCTCTCCCTCTCTCCTACAGAAAGGCTACGACGATTTGCAGTCGATTGTACCTACCTGCCAGCAGCAGGATTTCTCCATAGGTTCAGGGAAGTTAAGCAAGGCAATTGTGTTGCAGAAAAGTGAGTTGAGGAACTGCTTGGGTGTGTTTGGCTTTTCGTCTTCCTTCCATTTGCATTGTGCATCTTATTTCTTACTATCTTCTGTCTTATTTCTTGCCAAGCTCCCACTAGTCTTGAAACCAGTTTCATCCTCTGCTCGCTCACTCTCCTTTTCAGATTATGAAACTCTGAATAGATTTGTCTAACTAGCACTAGTGCCTAAAGGGAGCCTAGCTTGCTTGTCTTCCTCCTAGAGGGAGAGATAGACTGCAACTTTCCTGAGTTAACAGGGCAGAATAGCCCACAGGTTCTGGTTATGTTTTGAGAAGCCCCTCTGTGGTTGCGTTCTAACCCGCTGGTGTCTTTGCTCCTCAGCCATTGACTATATCCAGTTCTTGCACAAGGAAAAGAAAAAGCAGGAGGAAGAAGTCTCCACGCTCCGGAAAGATGTAATGGCCTTGAAAATCATGAAAATGTAAGACCCTCTGTTAATGTACACATGCCATTAAGACAGCATGCTTCAGTAGCAGCCGTTCCCACAATATTTATAAGGGACGGAATTGAACTCCTTAATTGTGAGCGGTCAATTCTATCCTGTTTCTTTGAGCTTTTAGCTTTCCCCGCTGCAACAGCTGCTATAAAACATCCGAGAGTTCAGATAAGCCCTCCATGTCTTTCCAGCCCAATCTGCTTCTCCTAAGCCCACATTTATGCATTTCAGAAACTACGAACAGATTGTCAAAGCTCACCAGGACAATCCTAATGAAGGGAAGAACCAGGTCTCCGACCAGGTGAAGTTCAACGTTTTCCAGGGTATCATGGATTCCTTGTTCCAGTCCTTCAACGCCTCCATTTCCGTGACAAGCTTTCAGGAGCTCTCGGCATGTGTCTTCAGCTGGATAGAAGAGCACTGCAAGCCACAGGTAATTCCGCAGTTTGAGAGCATGTGGCTAGCCGTTTCGTGCAGCAAATACGTGCTTGTTTTGCTCATGCTAACCTCTTTGGAGTCTGTGCTGCCTCCTGCTCAGAGGCAAGCAGGTGGAAATTGAATCGATCGAGGGGTCATGAGATAGATTTCCTTAACTCCTCCTGCTGTTGCTAAGTACCACTCAGTAGCCTATGGCGTTCATCTCTTTGTACAGCTGGAACTGGGTAGATTGAACTCCTGATAGGAGAGAAATGGTTTCCTTATCTTCCACAGTACCTTAATTATGCAAATACTCCCAAGTCAGCAGGGCACTAGAGCAGGGAGCAAAGGGTTAACCCCTTCCACTAGAATGCAGGGGCAAAATCAGAAAAAAAATGGCCTTCTGGAAAAGTATAGCGCTTTCAGCCTACGTGGGAGCTGCTTGTCCATCACTGGACTCAAAAAGATGAGGGCTGCTGGCCAGCCTATAGCATGCTCTGCCCCAGACTGACTCAGGAGACAACGGGTCTCTGATCTCGTGGACCTCAGTGTCCCCAGCTATGGCAGCTCCTAGTCCATCTGCCTCTCCTCTCCAGTGTCTGATAATCTGTTCATTTAGTGCCCAGGTAGGACTGTCAAGAGTAGCTCATACCAGCCTGGTCCTCAGCAGTGAGATGACAAAGTGCTGTGGAAGTGGTACAGTTGTGTCCCAATGGACACAACTTCGACTTGGCTCCTAAGATGTCCCACGCCTGCTGATTTTGGCCTTGGCTTTACTGCCTACTGCAGAATTCTGTGACCAGAACATCTCAGTTCTGCACCCACATTAACATTTACCTAGGTAAATTCACAATTTAGTTTGAACAGTAAGATCTGAGTGTTTAAACTTGCACAGTTTTTTGGAAGGGAGTCGAGATGTGAAGGCAGATATGTATTTACAGTGGTGCCCCGCAAGACGAATGCCTCGCAAGACGGAAAACCCGCTAGACGAAAGGGTTTTCCGTTTTGGAGGTGCTTCGCAAAACGAATTTCCTATGTGCTTGCTTCGCAAGACGAAAATGTCTTGCGAGTTCCTGCGGGGTTTTTTTCCTTCCCCCCCCTTTTTCCCAAGCCGCTAAACCGCTTATCAGCTGATGGCTAAGCTGCTTAACAGCTGATCGCTAAGCCGCTTATCAGCTGATCGTTAAGCCGCTTATCAGCTGATCTTTAAGCCGCTTAACAGCTGATCTTTAAGCCGCTTATCAGCTGATCCGCTAAGCCCGCTAAGCTGCTAATACTGTAGCGCTAATCCGCTAAACCGCTAATGGGCTTACTTCGCAAGACGAAAAAAACCCGCAAGACGAAGAGACTCGCGGAACGGATTCTTTTCGTCTTGCGAGGCACCACTGTATAGAAGATCTCCCCTCCCATTACTAGAAGTCTCATCCATATTTGCTCAGTGCTGATCAACTGCTCAACTTTATCAAGCGTTCCCCCGCCCCACCTCAGATCCTCAGGATCCACATCAGGCTTTGATTACCAGCACTTTATGCAGGATGATCCTAAGGAACTTGACAAATGGCTCCTCCTCCAACTGTTGTGTAGTATTTGCTTATAAAAAGATTTATATACTGCTAACTCATATAGAAAATGTCTAAGCTACATACAGCAAACATAAAATCAGAAGGAACTCGCCAATCACATGAAATCCACCCACCCAAGGAAGATGTGATGTTTCTTGGCTGATCTCCATCGCGAGGGCATTCCACATTGTTGGATCAGCCATGCTGAATTTTTCATAGATACTAACAGTCCTCATTCACTTGAGAGACAGTTAATGGCATTCCTCCAGTAGGTCTCAGCGATTAAACAGGGACATAAGGGGAAACCCAGCCAGATGGGCGGGTTATAAACAATTAATTTATTATTATTATTATTATTATTATTACTATGTCTCAGGTGGTCCTTAGGGTAAGGTGCAAGACTGTGATGTCCCCCTGTTAAGAGGTTGATGATTCCCATGGGTCAGGAGCCTGAAAACTAAAGGTTCTGGTTTAATCCCATCCAGCCTAGTTTCCCCTGTCTTCCCAGCCCTACCAAAGAATACCCTTTAACCTGAACCAGCTTCTTACGAATTCCTATGGACTTTCCCCTCCTAGACCCTACGGGACATTGTGATTGGCGTCCTGCAACAACTGAAGAGCCAGCTCTACTGACCACACTTGGGCACCCCAGGAGGGGTGTGTTGTAGCCTGGCGCTCTGTAGCCAAGAGGCTATTCCTGCCCGTACTTCCTCTTCAAGCTTTTTTGGAGGGCTATTTGATTGTATTGACCTCTGAAACCCTTCTCTCGGCCTCCTTATGTGAGCAGGAAAGAAATTAGCTGTCTGTTCATGAGGATCAGTCGCTGCGGTCTCGCTCTTTCAAGCCTCGGCCCTGATGTGTTCTTCATGTTGACCTAGCTTGTCTGATAAAAACCCATCTACAACGCACAGTCCTAGGGTTTGATTGTGAGCCAAGTTCCTTCCCTAAGGGTACGTAAGTACCGGGACTCAAGCTCTCTTCCAGCCTTCGCTTCACCTCAAATCAAGAGCAGACGCTCTTAAATTCTCAGTACACATAAGGCTTTGGTCTAAGTGGCATTAACTTGGTGTGGACACTTTAAAACAGAGCCCCCTCTCCATTGTGTTTTATTCAGACACCCAATTTGCACACCCAGATGCCTTAGCCCAGCATTTAGTTTGGGCTACTAAGGGCTGTGAGCTGAACAAGTTATGCAATAAATGGGTGTGTTTTGCATACATGATGTATTCTGCTTGCCGTGCAGAAGGGCAGTAAGCCATGCTAACACTGAAGCCTTGCTCTCCAATTCCAGCTTCTGTAATTGTTTGACCGGGTCACAATACCGTTTGCCTTCAGTACCACAGATTGAGAGAGGCTGGCAAGGCTTACATGGCAGGGGAAGCCTTTTCAGCCCCTCGGAGCCCCCCAGTTTCTAAAAATGCAGCAAAAGTGAGCCTAAGCCAACCCTCCTCTGCAGCTTCTGCTTTCTGTTCTGTAGCTACAAAGAAGGAGGGTCCCCTGTCCTTTTATAAGCACCACTTTCTAGATCTGCTGCTGGCTGGTGGATAAGGACTCGCTTAGACAGACCTCACTTGTGAAAATGAAAACTATTTTTTTATATCATGACAAGCAATTCTAATAAATTTTGCTAAGTGTTTGAATGACTGGAGTGTGCTTGCCTGTTTGTTTTCAGCCACACATAGCCAAAGCTAAATTTTAGAAACCGGCTTCTCCAACACACTGACACATCCATCTCTGAATACCTCGAGAGTTCCAGCACTAAAGTTATTCCAGCATTTTTCTCTTCTCGTTGAGAGATGGAGTGAACATCTAGACCCCCAAGTGTTACTTGCACAAGTCAGGCTATCTTAGGCTAAAAACACACCAGCCTTTTAAGTCAGGGGATGGCAACGTGCGGCCCATGGGCCAGATCCGGCCCACGAAGACCGTTTTACTGGCCCCTGAGCCGCGCTGCCCGCTCGGTGAATCCCCCCCGCGCTGCGCTAAACTTGCGCAGCACGGGGACTCGCAAGCGGTGCCGGAAATCGCACCTGCACACACGCAGATACCAGAAATCGCATCTGCACATGCCCAGATGCAAAAATAGCTTCTGCATAGGCGTGGTTTTCGGCGTCTGGGCATGCACAGAAGCGATTTCCAGCGCTGCAGACATGTGCAGATGCAATTTCTGGCGTCGTGCTGTGCCCGCCCGGCCCACGGACAATCTGTTTTAAGCAAACAAAGAAATGCTGCTCTGCAAAAAATATTTCTATGGTTAAAATCTCAAAGGAACCTACCTGAGGTATCTCAACCACATATGTCTATGGCTAAGCCAGTTTTTAAATATATATTCAGCCACCCTTCCCAACGCATAAATAGTCTAGACGAAACACAAGTTCCCCAAAGCAGACAGAAGAAGCATTAAACGCAGAACGCAAAGGAGCTGGGTGGGTTTAATATGCACAACACACCATCTATACAGAATGCAGGCTGGTTACAAACAGAGAAAAATGGTACAGCCTTTAGAGTTAATTCAAGTATTTTATTTTGTGTCCCGCACCCCACCCCCAGACAATTTTCTCAAGTGCTTATCAGCAGTCCTGTGTAGTGAGACTAACAGCTTTAAGAACAAAATGGCAATTAGCCTGACATGCCAGGGGAGAGGTGCCGGAACTAAGAAATAATAGTGCAGTAGGCAGGGCCTGCTTATCTCCATTCAACGCAAACGTAGTTTCAAAAATATACAGCAATGTGGAATATGTAGGACTGAAACTTGAGTGCTAAGTAGGTGACAGTTTCATAAAACAGGGAAGCCCTTGGGTTCAGACGGTGGGTAAAGTAACATTGAAATCTTCATCTGTCTCAATGCCAACTTCCTCCTGCACAAAGGACAACACAGACTCCTTAAGATGCAGGGCAGGAAAACAGAAGCATCCTATATCCCACCTCTCTGCAGTAGTTGGACTATTGCATTATGGGAGCTCGCCGAGAACAGCCTGCTCAACCCACTGTTATGAGGCCATGTCATTCAGTGGCAGATGGGTTGGGTTTGTTACTCACAAAGAATTGCTTCTTGCTTTTGGGGTAGCCTTCCAGGATCGCGTCAAGTAGCTCTGTCGCCTGTTGAGAGAGTCAAAGCGCACACTTGGCTACTTGGCCCTTCAACCAAGACAGAATTATACCACAGTGCTGGTAGACAGAAACAAGCCCTCTTGATGGTACAGACAAAAATGACCAAAAAAAGGGATGAGCCTAAATATTGCAGGACTCATGGTTGAGTTTACAGGTTGTAGCTGGGAGGGACAATGGCAACAAGCTATTCCGTATTTCTCAACCTCTTGAAGAACACGCTCCTCGGAGTACTTAGTAGTGCAGAATACAACAGTCTGGTATGATTAGAGATGGGAAGCATAGCTGTCAACCTTCCCTTTTTTTGCGGGAAATTCCCTTATTCCAGCACCATTCCCTGCTGCTTCCCGCTGCTATCCCAGATTGTTAGATATCCCGTAGACTGTCCCCGGGACAGGTGAGGCTGCTGATCCCTTATTTTCGAGGCTGCTGATCCCTTATTTTCAAATCTGAAAGTTGACAGCTATGATGGGAAGGCCTGGGGAAAAAAACCCGGAAAAAATGGGGGGGGCAGTCCTGCCCCCCGGTTTTTTCTAGAAAAAATGAAAAAAAAAGGGTGTGAAATATTCAAACTATATCGAACTGTTCCCCCAATTTTTCTGGGGTTTTTCTAGGCCTTCCCATCTCTAGGTATGATCCTGACTTACCATTCTGGAGACCAGATTCAGAAGTAATGCTGATCCAAAGAATGGTTTTGCTCTTGGTAGTATAGAAAGAGCAGGGAAGGATCAAATCAGCTGTGATTTACTAAACGTGCATCAGCACACTTACGGGATCATGCTAAACCCATGGTTTAGCTTAGTATTATAATGCTGAGCCAATGGGAAATACAAAAGGTCTAAACCTCATATCCATCCTGAAACTTGAAATTCCTGGGCATTCTCTTTTAAAAAACCAGAACCTGTTGTTTCGTTCAGCAGACTACAGTGACTAAAGCTAGAATTAAGATTTAGCTCAAAATACAAAAGAGAGCCAATTGGACTGTCTGGTACAGCGCTCAGCTACAAACCTCAAAAGAGTTACAGTGGTACCTTGGGTTACATACGCTTCAGGTTACAGACTCCGCTAACCCAGAAATGGTACCTCGGGTTAAGAACTTTGCTTCAGGATGAGAACAGAAACTGCATGGGGGCAGCGGGAGGCCCCATTAGCTAAAGTGGTGCTTCAGGTTAAGAACAGTTTCAGGTTAAGAACGGACCTCCAGAACAAATTAAGTACTTAACCCGAGGTACCACTGTATAAGGAAACAAACTGAAGAAAAGAGATTTCATAAGCAAATAACTATTCACGTGTGTGGGCAAGATCCTCAGCAAGGAAGACATGGTGCAAAACGACATGCAAACCACAGCCCCTCATAGCTCCCACCACAGATTAGCAATTATTCAACAGAAAGCATAATCCCAGGAACATTAAACATAATGAGCTAGAATTTTCGAGAATGTTCAGCCTGCAATCCCATTGAACTCATCAGGACCAACAAACAGAATCAAACCGTCAAACTTACAAAGGAGAAACGGATGAAATCTTTCAATTAAGAGACATCTGTCATTACTTCTGGGGTTCCGATCTCTGGAAAGGGCATCTGGAAACTTCTCCCTCCTAACTTGCAACCCGATTAAACTGGGCAACAAAGTGGATCTGCATTTGAACATTGTAGGGCCTTGCTTTTTCTGTTTCTCTAGACTTGCGTAGCACCTATCACATGTGTATAGCATTTTCTATGCACATCTGGATGGATGAAGTTACAGAACCAAACAATTGTTGGCATCCATCTCTCAAGAGAGGGACAATGGAGTGCACCTATGGGGATGAAGTGAAACTTCTGCATCAGCGGCACCAAAGTAACCCGAGCTCATGGGCAGCCCAGATGACAAGATCCCCCTCTCGACCTTGCTGATGTGGTCCGAAAGAAAACAGAGCATCACAGTTTGGCTGCAGGAGTTGCAGGAAGGAGGCGTACAAGGTGGCGTCCAACCGTCTTAGGGACTCCACTCTGGATTTGTGCGGGGTTTGCTATTTAGCATTTTCTTCTCCTGGAGATACCTTGGAAGGCAGCAGAGGTTTAGGATCAGAGCTTTCCTTCTCCTAGGTGGGCTACCTTTACAGGTGGATGAGCCCCATCTGCCCCTCACTTCTCTCTGCAGCACGTGCAGAAACCACCTTCTTGACCGTTGAACGCACTACAGTCATACCTCGGGTTACAGACGTTTCAGGTTGTGTGTTTTCGGGTTGCGCACCGCGCCGAACCCGGAAGTACCAGAATGGGTTACTTCCGGGTTTCAGTGCTCGCGCATGCACAAAACCACTAAATCGTGCTTTGCACGTGCGCAGAAGCACCGAATCACGACCCGTGCGTGCACAGACTGCAGGTTGCGAACGGGCCTCTCGCACAGATCACGTTCGCAACCCGAGCGTCCACTGTATTGGTTTTGTCCCCTCAATCCGCTGGAACCTGTCTTTCAATGCAGGGGAAGTCCCTAACTCACAGAGGGTTTGAGACCAATTGATCACTCTCGCCTGTTTTAGCTGGCCAGTGAAGCCATTCCTGGCATGTGGCCACTGTCGCACGCTGACATCTTCTAAGAGCCACAGGTAAGACCTGAGTAAAGGGTGGGCACACTACTCCAACATGACATGTACGGGGTGTTAGGGGAGGGGTAGTACCTCTGATCTAAATAATAGTATTTTTAAAATTGCCCTTGGTGCTGTGCGCACCACTTATTTTTTTCATCCTATATGAAAGACAAATTGCCTTACCATTCTCTTCCGGCGACGCCATTCCCTGCAATACAACTTCTTTTCATTGTACACCTGCAACAAGCAAAAGGAAAACAATTCTTACACTCAGTCCCCAACAGAATGGCCGGTAACACAGCCGGCTATGATGTGAGAACCAAAACCACAACAATTGTGTTGGACACTGTGTGCACAAGCTTTCTGTGTGGGAAAGAATCCCAGAAATGGCAGGCAGCTGTGCTTTTACAGAGGGGACTGTTCACCTTGTGAGTAAGGACATCCATAGTACAAAAATTGCTTTGGTGAAATTCTAAACAAGCCCCACAGCTAAAAGGTTCCTGAGAACATGTGCTCACTGGTTGCCTTGATTTGATTCAATGCCAGACAACTCCAGACAAATCAACATTTATCCCCATTTGAATGCTCTAGGTACAGGATGAATGCTGGGACTGCCCAGATCCCAGGAAGAGTAATAAATAAATAAATGACAGTATGCATTTTGGAGTTCTCCCATCCTTTGGTGTTTGAGGCTAGCTGAAAATTCAGCAGCGCTAGGGGCCCTGCGTATGGCTGGCAGAGATTGGCAGGGCCCCCAGAAAGAACTATACCTGTCTGGACCGTGCCAGTCTCCACTATTGGCCTCTCCCTTGGCAGCTCCATTACCTTTTCTTTCTCCTCAGGAGTCACATGATTGGCAGCAGATTTAATTCGCTCCAGTTTCTCTGTATAATTGGCACAATCTTTTTTTAACTCTTCAATCTCCTTAACCATCTCTGGGGTTGTCATAGAGCCCTTCAGTTCTTTCAGTTCTGGAATGGAATTGCTAGTTACAACATCTGAGATGGCATCGGTCAGTGGGAAGGACTCTAGGCATTCTGTGTACTATGGCTCAGATACAAACATTTCACAAAGGCTCCATACTGTTCAAGTGCTCAATCGCACATGCACTCACTCAGCAAAGGCTAGCACAGCAGACGGACTGAACCTGCCTGAACACACCTGACTCCATATGACGACAGTTCTGTTGGAGGGTCTGTACTTTGCAAGACAGTTCCGAAATCTCATTGTCCAGGCCTTTGAGCTCTGAGTCATTCACACTACCAAAGCGATCCTGCAGGACCAAAGACGTGAGGGTTATTAGCATAATAAGACCAATGGAACAGAGGATAAAATTGCTACCATGTCACAAACTCTACTTGCCTGTCCAGCAATTACATTTCACTCATGGAATTTGAGTTTCCTACACAGTTGTCATTGAAAACCTTTTTAATAGTTTGCTTCAGTTACTGGTGTGAGCAAATATTTACTTCCCATGGAACTTGAAAGGCATTTCCCTTACCTGATCTGGAAAATAAATTTTTTGCTTTCCGTACACTTTCTCTTTGATCTTCCCTTGTTGAGCCAACTGTTCTAGTGCCTTCACTACAGCCTAAAGAAACAAGAGAAGGAATGGACTGAGGAAAAAAGTAATATTCACAAGATATCTGTGAAGTGGACAGACTGATCTTCTGTATGTGCATCTAAGTATATTTGTCAAGCAACAAAAACTGAAAATTAAAACTTTGAGGACTCTCCTTCCCACATGATACTTGCACATCGAAGGAGACTTACTTAAACATGAATTCTAAAGTCCAGCATGATACAGTATTGACAACTCACATCGCTATCTACTCGTAGCCAGGAAAAAATCAGTAAGCTGTGGAAGTGGGAAGAGCTGTAGAGCCCAATATCCTAGGAAGCACAATGTGAGATTTTTTACAGCCAGCCTCCCATGCTGCAATGTCACTACACTGTATATAATATGATGAGAAACTGCTGCTGTAAGCAGACAAAGCTTAGCTGAATTTATAACTTGTATAGAGAAACAAGTATATATCTCTGTCAGTCAGTTACCACTCAATGTGCAGCATTGTGAAGTACAAAATATTTGTCAGATTTGCTTAAAATCAAGACAATATCAAACTAAGAATACCCAATACAGTGGTACCTCGGGTTAAGTACTTAATTTGTTCCTGAGGTCCGTACTTGACCTGAAACTGTTCTTAACCTGAAGCACCACTTTAGCTAATGGGGCCTCCCACTGCTGCTGCACCACCGGAGCACAATTTCTGTTCTCATCCTGAAGCAAAGTTCTTAACCTGAAGCACTATTTCTGGGTTAGCGGAGTGTGTAACCTGAAGCGTATGTAACCTGAGGTACCACTGTATAATCGGGGGCCTTTGAAAGGTATACAGAGTGTATACCTTAGCTTTTGAAAGATGTTGTACATGTCTATTTTGCACTAATGGTGGATGATACAGCCCCCACACCTTCACCTCTAAGATCTTCTCTCACCGTCTTGCCCAGGCCATGCTCTCGTTGTAAGTTGCCAAAGGCATCCTGAGCACTGTGAGGCCGGTTCTGCTCCTGGAGGTAACGCAGCAGGATGGCAGCTGCACCTTCTCCAGCTCCTTTGGAAACAGAAAGCAGCAGTGTGAATCAACGTGCTCTACGTGGGGCTACCTTTGAAGGTGACCCGGAAACTGCAATTAATCCAGAATGCGGCAGCTAGACTGGTGACTAGGAGTGGCCACCGGGACCACATAACACCGGTTCTGAGAGATCTGCATTGGCTCCCAGTACGTTTCTGAGCACGATTCACAGTGTTGGTGCTGACCTTTAAAGCCCTAAACGGCCTCGGTCCTGCATACCTGAAGGAGCGTCTCCACCCCCATCGTTCAGCCCGGACACTGAGATCCAGCGCCGAGGGCCTTCTGGCGGTTCCCTCACTGCAATAAGTGAGGTTACAGGGAACCAGACAGAGGGCCTTCTCGGTAGTGGCGCCCGCCCTGTGGAACGCCCTCCCATCAGATGTCAAAGAGATAAACAACTACCTGACATTCAGAAGGCATATTAAGGCAGCCCTGTTCCGGGAAGTTTTTAATATTTAACGCTGTACTGTTTTTAACACTTGATTGGGAGCCGCCCAGAGTGGCTGGGGAAACTCAGCCAGATGGGTGGGGTATAAATAATAAATTATTATTATTATTATTAAAGAAAGAGGAGCATGGGGATGGGGAGAGAAAGCAAAATTTAAGGCAATTCCATCAAGAGTGCAGGCCTTTCTATTGCTGATGACAGCAACTTGGGAAGAACTGTAGTGGGAAAGAATAGTAGGGATCCTCAGTATGGGCCGTGTTCATATAGGAAGAAAAAGTGGCGGTTAACAAACATGTATTGATGCATTCTCCCCCCTCCCCCGGTTTTAATGTGTCAATGTGAGTTTTTCTGTTTCTTTGTTGGCAAGTTGCTTTGGGTTGCCCCCAACTAATAATAAGCACACAGAGAGAGGACCGAGGGCTTCCATTCTTGGTTCAGCCCATCCCAAGGGCCTGCTCCAGCATCACATGAACAGACCCAGATCCTGCGATGATCAGTATACCCGAAGGAGCATCTCCACCCCCATCGTTCTGCCCGGACGCTGAGGTCCAGCGCCGAGGGACTTCTGGCGGTTCCCTCATTGCGAGAAGCAAAGCTACAGGGAACCAGGCAGAGGGCCTTCTTGGCGGTGGCGCCCGCCCTGTGGAACGCCCTCCCATCAGATGTCAAAGAGATAAACAACTACCTGACATTCAGAAGACATCTTAAGGCAGCCCTGTTCAGGGAAGTTTTTAATGTGTGACATCTTAGTGTATTTTTGGTCTTTGTGGAAGCCGCCCAGAGTGGCTGGGGAAACCCAGCCAGATGGGTGGGGAACAAATAATAAATTATTATTTTTTATTTTTAGGTTCACCATCTGAGGCCCTTCTCTGTGCAACCCCCTTCCTTGAGAGATAAGGAGAGTGGCAACATGAGAACGGGGCCTTTTCAGCGGCAGCTCCCCCTTTGCGGGACACTCTCTCTGGGTAGGCTTGCCGGACGTCGTCATCGTACATCTTTAGGCGCCGGGTGAAAATGTCCCTGTTTATTCGTTTATTGAATTTACACACCGCCCTATACCCGGAGGTCTCACAACCTGCTCCTCATAACCAGGCCTTTGGCTGATTAAAGGAGGGTTTGCTTTTGTTCCTTTGTTATATATTTCGATTTCCTTTGTTGTTGTTCTATTTATTTACTTATCATTATTATTAGTTGGTAAGGCGCCCTGCGGCCCTCAGATGAAGAACGGTATACAAATGCAATGAATAATAATAATAATAATAATAATAACGATAGTAATCGCCACGCAGTCTCTGCGGCCTTCCAGAAAACGGGAGAATTGGCGCCTGAAGGAAGGCAAGAAGCAGGTAACAGGTCTTCGGACACACCGCCAGAAGAGGCCCGGATCCGGACTCCGCGGGCGAGGGAGGCCTGCGGCGAGAGGCCCGGCCGTTGCCTAGCAACGCCAAGGACCGGAGGGAAGGCCCGAGCCGCGGCCTAGAGGCGGCGACGCGCACGCACGCTCGCGCTCCTTCTCTCCCCACCCCCTCCGCCTTCCCCTCGACCCCCCACGTTCTCCCCACCCCGCACTGCCTTACCTGCAGCTCCCTCCCGGGTTTTCCCTGCTCCGCTCATCCTGGCCACGGCGGAGACCCCCCTACCGGAAAAACCCGGAAGCGGAAGCTTGCCGCTAAGAGGGCGGGAAGGCGGGCCCAGTGGAAACCATAGAGCTATACCCTTGGGTGGATAGGCCCTGCCCGGCTTCCGGGAGCGCGTTCGGGCCAGGAGAGGGAGGGCGCCCTGGAAACCACGGAGCTATAATGGTAGAGGGATAAGCACTGTCTTTAGAAAGCATCTTAAAAAGTAGAGACATCCCCTTGCCAACAAAGGTCCGTATAGTAAAAACTATGGTTTTCCCAGTAGTGATGTATGGAAGTGAAAGCTGGACCATAAAGAAGGCTGATCGCCGTAGAATTGATGCTTTTGAATTATGGTGCTGCAGGAGATTCTCGAGAGTCCCATGGACTGCAAGAAGATCAAACCTCTCCATTCTGAAGAAAATCAGCCCTGAGTGCTCACTGGAAGGACAGATCGTGAAGCTGAGACTCCAATACTTTGGCCACCTCATGAGATGAGAAGACTCCCTGGAAAAGACCCTGATGTTGGGAAAGATGAAGGGCACAAGGAGAAGGGGACAACAGAGATGGTTGGAAGGTGTTCTCGAGGCTACCAGCATGAGTTTGACCAAGCTGCGGGAGGCAGTGGAAGACAGGAGTGCCTGGCGTGCTCTGGTCCAGGGGGTCACGAAGAGTTGGACACGACTAAACAACAACAACAGAAGCAGCTGGTGGCCTCGGCAGGAATCGGGAAACCCGCCTGCTCGCAAAAGGGCAGCCACGGACACAAGGAAGTTCAGGCTCTTGTCTAACTTCAGGGAGTTGATGTTACCATTTCAAAAGGAGTTTAGAATGATTTACAAGGCTGGGCTGCACTGATTCCTGTAGTCTTTAATAAATACTGGCAGCATTGGGAATATTATTCTAATTTGCACGAAAGTAACCATTTGATCGATGGCAAGGCGAGGAGAAAGGAATTTGAAGGGTTGTTTTTATTTTTATTTTAAAAAACCTTTATTAACCAGTACACTTTGCGGTAGTCAGAATGAAAGTGCGGCCAAGACTTATTCCAAAACCTGCCACCTTACTTGTCACAGACGGCAGTTTGTTAAACCTTTCCCTGACCTATAAGATTGGCCCCTCATTAATGCGTATGAACCCCCAGAATCTGTTCTATTTACTTTGATGTTGTCATACCGCTCTATTGATTCGTCTGCACTTTTGTTATAATGAATATCGTTTTTAATATTGTTCATAGTGTAAGTACCGCTTAGAGATTTCAAAAAAAATGAAGTTGTTTTGAAAGGCTTTTAAAATAAATAAATATACCTGTTTTGTGTGGGTTAGCAGAACCAAACAAAACCTATGCAGGACACTTTAAAAGGACTATGATCATGTAGGAAGGGGGTGGTCTTGCTGTTCTTTTTTGTGCTGGATATTATGCACCTGTGCAAATTTTCATCATACTTACCTGGCATCACTCCAAACTGAGGCTTGAGTGAAGCCAATCCAACCGTCTTTAGTCCTGGCAAGGTTAGTGGCTCAATAATACTTATTGCTTGATCTGAACCTGGAAAGCCTGCCATTAGCACTCAGTGTAGGCCTAGATAGGGGCAGGGACGCATGCAATGTCCCTGGGCTCCTCTCTGGCCTTTGCACTTGTAGCTTCAAGGTCCGCTAAGGGTTTCTAAGCATTTTGAAGCCAGGTTCTCAATCACAGGAAGCTTTGCACATCTAAAAATGAGTCCATTAGGGACATTAGAGATAGGGCTTGCATGTGTACCCATGTCCCATTGAAGTATCTCTGTATTATAAGTGTAGCACTGAAGAAACCAAGAAACCGGGCTTGTCTCAAATTCTTTATTTTGCACCAGTTAGGGCAGAAAGAAACACTCAATAAAAACAAAAAAAAGTATCATCCCACTACTGATACAGTGGGTAAGGTATGGTTGTTTTATTGCACTAAAATCTTGTTCTAATCCACATAACACAAAACCTAATGAAATAACGTCAGTTTCCCACCTCAAAAGTTATCAGCATCTTATTTTAAAAACTTCTGCAAGATGACAAATTACTCTATAAACTTCCACAATATTGGCTGATTTGTAAACACTAAAAAAGGCAGTTAAACACCATGATATTGCCACACAAATGCTACCAAAACCAAGCTGTTTCAAATATACAAAGCACCACCCTCTTGAGTCTTTTCTGCAAGAATGTGCTATTTAGGCATATAGCATCTACATCACATTACTGCTTGGCCAAGAAAACAATAGGCAGCGTATCACAGAGGTCTTCAGGTGCGAAGTTGGAAAAAATATGTAAACGCCTAACTACAGAGCCTGAAAAAGGATGCAAGTTGAGCTGGAACTATGGGAACCTAGAAGGCTAATTGGATATGCAGGTATTCAAGATGGTTCAGTTCAGCAGATTTACAAGTTGTGAAAGTAGACTGGAAACCTTTTAAATAAAACTAAAAGTAAAAGCACAGCATTTATTCAAGTCTCTCTTCAGTCCACAGAGGGTTATCAGAATGGCTTTGCACCAAGAATAATTATTTCTAAGGTACACTCTTCCAATCTTTTTGTATACAAACCCAAAAAGTCTGGATGTAGTGTTCTATAAGGGAAGATATGGATCACCAACTTACTAGCTGCAGCACATAGCTCCACACAGTATGTTCTGTGAAGGTTCTTTGCAGGTCTGAGACGCTGGTTAAAATCATACCAGCATAGTTAACAACTTGTGCCGGTTTTACTGAAACAAGGAGAAACAGGTATCAGGGGTCCTGTGAAAATCCACACCAAAACATTAGCAACATCCAGATGCCATTTGTAAATGGTTTATTCTTGAGGAACACAGCACCATCTTCACAGCAATGCACAGAGTGCAACCAAGATATGGGAATTTGTTACCCCAAATCAGTCATCGAGCCAATCTAAATATGGTCTTCAGATACCTTTAGCCAAAACAATGCTGCCGCCATACTGATTGCAGAGATCCACAGAAATGATGATATAGTCTCATTTTGTATTAATAGAGGTTTTTTCTCATGAAATATTCTGAAGCCATGATTCCCACTTTTATGCTCTACTTGCAAAACTGCACATACTGCGGGTGAGCAGGCCCTAGGAATCTGGCTTTGCTACTCGTTTTCATCTGTGATCCTCGGTTAAAAAAATTCTGTAGTAGCTATATTGTTTTCTTCAAAAAGAGGGGGCCATCTGAGAGCATAAAACATCCATGAATTCTGAAACAGGTGTCAAATGACAAGTGCATGGACACGTCAGACTGACAGACCCTTTGCCACCACAGACTGCAGACTGTTTAGTGAGGAAGCATGTTCATGGTTCCCGCATAGGTGCTGGCTTTGGTGGCAGACAGAGGGTAACTAGGAGCCAAATCTTTTGTTGCTTCTGCCCAAACCTTTATGGTGCAGGGTGGAGGGCATTTTTAGTGCTGGGAACTTCTCTGAAATAGTTAATAGTAAAGTGTGTGTGTGACTGTGTGACTGTTTGCATGAGTGTCCAACCCACCAAAATATTATTGCCATTATCATGTGCGAGAAGAGCCAGAATAGAGCTCCAGAAGTTCAAAACATAAGGATTTGGGGTCATTACGTGCAAATGCTTACTGGGGATAGATAGAGGCTGCTTCCTATACCTTGCAGATGTCAGGGTCCCATACACAAACATAACAGAGGTACACTCAGTTAGATCTGAAGATTTCCTTCTTACAATCAGCAGCTGGGTACAAGTCACTTCCATCACTCAAGAGATTTTAGAACTTGTTCTTTATCTGGCTTTTGAATAAAAGCCAATTCCTGTTGCCTGACTCCTGTTGCATTAAACACAAGCTGAGATCTGTCTTCCAAGGCCCGATTTGGAACGTGAACCACGGCAGCGGGACATTTTGGCTTTGAACAAAGAGTGCAACACACAGCAAGCTAGAAAGGTGAAGGGCATGGCAGGTTCAGCAACAAATATCTTCCGGTTCTGCACCAGAAGGGTTTTGTTCTAAAATTCACACTGTCTTCCAAATTTGCCCAATCAGGCTATACATCAAAGAATGGTGTATTATCCTACTCCTGCACAAGGCTCTCCATCTGTGCTCCATGAGACAGAAGAGCCACAGCAGGGAAGGGAAGACAACTGTTCATTGGCCGCGGGAACTGGATGGATCCATCTGATTCAGCTCTGACTGATCCAGCAGTTCGAAGTCATCTCCTTCAGCATCCGTATCAAGCTCCGAGCTGGAGGTCCGGAGGAAGGCCCTGGCACTTTGCTGCCGTCTGTTGCCAGGCACGGAGCCAGACTGGGAGGCTCCTGACAAGGCCAGCTGGATCATTCCCCTGGTCACAAAGCCAGCCAAGTCATCTGTGAGGTTGTGCATTAATGGCAGGTTACCTAGGATATCCGAGGTCACTTCCTCCCGGTCATGAGAAAGTCGCAGCTCTTCCTGGCCTTGTACACGGCAGGCAAGGCTTGGTATGCCTATGCTGGTATCATCTTCATCGTCTATGCCTGTCACCTCAGGGTTTATGGAAGGGAAATCTGGAAGATCTCGGGCAAAGGATTCCTCAGGGTCGCTGTGGCCATCAAAGTCTATTGAGAGAGAATTAGTTTGGCGAAAAGTCATTACTCGATGTCTTTGCCTACCACTAAGTAGTCTAACTTCCTATTGGAAAACAGGCAATAATTTCTTTAAAACTATATTGTCTTCCCACAGGGATCTATAATGTTTGGGGGGGGCGAATAAAAAATTATAGAGTTATGAAACCTATTCCCAAATACTTGACTGAGCTGCCTCTTCTGCATGAGAGAGAAAATTTACAAAGCTTCTGTACTGCAGCAGACCTCAGAATTGAATCCGAGGTACCAAGAACTAACTATCTGGGTTCTGGCATTCTTAATTTGCAAATGGGTCTTAAAACAATCCGACAGGCAGAAGCCTTTCTAACTCTTAACACCAGAAAGTTCCCATTTCAAAGAATAAAATTCCAGATTCTGTCACTCCGTGGACCAACGTCTGCCTGCACCAATCTTTGTCTGCTTCATTCAATGTAAACTACAAGCTTTTTAGAGCAGGACCAAGGCAAACCTTCACTTTATCCAGGTTCTGATATCTTGCTTTTTTTATCCCAACAACCAACAGCTGCAACAGTACGATTAATATGTTATTTGGTAGCAACTATGTTCTTTAATAACTTCGATAATAGCTGTCCTCACCTTCAGATCCCTCTGTCAGGGGGGTTTGACCTCGTGAGAGATTAAATGTCCCATTCTCAGTATAGGATACTTCTGCATCAGAGTGCTCCGAATCAGAGATAGCCAGCTCTTTGGCAACTATTGCATCATCCAACTTGAAAAGAAGCAAGTGATAAAAAAAAGATCTAAGCAAGGTAATTTGGGGTTACTGGAGAGCACACATACCTCCACAATGCCATTCAACACCACATGGACCCAGAGACATTCCTCTCAGCAATGGAAATGAGGAACTTGAAAGCCAGGCACTGCCCTCCAGTTCTTCATTTCCATTCTGGAGGTCTTTACTTCATTTTACAGCCATCCAGTGTTGCCCAAAAATTGTTTTATGAAATTAAAAATGCCTAAATCTGCTTCTGAAAGTATGGGATGTAGATGTTATGAGGGAAATCCAATGGCACTATAAAAAAATTAAACTTCATATTCAAGTTAAGAAGAATAGAGCCAGCAGGAGATGCTATATCTCAGAAATCAGGCAAGTTTGACCATGAGTAAAAACTCATAGGCCTCCTTGTTGCTTACCCTCCCCCACCCCAATCTTAGCAGCACCCTATCTTAGCAGCGGGTGGCGCTGTGGTCTAAACCACAGAGCCTAGGCCTTGCCAATCAAAAGGTCGGTGGTTCAGATCCTGGCGACGGGGTGAGCTCCTGTTGTTCAGTTCCAGCTCCTGCCCACCTAGCAGTTTGAAAGCATGTCAAAGTACAAGTAGATAAATAGGTACCGCTCCAGCGGGAAGGTAAATGGCGTTTCCGTACACTGTTCTGGTTCACCAGAAGCGGCTTAGTCATGCTGGCCACATGACCCGGAAGCTGTACGCCGGCTCCCTTGGCCAATAAAACGAGATGAGCACCACAACCCCAGAGTCGTCCGCGACTGGACCCAATGGTCAGGGGTACCTTTACCTTTATTCTTTAACAAGTTCCATGCCCTATTTACCGTGGGACAGAAAGCAGCAAGTTCTTCTTCACTGTCGCTCCCATCAGCACCAGCAGCATGATGGCTCAGCATCTGGTGTCGCACTGCAGAGAAATCAGAGCACGGAATAGCAGTTATAATTGGGAAGGAAACAACTCTGCATGCCCATAAAGAAGCCAAGCAGAAGAAACAGGCGTGATCCAGAGAGAAGACTTTGGGATTGCAAACCAGAGGCTGCAGAGGGCAAGGAGGGGCACCCCAAGAGCTAAAACGCTAACTGACCACTGTGCCCTAATTAGGACTGCAACAATTCCGGCCCCATGTTAGAAACAGTTCGGACATTCAATTGCTCATCAATTGTGGGAAATGCTCATTCCCTTCCTCCCCCCCAACCTCCCCCCTCAAAAAAACTGTGGTCAGGGATGCGAGGAACATTCTTAGGTAACTACTGATTCATTCAGTGTTTTCATCCGCTCTTCTCAGGTTCCTCGCATCACCAACAAGAAGAGGTCGCAGACAAGAAGTGGGTGAGTTGGTACCAGCCCTGCACAAGACTTACATTGCCTCTCCTTATGTTTGGACGTCATGTAGCCATGAACACTGAAGTCTAGCCGCTGCAGAGCTGGCTCCAATTTGGTGTACAGGCGGTGACCCAGCCGGTGGTAGACAGCAAGCGGCCACAGAAGGATGGAAACCACTGCAGGAGAAGGATAGCAACAGGAGGACTCAAAGAAGGAACTTTTGGAAACTCAAGGCAGTAGAAACATAAGATGATTGGAACCCACTGAACTTGAAGCATGGGAAGCCCCAACAAAAAGTTATAATCTGGCAAAATATGTGGACTTTATGATATGAATTTGGAATATTTAATGTGATTTGATTTGATTGTTAAAATGGAAGACTTAATAAAAATTATTATTAAAAAAAAAAGGAAACCACTGCAGGAAGAGGATGATTAGAGGGTTGGTGCTCAATAAACTCTCTCAGACGGCATTTTGGGATACAATATAATAGAACAGAGATATCATGTATTATATCATACATAAAGATCTTATCTAAACGTATAGATATGTTTGTGGTTTTATTGTTTGCTTTGTACTTTCTTCTTTTTTTGTAAACCACTTAATGGACTGTTTAAACATTTTGTACACACAAGTTTGCAATGCAACCGACTTGGAACAGCTCAGAATAACCTTGTTTGCAAATGCTCTGTACTTTCAAGTGAAGGGCACACTTCTTGCCCAATCCCCGCCCAGCACACAGACACTCACTTGTTAGATAGGCAAGACAGACACCTGGAATGTACTGGCCCAACACAGCCAAAAATGTGAGGACACCGCAAGCCAGAAGGCAGAACTGGAAAACAAAACCCAAAGTTAGTCTCTACTGAATTAAAAAAAGTGAGCAAAGTGGCTCCTACAGCTCAAGATCATACAGAGACACTGCCTGCTGCCAGCAAGCTCACTGCTTGGGAACAGAGACCAAAACAGAGGAATTCTGCTTGAGAAGCCTTGCATAAGCATTAGGAGAGAGGGAGGGAGGAACATCATGAGCCACAGCTGCCTTTGGACCAAGCCCTGGAGTGATTTTGACAGAATCAGGGCAACATTTCTACTTTGGAATGTAGGTGGAAGCAAGACCAGTCTGATGAAAGCTCCATCTAATAGGATGGCTGCAGTATTTTCCATTTTGGCATCCCATTCCTCTTCCCCTTTGTACCTGCCTCTCAACCCTCCAGTTTCCTTCTTTCCCAGTAATGAAGGCACACCTGTACAGAGCACTTTGCGTACAGTTACAGACGGATTATACCTCTACATAAATAAAAGAGTAATTCAAACTGCTGCTATTCTTTGTTCTTTGCTCCCCCTTCTCCTCCAACCCGTTCCCTGATGGCTAATACCAATGAGAACTGCTTTTCACCTTGCCAGGATTTTGCCTTTTGAAGCCCAACAGGTTCCTCATGAAGCTGTCTGCTGTGACCCATCCTTCTGCCAAATAGTGACATAGTTCAGGCACACTCAGCAGTCGGGGGTGGACATAGCCCCAGCTGGAGGGACAACAAAAAAGGACATCTTACCTTGCTGATAGAATATCAAGAAAACCTACTAGAGTTTTAAAATAGCCCTCTTCTCATTCCACCTCATCAAAGCTGCTCAGGGTTCACGTTTCACACGCAAGAAACGGACCCTGCATTTGAACTTGAAACCCACACTTGCTTAATCTGAGCCCTTTCTAAAGCAGCAGCACTCCCAAACACATAACCCACAGAAGTGAATGAAATTTTCTCAATTCATTTCAATGGGATATGTGCAGAAGAATTTAACACTGGAGGAAACCTTCTAAAGGGCAGACAAGCCACTCACATGTATTCACAATTAGGCTGTTTAAAGGGTGTTAATAAGTACTTAAATCTCCATGTCCTTGGCTGTGCACTCAAAGAGATTAAGGAGCAGTGAAGGGGTTGGATTTCCCCAGCTTTTCAACCCATTTTAACAGGAAAACTGGGGATTCTAAGAACCCAGTGTATGCAGAGTTCAAGGTCTCAGATTTATGTAGCTTGCAGCCTAAGCCTAATACAGTGGTACCTTAGTTTACACATAATCCATTCTGGAGGTCCGTTTGTAAACCAAAACAGGTTGTAACCCAAGGCATGCTTTCGCCAATGAGGCCTCCAAAATTTTTTTGTTCGGTTAAAAAAAAAAAAAAAAAAAGGGTTGTGATCCAGAAAAAGGTTGCAAACCAGGACACGCACTTCCGGGTTTGACGTGTTTGTAATCCAAAACGTATGCAAACCAGGACGTATGCAAACCAAGGTAGCACTGTAATGGTTTACAGCACAATACTCTACATGGCAACTCAGAATGATGTCCTATTCACTGCAATAGGACACAGAATTGCAACCTTACTCTGTTACCTAGCAGTATACTTTCTCCCAAGCAAGCATAGGATCGCAGCCTTAGTTACAAACTATGAGAAGAGGTAGGTAAGCGACAATATTTAGGAGCAAGGGATCTTTCCTTTCATCCAGCCATGGAAGGGCATTCATTTGCCAATAAGGTTTAAATTAACAAAAAGCATTACAGCTAAGCCACACAAGCACATGTAACATGAGACATGCTACAAAGAAAAGGATATTCAATTTTTCATACCTTTCATTGTCTAATTCATCAGGTCTTGCTACTAAAACATTAAAGACAGATGAGGATTAGTTGTGAGGGAAATGCCTGGGAAAACTCTTTGCTGCATAATTAAAATACACAGATGACTTGAGAATAATGCATAATTGTTTCCCACTGACAGCCTGCAACTGAAAACATCCTGAGCTTAGTATTTTATCCTGTGCCCCCACTTTTATAAACTCAACTTTTTTATTTATTATGTTTGTAATTTTGTACAGATGCAATTGTACAATTGTAGAAATGGTTCTGTTGCCTTTAGTTTACAAATGCAAACATTTTGTATTTTATTGCACACTGCTATTTTGTTGTCGTTTGTGAGGCAGTTTATAAATCTGCAAATATATTTAAAATGTATTTTAAAAATTAAAACACTGCTCAAGATAGCTTCTTGTAATGCTCTTATTATTATAGCAGCCTGGGGGTGGGGCTAGCAGTCAATGATCTGGTTAGCATGTAATGCTAAACCTCACCATAGCTTAGTGCAAATGTGTGGGTTGCCAGAGAAGATATTACGGTCACTTTGCTTTTCAGTCATTCATGTACCGTAATCTGAAATCAAGCTCATGGTCTGACACAAAAGTAACTCAAGTTTACCCTTGTTTTACAGCTCATGGTTTATCTTATGGAGACAGACCACAAGCGTGGGTTTGGATGACGTACTAAGCCAAACTATGGCTTGGCTCATAGCAGCAGGACTGGAGGAACAAGAAACCACCATCTCCTCTCCCAAGGACCTGCGGCCTTGCACTAAACCATGATTTTGCTTAGCATTATGTGCAACCTGAACTAATACTCTTTTAGTTTTTATCTAAGATGATAGTTCTCAAAATGCAAGCAGGCTTTCAATTGGGAACAAGTTTTTTTTGAATCAAATATTACCTCAGCTCCAGCATGTTAGAGAGAAAAACCATCAGGTTTCAGTGTTCAATGAAGCCTTTAAAACTACTGCTTTAATTTATTCTTCCATCCTTCATGAATACAGCTTTCTATATCATAAACTACTACTATAGTCAACAAATAAATTTTTTTACCATGGTTACCTCCCTAAGAAATTATACTATGGTTTTTTGAATTGACATGACCGCTTTCAGACTAAAATATAATTTAAGATATACACCAAGATGTTAGTTCAATGCTCAATTTAATGATGAACTAAAGCCTGGACTGTATGTCTCTATAACCAATAAGAAAAAATATCCCTTTGGAATATGTTTTAACATTGATAAACAAAGGCTTTTTCTGGAGCTAGAGAACAAAAGCAGATCTTTGGAACATCTGAGATCTGGGTAAGTGAACTTGGAAAGCAAAGCTCCTACACATGAACAAGTAGTGAAAATGCAGCAACCTGAAATACAAATCCCAATTTTCCAAACCGCCAGTTTCATTATGGTGGAATTGCTCTTCTCCCTCCCACCATCTGAGCAGCCAGGGAGCCTTTTCAACACTATCAACTCCTAAACATTCATTTCAACTAGGAAGGCGCCCAGTTTACAAGATCTTTGTCAATGACTGTTTTGATTAATGAGACCTGCAATTTCTTGAGTTCAGAAATGGGGGTGGGGGAAGAGACCACAGCTGAATTCAAGGGTCAAGTGGGGAAAAACATACCTCTTATTTCAGGCCATATTTTATTCTTCCACTGATCTAAACACACTATTAGTATCAGGGTGAAAGCAACCAAGAATAGCAGATGAAGAGACGTCAGGGCAAAAAACCTGAGGGAAAATAAAGCTAGTCAGTACACAATTTTCCTCTAGAAATGTTACCTTAAAAGCAAGAGCTGATGTTAGGCCATGGAGCAGGAGAATCCCAAGATAAATAATCATTGCCTTATGATTGGCAGGAAGAGGTTAGAAAACAACAGGTAAGGAATGGAAGGTATCACAACAGCTTTTTGGAGTATATTTCCATTAGGGTTAAATAATGTGAGAGAGACGATTTTGTGTGTGTGACCTCTATGACATCCACCAAATATCATCCTGTTTCTGATCAATGATCTGAAAACTGATCATTTTAGCTATTCACTCTGCCAATCAAGAAGGAAACTGACATTTATGGCAGCTGCAGCTTATTTCTTATCATTATATTGAAATCTTAAGCATATGAGTTGCTATGGACAGGAACCAGTTTACAGGAAATGACTGGCAGAATCCGAGACCAGGGAGAAGAGACGGTGAAAGAAGACTGGAAGAAATTTAAAGATTATTTACAGAAATATTGTAAAATTAAGGAACCTTAGAAGGATGCTGGATAGAAACTAAGAGGTTTTTAGCTGTAATGCTTTAAGAGATATGAAAAAAGGTTTACAATTGGGCAAAAGTTTAATGGTAAGGATTTGCTGAACCAACAAACTGAACTGGAATACAAAAAAGGGAGGTATGAGGAGGTCCGGGGAAATAAGTCTAGGGAAGATAGGTTTGGAAAATTAATGTTTTTTTAACTGTTTTATTTTGTATGTTTCCTTTTTATCCTTTACTTTTTTGTTATACTTTAAAAAAAACTTTACTCTTTTTTCTGTATTTTGTATTTCTTGTATTTTTTGAAACTTTAATAAATATTATTTAAAAAAAAAAGAAAAAGAAAAAAAAAGGAACCAGTTTACAATGGCTTGTACCTTCTGGCAGAACAATGTTTAAAGAGACAAAGATCAAGGGGAGAAAAATTGTTCGGCATCAAGTGTCAGGAGTTTGCAGAAAAGCGGGAGAAAGCTTAAAACTGCCTATGGACTACAGAAAGATGGCTGTGTGTGTATATATATTCTCATGTTATTCTTATTTATCTCTTAAGAGTCATTATAAACAAATGAGTATCAACATATCCGGCATTTAGAAAGTATTCAAGTCAGTGGTCACTTTCCACTCAATTATAACCAGAAGCAAAATCTGCAGTGCTAGTAAGCTGTGAATAAGAGTTACACAGCTTTCTATAGTCAAAATTATTTTTACCATAAATGTAAACATGTAAATAACTTTGTATCCATGAATACAAAGAATGATTGATTACACTTTTTTCAAACTGAAACACTCAGCAGCCAACACAAGATCCTTGCCATTATGTTTCAACATAAATTACTATGGATTTTACAGTCTTAATATCTCTGGTAAGCTAAGGCTGAGCCTTGTTGAATGGCTGCAGTCTGTTAAATGTAGCAAGAGAGATACTCAGCGAATGCCAAAAAGCCTGTTAAGTCAGTGAGAGGCAGAACCACTCAGCAGTGACACACAAAATGACATGTGAGCTCAGAGGTTCTGTTTTTTTTTCAGAAGATTTGAAGACTTGCTTGTTCCCTCACTGAATAAGAGCAGTGTGCTTGCTCTACAACGATTAGTCAAATATAATCAGTATTGTTGGGAAGGAGCTGCATCCACCAGAATCAGAGACAGATGGCTATTTTCAATCATTTAATGAGAAGCAGCCCTTGGGAGAAAGTCACAAGCCATCTGTAGCACTAATGATATAAATGATCAGTCTGAGGCATGTAATAAGGGGCTCTTCAATGAGACCCAATTACACACTAGTACTTAGCAAGAAGATACACAGAAGACCTCAGGCTCCTATCAAGAACAATGCCAATCTTTCTTTGGTGTCCTACCTATGGAATTAACACACTTCAGGTCTGTTTTCCAGAATACAAATTACCGTATTTTTCGCTCTACAAGACGCACCTAGTTTTTGGAGGAGGAAAACAAGAAAAAAATATTCTGAATCTCAGAAGCCAGAACAACAAGAGGGATCGCTGCGCAGTGAAAGCAGCAATCCCTCTTGCTGTTCTGGCTTCTGTGATAGCTGCGCAGCCTGCATTCGCTCCATAAGACGCACACACATTTCCCCTTACTATTTAGGAGGGGAAAAGTGAGTCTTATAGAGCAAAAAATACGGTACTTGGCTGATAAATACAGTACAACCAAAGGAAATGTGTGTGCATTTAAAGCAATCTTGTTGCGGTGAAGGTCATACTGAATGGGGAAGCTTCCCAGGGCTTCACCCAATAACAACAGGTTATCAATAATAGATTATCAAGCATCAGGGGATTTCCCTTTGAGAGCAGGGTAGACCAGGGTTCCCCAGTCACTTGTGCAGTGTGTAACTGCCTGCATTTATCCTCTGTTTTTATTAATTGCAACTGAACTTTTTATTTCCAGAAGTAGGTGAGCAGGTACATGCTTATGCTCACATGAAGGCAGTTCAGGGGACTACACATTTCCTATTGTTTCCTTAAAAGCACTGCTGCAGCCATAGCAGCTTGGTGCTCTGAGAAGCAGTCTATCACAATGTGACACCATTACTCTCTAGAACAGGGAATCAGAAGTCTGTAATCTGGCTTTCCAGAACCACTTTCTGGAAGCATAGGCAGTGACCACATAAGAGGCAGATTTTGGCTGGTCAAGGACAAAGCTTTGCTCTGCTGAGTTGAGAATCAGTCTAAGAAATTGAAAGGGGTTCTGTAAAGGGTGCCTGAACCTCAGGGAGGGGATCATAGCTTTGCCCATCGATGCTGAGCGAAGCACTAGGAAAGCCTAAGATCCTAACTTTTCCATCCAGTATCCAAACAGCTCCATCAAGTCTCCAGGTGTTCCCATGGCAAGTGCAGGATTGGCCAGCACACCCATCACTAGCCCTCATGATTCATAACAGAGAGCAACTGAACTCTGTCAATTCAGCATGCTCCAACCTGCCTAACAAACCCACATTATAAAACAGATCTAGGCAATGACTTCTGCCGGCAACCTTTTCCCTTGGGTCTAAGTCTCTAAGAGTACACATGAACTTTCTGGCTAGGAAAAAACTAAAGCAAAAATAAGATCAGTTCAAATCTCACTTCTGGACACAAAGAAGGCTCTATTCCCATAAATACTTTTATCCCATATACTGTCTTGATGTCAAAACACTAGATGCAAGCTAGTTAGCAAGCAGAATTGTCTTCACAATGGAGGGTGGAGAGAGGAGCTCTTCCTCAGGTGATTACTTTTTGCTTTTTTTTATTCAAAACTGACAACAGGCATGCAAACAGGAGGGATTAGCAGGGGCAGTAGCATATGGGCCCCAACAACAGGTCACTTGCTAGAGCATGAGACTCTTGATCTCAGGATCTTGGATTCGAGTCCCACATTGGGCAAAAGATTCCTCCATTGCATGGGAACACAGGGGGCTGGACTGGTCCCGTTCAATCCTACAATTCTGTGACTTCTACAAATTCTTCAAGAAGCTGCCAACCCCTGGATTGGCGGTAAGAAGGGTGATGGAGTGGTAGTGGCAGCTCACTGAGGCCAGCTCGAGGTTGGTGGCGCAGTGCCCCATTCCCCAAATGGACCAGCCTCCAGCAAGTCCCTTTCTTCCTAGCCTCTAGGCCAGGCTCCCTGACAAGAGCTCAGCAAAGCTGCCACATAAGTCATCCTTTTAATCACAATACCACCATGCTTCATAAAAACATAATGGATATTCCTCTTCAGAGACTCATTTCGTTGGGAGAGTTTAAGCCACCTGTTGTAAGACCTGGTAGTCCCTTGTAGTCTGGGGGGACAAGGTGGGGGGTACAGTATAAATAAGCATATAATTGTAATTATAATAAATAACAACCAGGGATATCTCTGTTGGTAGAGTATGAGCCCCCTAATCTCAGGGCCGTGGGTTTGAGCCCCACCTCGGGCAAAATATTCCTGCATTGCAGGGGGTTGGAATAGATGACCCCCGGGATCCCTTCCAACTTTGTGAAAGGAGGCTAAAAGAGTACTTCAAGTCTGCTTCCACACCACTCAATAATAACTTATTACTTCAGGTAGTGCTAATAAACAAACAACAACAACCTGGGACAGCTCAGTCTGAAAAGCAGGAGCCTCTTGATGATGATGATAATAATAATAATGATTTATTTATACCTTGCCATCTGGCTGGGTTAATGCCAGGGTCGTGGGTTCCAGCACCATTTTTTGGGGGGGGGGGAATTCATGCATTGTAGGGGGGTGGGACTAGATGACCCTCAGAACCCAAGCCTGCAATTCCATGACTTTACCCGACACCCCCCGCCAAAACCAAAGCAACCCCCTGAAAAGGATATTCCCTCATGATATGTTACTTCAGGTAGTGCTCAGAAGCACCGCAGGAGAAGGAAAAGCTTCACCCCACGTCCAGCCCGTTTCCCGCCCGCGTCCCCTCGCCTCCTTCATCCCTCCGAGAGGCCCCTTTTCCTGACCCCCCTCGCCCCTCGCACCCGAAGGCGGCGTGAGCTCCGGCCCAGCCCAGCGCGCTCCTCGCCGGCCTCTCCCAGACGAGCGTGGCCTGCAGGGCGCTCAGCGCCGGCTCGTAAGGCCCCAGGCGGCCCTTCAGGTAGGCGCTCAGCGCGCGCACCCGCCGCTCCCGCTCCGACGACGCCGGGGCCTGGGCGCCGCCGCCGCTGAGGGAACCTTCGCCGCTCCGGCCGCCGCCTCCTCCTCCGGCCTCCATCCTTCCTCTCTGCCCAGCGTCACCGGGAGACCCGCGGATAGCGGAGGAGGATCATCGTTCTCCGTCACCAACGGACACCGCAGAGGCAAGCGGCACTACCGCCGCCGCCTCTCACACACTCGCATGGCCGCCCCCATAGCGGCGACAACATAGGGCGGCGCCATCTTGCCGTACGGAGAGCGCGCTTCCGGCCGTTTCGGCGCACGCGCGTTGCCAAGGGAAGACAAATATATATATATTTATATACCGGATTCATAGGGTGTGAGGAGGAGGTGAAGGCGGGAAGAAGCGTAGCGGGGCTGCAAACGGCATTTATTTTCCTTTTTATTTATTTTTTAAGAAGGGGACGCGTCTCAGGCCCGGGAGGAGCAGGGGCCGGAGCCGCCATGCCGCGGGAGATCATCACTCTGCAGCTGGGGCAATGCGGCAACCAAAGTAAGGCCGGGATGCGGGGGAGGTCTATGGAAAAGCGCGCAGGGCGGGGGAGGGAGGCGTGGGGACAGCGAAGGTTCCAAAGGGGCGGGGCCTGGCGTTGGCCGCGTTCTATTGGGGCGGGGCCGGAAAAGTGTTGAGGACTAGACACTTGAGTTGAAGATTTGGAAGGTACGTCAAGGGCCATCTAGTCCAGCCCCTCTGCAGTGCAGGAACAATAATGATAATAATAATTGTTATTGTTATTATTATTTATTTCTTTATACCCCACCCATCAGGACGCTGGTGGCACTGTGGGTTAAACCACAGAGCCTAGGACTTGCCGATCAGAAGATTGGCGGTTCGAATCCCCGCGACAGGGTGAGCTCGGTCCCTGTTCCTGCCAACCTAGCAGTTCGAAAGCACGTCAAAGTGCAAGTAGATAAATAGGTACCACTCCAGGAGGAAGGTAAAGGGCGTTTCCGTGCGCTGCTGTGGTTCGCCAGAAGCGGCTTAGTCATGCTGGCCACATGACCTGGAAGCTGTACCCCGGCTCCCTCGTCCAATAAAGCGAGATGAGCACTGCAACCCCAGAGTCGGCCACAACTGGACCTAATGGTCAGGGGTCCCTTGACCTTTACCCCACACATCTGGCTGGGTTTCCCCAGCCACTCTGGGCGGCTTCCAACAAAATATTAAAAATACAATAAACCATCAGACATTAAAAACTTCCCGAAACAGGGCTGCCTTCAGATGTCTTCTAAAAGTCAGATCCTTTTTTATTTCCTTGACATATGATGGGAGGGCGTTCCACAGGGCGGGTGCCACTACTGAGAAGGCCCTCTGCCTGGTTCCCTGTAGCTTCACTTTTTGCAGCGAGGGAACCGCCAGAAGGCCCTTGGAGCTGGACCTCAGTGTCCGGGCTGAACGATGGGGGTGGAGACGCCCCTTCAGGTATACTTTTGCCTGACATGGTGCTCGAACTCATGACCCCTGAGATTAAGGGTCTCCTGCTCTACCGGATATTTATGTCTTTCCCCCTGAACAGGGACTCGAGGCGGCTTACAGATAAAATCAAGAACAGCCTGAACACAGAGCGGCCATAGAGGTGGTGGGACGGGGTAGAGGAAACACAAATCATTAAAATAAAGAATTGCTCGAATTAAACCTATATGTATAAATCTATTAAAGCCGCACCAATAATTACAAGGAAATAAACAGCATGGCACCTGCCATTTCGTTAGAAGGGAGAATGTGGTGGGGCTGGGAGTGGAGGAAAGAAGGGCCGGTAAAAAACAGCGCAGGGGCTGAGTCTCTGACTCTCTTGTGTTGCCAAGGCTACTAGTCCCTGTGGAATTTGGGGGGGGGGCTGGCACTGTGATGTGCAGCAGGTGGAATACCTCACGCTCCTTGCCTCCTGCCAGAGGACCATTTTTGCACCAAAGATGATGCATATTTCTTTCTTTACTAAATTTATAAAGGTATGCAATTCACTCTTCCTCCTCTGCAGCCCCCCCCCAAATGCAGGCTAGTTTTGGGGTTTTTTTAAGTAAGCTGGTAACTTCATGGGCTTATTTTCATGGGCTAGTATTGTATCGTCAAAATTCTGTGGGATAGGGAATGCAGCTGCCACTGCGCACGCATTATTTCCCCCTTAGTATTAGGGCGATGTCTTTACCTTCCTTTGTACCGTATTTTTCACTCTATAGGACGCACCTTTTCCCCTCCAAAAATGAAGGGGGAAAGTGTGTGCATCCTATGGAGCGAATGCAGGCTTTCGCTGAAGCCTGGAGAGCGAGAGGGGTCAGTGCGCACCGACCCCTCTCGCTCTCCAGGCTTCAGGAAGACATCCGCAAGCCTGCGGACAGCTGCCTGCAGCCCGAAGTTTGGGGAGCGCGGCGTTGCACACCCCAGGCTTCAGGCAGGGCGGCGGGCTGAAGGCACCTCGCCGCCCTGCGGAGGCTTGAAAGGCTGTCCCCGAAGCTGCGCTCCAAAGGCTTCAGGGATCTTGGAGGCTGGCGGTGGGGGAAAGCAGCGATTCCCCCCACCGCCAGCCCCACAAGCTCGGGGGGCAACGGCAAGGCTGCGCGCAGCCTTTGCGCTGTTCCCCGACCTGCTCTTGAACGCACCTTGAACGCACCTTGTTTTTGAGGGGAAGAACAAGAAAACCCTGTTCTCCCCCTCCTATGTCCGGTGTGTCCTATGGTCCGGTGTGTCCTATAGAGCGAAAAATACGGCACTTGATGGCAAGACAGGGTATAAATAATAAATTATTATTATTATTATTATTACTACCACCTCTATGCTTTCGTTCCTGTTGCAGTTGGCTTTGAATTCTGGAAGCAGCTCTGCGCAGAGCATGGGATCAGCCCCGAGGGCATTGTGGAGGAGTTTGCCACCGAGGGCACTGACCGAAAAGATGTCTTCTTCTACCAGGTACAATAGGCTTCTGTTCCCTCTGCCTTGTGGGTTCTGAGGGGAGGTAGCCTCCCTCTGATTCTGCAATGAACAAAATGCTCTGCTACGAGTGGGAACTGGACACAGCAGCCAAGAGTAAAGTGAAAGGAGAAGTGTCATAGCAAGCAGGCAGAATAATAATAATTTATTTATATACCTGCCCTCTTATTGGGTTGCCCTAGCCCAGGGGTCTGCAACCTTTAAGACAAAAAGAGCCACTTGGACCCGTTTCCGAAGGGAAAAAAACTGGGAGCCGCAAAACCATTGCGACATTTAAAACAAATATAACACTGCATATATTGTTAATGTCCTTAATGCCCGATCTGACAGCGGGTGGGAAGGTGACGTCGGGACGGTTCGTGACTAACGCACGCGCCGCCCCCATGCGACGTCACAGCCAGTACAGCGCCCGCCACAGTGGGGAGTGTCGGGGCGCACAATGCGCCTCCTCCCCTCGCTAGTATCCGCCCCGGAGCCGCGGCAAAGGTGTAAAAGAGCCACATGCGGCTCCGGAGCCGCGGGTTGCAGACCCCTGACCTAGCCACTTGGGTGGCTTCCATTAGAGCACAGTAAGACATCAAACATTAAAAACTTCCCTATACAGGGCTGCCTTCAGATGTCTTCTAAAAGTCAGTTGTTTATTTCCTTGGCATCTGACAGGAGGCTGCTCAATAGGGCAGGCGCCACTACCGAGAAGGCCCTCTGCCTGGTTCCCTGTAGCCTCACTTCTTGCAATGAGGGAACCACCAGAAGGCCCTCTGAGCTGAACCTCGGTGTCTGGGCTGAGCGATGGGGTTAGAGATGCTCCTTCGGGTATACTGGGCCGAGGCCGTATGGTATCTGGGCAAATAAAGCAAACTACAGTGGTACCTCTGGTTACGTACTTAATTCGTTCCAGAGGTTAGTTCTTAACCTGAAACTGTTCTTAACCTGAAGCACCACTTTAGCTAATGGGGCTTCCCGCTGCTGCTGCTGCACGTTCTGTTCTCATCCTGAAGCAAAGTTCTTAACCTGAGATACTATTTTTGGGTTAGCGGAGTCTGTAACCTGAAGCGTATGTAACCCGAGGTACCACTGTAAGTGGTTATTATGCCTGTACATTGCATCTGTTTGAATATGTTTATTTTATTGAAATATGAAACCATTTTTTATAAAAAAGACAAAATAACAGCAGCTGGTAAGGCGCATCCACTGTGCCCTCTTGTGGCAATTCTCACTATCTATGTGTGGCACTCATTTTAAGATTACAGGTTTGCCGGCAGAAAATTCCTGGAAGGGGCAGAGTGCTTTTTTTGGTGCTGTTGTCCTTTTGGTTCAAGGTGCTTGCGTTTCATGTTAACAGGCAGACGATGAACACTATATCCCGCGAGCTGTCCTCCTAGACCTGGAGCCACGAGTGATCCATTCCATCCTGAACTCTCCGTATGCCAACCTGTACAACCCAGAAAACATATACCTGTCTGAGCATGGCGGCGGGGCCGGGAATAACTGGGCCAGTGGCTTTTCACAGGTAAGAGGCTTCACGGAACTGGGGGCTGAGCAGCCTTGGTTCCTTAAAGGTAAAGGTAAAGGGACCCCTGACCATTAGGGTTGCGGCACTCATCTCGCTTTATTGGCCAAGGGAGCCAGTGTACAGCTTCCAGGTCATGCGGCCAGCATGACTAAGCTGCTTCTGGCGAACCAGAGCAGCGCACGGAAACGCCGTTTACCTTCCCACTGGAGTAGTACCTATTTATCTACTTGCACTTTGATGTGCTTTTGAGCTGCTAGTTTGGCAGGAGCAGGGACCGAGCAACGGGAGCTCACCCCGTCGCGCAGATTCGAACCGCCGACCTTCTGATCGGCAAGTCCTAGGCTCTGTGGTTTAACCCACAGCGCCACCCACGTCCCTTGGTTCCTTACTGGTGGGCAAAGATACCCCCTTCAAAATAGCATCATGTCTCATAGTTTTTAACTGCTTGAATGGAAGATATAATCAACAGTAGGGTTTAGTTTCATAGTTTTCTAATTTTCTCTCGGCTTAAAAAGTCAAACGGAGGATAAATACATGGGTTTGTTTTGCGATTCTTTCTTCAGGGAGAAAAGATCCATGAAGATATATTTGACATTATCGACAGAGAAGCTGACGGCAGTGACAGCTTAGAGGTAAGAGAAACCTTAAGAAGCAAGGAGGGAGCGACTGCCTTCAGGACTGTCCAAAACACAGCTATGGCTGGCATTTTGCTGGTCCAAGGAGGCCTTCCTGGTCTGTTTTCCTAAACTTTTCTGTTGGAAGCAGCTGTTTCTCTCCAGATGGATTCCAGTCCGTTTGTTCCAAATCTTTAGCAGGGATACAGTCATACCTCATGTTACGCATGCTTCAGGTTGAGCATTTTCAGGTTGCATCCCACGGCGACCCGGAAGTACCGGAACGGGTTACTTCCGGGTTTCGCTGCTCGCGCATGCGCAGACACGCAAAATGACGTCGCGCGCATGTGCAGAAGCAGCGAATCGCGACCCGCGCATGCACATGCGCAGATGCGGGTTGCGTTCTTTTCGGGTTGTGAATGGGCCTCCAGAACGCAACCAGAGGTACCACTGTATACTGCTTTTGTCCCTCTTTGAGGCCTTTTCCTGCATGCTCTTCAAAAACAAACTTCTACTCACGTACAGGCAGGCTAAATTTGGCTATATTTTAATCCACATCACTAAATAATTGCATTGTTGTTGTTTGTTTAAATCCTGCCTTTCTTCCAAAGAGCGCAAGCTGGGATATGTGGTTGTGGCTTCCTTCACTATCCCTTTTTTTTATTCTCGCAACAACCATGCGACCCACGTTAGGCTGAGTGGTGGAGATAACTGCTCAAAGAAGATCACTCAGTCAGGTTTGTGACAGACTCTCCCCCATGTTCCCCCCCACTCCTTTGTTTAGCTCAAAGCAGCTACAGAGGTAGGTGGCCAATTAAAGGAGTGGCTCAAGGAAAATATGTTTTAACACCACCACCACCCTGGATTTTTCCTTATCTAAATTGCAGCTCACCCCCAGCTAATAATTTGCACTTTGGGGGAGGACATAAAGATACCATTCAGGTTTATGTGTGCCTTACCCCATTGGGCAAGGAGCAGCTTGGGAGTAGAGGAAGCTGTGGGAAACGGTGAAAAGTAAAGCATTAAAAACCCTCTCACTGACAACTGAATTACAGTCAAACCTTGGGTTACAGATGCTTCAGGTTGTGTTTTTTGGGGGGGTTTGGGACCGCTGAAACCCGGAAGTACCAGAACGGGTTACTTCTGGGTTTCGGTGGCCACGCATGCGCAGAAGTGCTAAATCGCGCTTTGCACATGCGCAGAAGTGCTGAATCGCAACCCGCGCGTGCGTAGATGCACCGCTGCAGGTTGCGAATGTGCGTCCTGCACGGATCACATTCACAACTCGAGCATCCACTGTATTAAGAAAAACCTGCAGATGAGCTCCTAGCATCTGGCTAGACCTCAGTCCATCCCTTTGACTACCACAGCCAGCGCTGAGATAATAATAATAATTAATTAATAATAATATAATTTATCATCTGGCTGGGTTTCCCCAGCCACTCTGGGCAGCTCACAATAGCTCACGATAAAAGATCAAACATTAAAAACTTCACTAAATAGGGCTGCCTTCAGATGCTTTCTGAAAGTCAGATAGTTGCTTATTTCCTTAACGTCTGACGGGAAGGCGTTCCACAGGGCGGGTGCCACCACCGAGAAGGTCCTCTGACTGGTTCCCTGTGACCTCACTTCTCGCAGTGAGGGTGCCACCAGAAGGCCCTTGGCACTGGACCTCAGTGTCCGGGCTGAAGGATGGGGGTGGAGACGCTTCTTTAGGTACACTGGACGGAAGCCGTTTAGGGCTTCAAAGGTCAGCACCAACACTTTGAATTGTGCTCAGAAACGTACTGGGGGCCAATGTAGCTCTTTCAGGACCGGTGTTATGTGGTCTCGGCAGTCACTCCCAGTCACCAGTCTAGCTGCCGCATTCTGGATTAGTTGTATTTTCTGGGTCACCTTCAAAGGAAGCCCCACGTAGAGCTGGCTGAGGAGGGACAGAGCCTGCTTCGTAGCAGGTAAAAAACAGCAGACTGGCAAAACTACGGTTGGTGATGTTTCTGGCCTTGTATACAAGGCTGCACCAGCTCTCGCAAACAGCTGTGTGTCACTCTTGCTCGTAGGAAGAAACACTTCTTTAAAAATTCTTTTTAACTCCCCCAGATCCCTTTCGTTTTAATTCACTAGGTTACTCTTGCTATTCCGCTGGCAGCTGCAACGAGGCACGACCTATCTTGGCAGTCCGCCTGGCAGACCTCAGCAGCAGCCACCCTCTCTGGGCTCCTCCCTCCAGAGGAGTTCAGACTTTTGCTCGGCTGCTGCTTCCAGGTACAGACTTACACCTTGGGGATTTGTCTGTCTCCGGCTGCTTGCGTGCCACTGAGACTAGTAAAACGAGAGAGACGCTTTTCTGCTTCACAGTCAAGGATGGCAGTTCTATTCAATGCGACACCTTGTTACTTCCTTTAGCTGTCAGTGTGCAATCCGTGGTCTGGTTAGCTTCTGCCTGTTACTTGCCTTTTTGGAAATCCTCCAGGTATACTGCTTTGAATCCCTTAGGCAGATAGAAACTGTTGCTATTCCCTCTCATGCCAGGCTTGAGTGATCAGGTGTCTTGATACAGGGCTGTCCAAAAACAGGTTAGTGTTTTCTGCTTGTATGAGATTCCACTAGGCACACATTCATTGCCTTGTAGATTAAAGGAAGAAAAGTTGTTGTTGTTGTTTTAAAGCAGCTCAATTAGGCTCAGTAAATTTCTGGAATTAAGGAAAAGTTAATTCCCTCTCTCTCTAATATGGGGAAGTTGATTTTGTCTCTCTCTTTCCATCTCTCCCTCCCTCTCTCTTTCTCTCCATATTCAGTGGTACCTTGGTTCTCAAACTTAATCCATTCCGGAAGTCAAAACCTGCCAAGGAGTCCAGTTCATTTTGGTGTCTTTTTAGATAATTTGTAAAAAGGTTCCCATTCTTCCTTAAAGTCACCGTTGTCCTTCTCTCGCAGTTTGTATGTCAATTTAGCCAATTCTGCATAACTCATCATTTTTTCTTGCCACTGTTCTTTCGTTGGGATTTCCTCATTCTTCCATCCTTGTGCTAACAAGACTCTTGCCACTGTTGTAGCGTACATAAATAAATTCTTTGTTTTTCTACTAACCTGTAAGTTATAAGTCTGCATTCTGAATTGAAAACAGGTTTCAAGGTCCTTTTCTTCTCTTGACTCCCCAACAGATTTATGTAATCCACTCTGTTTTTCAGGCAACATTGAGGAACATGGTTACAATTAGGGTTAGGGGACAGGGGTGCGGCAAATCTCCTGGGGCGTTTGAGCTGCGGATGTTGTGTTGTCCTTAAATTTATCCATCGCCTGTCTCGAGAAGATTCAAGGCAGCTTGTAGAAATACAAAGTATGCAAAAGGTTAACAAAAAAACTAACAAACCCCAAAGTAGCCGTTTATCCATACAATAGCGAAACAATTGAGCTCCGCTAAAAATAATCCTAAGGTCAACATCGACGCAGTGGACAGATCAGTTGGAATTAATAACGAATAAAAGCAGGAAATCCCATACAAAAAACCCAGCGGAGTAGGGGAAGGTTTTACAATACAGTGGTGCCCCGCAAGACGAATGCCTCGCAAGACGGAAAACCCGCTAGACGAAAGGGTTTTCCGTTTTTGAGTTGCTTCGCAGGACGAATTTCCCTATGGGCTTGCTTCGCAAGACGAAAATGTCTTGCAAGTCTTGAGATTTTTTTGCTTTTCGCCCCTTTATCTAATCTGCTAAGCCTTTAATAGCCTTTAATAGCCTTTTAGCAGCTAATCCGCTAAGCCTTTAAGCCTTTAATAGCCGCTAAACCGCTAATAGCGCTAATCCGTTAAGCCGCTAATAGGGTTGCTTCGCAAGACGAAAAAACCGCTAGACGAAGACTCTCGCGGAACGGATTAATTTCGTCTTGCGAGGCACCACTGTAAAATAAAAGCAGTGAGGGCAAGGAATAAGGTTGCAGCTAAAAAACAAAGGAATCCTTCCATACAGTCCACCCTTTCAGATTTGCTTTTTATTTTATTTATTTCAGGACTGAAAAGGTTACAAGACGGTAATGCAGAAAGCAATTGGGCAGCAGCGTTGTCTGAATTTTCCATGCAAACTTAATGAACAGAGCATGGCAGTTTTTTTAAAAAATGGGCTAGTTCAACCATCCTTCACCTGTTGAGTACAGGTAAAGGTAAAGGACCCCTGGACAGTTAAGTCCAGTCAAAGGCAACTTTGGGGTTGCTGCGCTCATCTCTCTTTCAGGCCAAGGGAGCTGGCGTTTGTCCACAGACAGCTTTCCGGGTCATGTGGCCAGCAGGACTAAACTGCTTCTGGCACAACGGGACACCATGACGGAAACCAGAGCGCAAGAAACCGCCATTTACCTTCCCGCCATAGCAGTACCTATTTGTCTACTTGCACTGGTGTGCTTTTGAACTGCTAGGTTTGGCAGGAGCTGGGACAGAGCAACGGGAGCGCACCCCGTCGCAGGGTTTCGAACCGCCAACCTTCCGATCGGCAAGCCCAAGAGGCTCCGTGGTTTAGACCACAGCACCACCCGCGTCCCTTGTTGAGTACAGACAGTGGCTTCGATTGTCCTTTGGCCTGACGGTTGTAATGTGCATTGACATATTTTCTGTTGCACGTCGTTCTTTCCTCCAGGGTTTTGTCCTGTGCCATTCCATCGCCGGTGGGACAGGCTCTGGTCTGGGCTCTTACCTCCTGGAGAGATTAAATGACAGGTGAGCAATGGCATAAAAACCCCACACATGCATGGACCCATATGCACACACCACTGGGGGAGCGGTAGGCGATGCAGCCAGGCAGGCTATTTTGGAGAGCAAGCAGCCCAGCGGATGAGTAAGACGCCCGGCTGACTCAGAGTCAGGCCTGCCCCACCCAGACACCAGCTTGGGCAAGCCTTGGAGCTGGTGAAGTTGTGACTTGAAACGGGGGGAAGAGGCTGAGATCAGCCTGCCGCCACAGGCAAGGAATGTTCTTGAGCTTTCGCTAAAGCAAACCGCATCTCTTTGGCGTCGGCACGTAGCGATTTGCGAGCCTGTATCCTTGCAAGATTTTCAGAAATTGCGAGGAAGGGGACGGAGCCGTTGGTGACGGTACAGATACATCGCAGCCTTTACTTGACTCCTGCCCTTTGGCCTAGGAAATAACGCCCCAAGTAAACACTCCATGGTTGTGGTTATTTTTCATTATGTTTGAAAGCGGCAACTTCTCGGTTTTTGCCAAAATAGGGGGGCTGTGATTTCCCCACACGATTGTAGTACAGTGGTACTTCGGGTTACATACGCTTCAGGTTACATACGCTTCAGGTTACAGACTCCGCTAACCCAGAAATAGTACCTCGGGTTAAGAACTTTGCTTTAGGATGAGAACAGAAATCGTGCTCCGGCAGTGCGGCAGCAGCGGGAGGCTCCATTAGCTAAAGTGGTGCTTCAGGTTAAGAACAGTTTCAGGTTAAGTACGGACCTTTGGAACGAATTAAGTACTTAACCCGAGGTACCACTGTAATCTCATTTTGACTCAAGAAAATCATCATTTTCTAGTTCAAATCGTGGGAAATAAATACAGTCTAATAAGAAGTCTAATAAGAACTCATGTACTTGTGCCCCATAGTATTATAGTGGTACCTTGGTTACATACGCTTCAGGTTACATACGCTTCAGCTTACAGACTCCACTAACCCAGAAATAGTACCTTGGGTTAAGAACTTTACCTCAGGATGAGAACAGAACTCGCGCAGCGGCAGGAGGCCCCATTAGCTAAAGTGGTACCTCAGGTTAAGAACAGTTTCAGGTTAAGAACAGACCTCAAGAACGAATTAAGTTCTTAACCCGAGGTACCACTGTACTTGAAAAAACGACATGTTTGTCCCACTCCATTAAATCTTCCTCTACCTCTCAGTGGGAAGTAAAGCATACAGATGACCTTGTGATTACTGTGGAAGACCTGATGGTCAGTATACCACGGGTCTTGGATAAGATTTGTGAGTTTGGGCAGGTAGCGGGTTTCAAGTTAAAAAAAGTAAAATGAAAATGTTGGTGCAAAATGTGGCAGAACAACATAAAAAAGACCTACAATAAATTACAGAATTGATAACAGAGAAGAATGTCAAATACTTAGGAGTGTGGTTGACAGCTAAGAATATAAATATCTTTAAGGATAACTATACAAATACCTGGAAAGAAATAAAGAAAAATTTGGAGGTATAGGGAAGGATGAATTTATCTCTGTGGGGGAGGATATCAGTCATAAAAATGAATGTATTGCCAAGAATGTTATATTTGTTCCAATCGATACCTGTAATCAGCGGTGCAGGACACTTCAAGGAACGGCAGAAATATATATCTAAATTTATCTGACAGGGGAAGAAGCCAAGAATAAAGTATAAATTGTTAACGGACTCTGCCAGGAGTCAGTAAGATACCACACAAGGCTCATCACACCAACATCTGATTAGGCCTCAGCCCAGTAGCACATCTAATCTCCTAAAATGGTTCCCGGGTCGTCATGCACACCCACTGTGGCCACAGAAACGAGTCCTTCAAAAGCACAGAGAGATACAGGATGTTTGTCTTTACTGAAGCGGCCGTCTCTCTCCTCGCAGGTACCCCAAGAAGCTGGTGCAGACATACTCGGTCTTTCCTAACCAGGATGAGATGAGCGATGTGGTTGTGCAACCGTACAACTCTCTCCTGACCCTCAAGCGGCTGACACAGAATGCCGACTGTGTGGTAAGGGGTACAAAATTGGGGGTTGCCACGGGGGGTGGGGAAGGCAAAACTCCCTTCCTTCCTTCCGTCCCTTGTCCCCCAGGTCTCAGTAGTAGAGCTGAGAAACCTAACACCCTATTCTTAAATACAGTGGTACCTTGGTTCTCGAATTTAATCCGTTCCAGGAGTCCATTTGACTCCCGAAATGGTTCGAAAACCAGTCAATCGGAAGTTCCGTCAGACATTTGGCTTCCGAAAAGCGTTCGCAAACCGGAACACTCACTTCCGGGTTTGCTGCGTTCAGGAGCCAATTTGTTAGGGAGCCCAGCTGTTCGACAACCAAGGTACCATTGTGTATGGAGAGATGGACCACGGGAACAATTTCCGTAGAGTTGGTTGGTTTTTTAAGGTTTCGCTGGTCGTACGGCAACACAGTCAGAGTCAGGGAGCTTCTGGGTGTTTCCCGAGCTTCCATTGTTGTTTTATACATTGTTCCCTAGTACCTCCATGACAGTTAACCCTGTAATGTGGCTGAGAATTCAGCTGAGAACAGTCAGGAAACGAATGGGGATGTGGGGTGGAATTGAAACATCGTGTGTCCAAACTAAGAATTTGTCAAGAATGTATAACTTGCTGCTGAAATGGAACGCTCAGGATGAAACGGTAAAATCGGCTATGATTAAATGGGCACAAGACGTTGGACACAACATTATGTTCACTGACTGGGAACAGTTATGGACCACAGGTATGAAATTTACGGCATGTAATGCCCTAAGAGAGAATATTATGAAAATGATATACAGGTGGTACATAACCCCAGTCAAGCTTGCAAAAATCTATCATTTGCCCGATAATAAATGTTGGAAATGTAAAGAAACAAGGTACATTTTTTCACCTTTGGTGGACATGCCCAAAGATTAAGGCTTTCTGGGAAATGATATATAATGAATTAAAAAAGGTATTCAAATATACCTTCCCCAAGAAACCAGAGGCCTTTCTCCTGGGCATAGTCGGCCAAATGGTGATAATAGAGGATAGAACTTTCTTTATGTATGCAACAACAGCAGCAAGAATACTCATTGCAAAGTATTGGAAGACACAAGAGCTTCCCACGCTGGAGGAATGGCAGATGAAACTGATGGACTATATGGAACTGGCGGAAATGACTGGTAGAATCCGTGACCAGGGAGAAGAGTCGGTGGAGGAAGATTGGAAGAAATTCAAAGACTATCTGCAGAAACATTGCAAAATTAAAGAATGTTAGAGTGATGTTGGATTAAAAATAAGTGGTTTCCAGCTGTTCAGGATTTAAAGTTATGGATAGATTAAGATTAAGGATTAGGATTAAAAAAAATTTAAGGAAATGGAAATTTGGTTTTTAAAAGGTAAAATTTTAATGTTATATTATATTAAGGGTAAAGATTGGGATTAAAAAAGAGGGAAAGAAATTGCTGGACAAACAATTTGAACTGGAATACAAAAGAGGGAGGTACGAGGAGGTCCAGAAAATAAGTAAATTTAAAAATGGAGAGGAAAAGGTGATATTGTTTTTAATTGTTCTATTTTCTTTTTTGTCTTTTTTTTTGTGTTCCTTTTTTATTTTATTTTTCTGTTGGATTATGTATTGTGTATTTTTGAATTGTGTATTTTTTTATGTTTTATGTTTAATCTTTTATCGAAACTTTAATAAATATCTTTTTAAAAAAAAAAAAAAAAAGGAACATCGTGTGTCCATTAAACGGGCAGAGGATGCCCTCCCTCACCGCATGTACTCATCCTTTGCTTCTTAACCCTTGTCTCCCCTTTGATAGGTGGTTCTAGACAACACAGCCCTGAACCGCATTGCGACTGACAGACTGCATATCCAGAATCCCACCTTTTCCCAAATTAACCAGCTGGTGAGTAAGCAGGGATGATGGGAGAAGAAGATGTTGTCCCCGCCCCCAAGCCTCTGAAGAAGGAAGGCTGGGGGTTAAAGTGATGTCAAAATACAGGGCAGGGAATTTAAATCTGCTGTTTACTATAACTTTGGTTCTGCAGGCCCTTTTAAAAATGGCAACTGTATGCCACTTTAAAGAAAAATGCGCTCATGAAAAGTGGCACGTAATGTTTTCAGGCAAATAAAAGTGTGGGCTTCTAATGAACTTGACCCAAATGACATTTTTGCCCCACCCTATTCACTTGCTAGGGACGCAGGTGGCGCTGTGGGTTAAACCACAGAGCCTGGGACTTGCCAATCAGAAGGTCAGCAGTTCGAATCCCCGCGACGGGGTGAGCTCCCGTTGCTCAGTCCCTGCTCCTGCCCACCTAGCAGTTCGAAAGCACGTCAAAGTGCAAGTAGATAAATAGGTACCGCTCCGTCGGGAAGGTAAACGGCGTTTCCGTGCGCTGCTCTGGTTCGCCAGAAGCGGCTTAGTCATGCTGGCCACATGACCCGGAAGCTGTACGCCGGCTCCCTCAGCCAATAAAGCGAGATGAGCACCGTAACCCCAGAGTCGGTCACGACTGGACCTAATGGTCAGGGTCCCTTTACCTTTATTCACTCGCTAGAAATAAGCAAACTCCTCTTTTTCAGATTTCAGCGTTGGGCATTTCTCATTTGCCAGCTATTGGTTTTTCTCATGTTCTACGCAAGTTTGAGTATTTGGGTGTTTTTACTGGCTTGTGTTGGGTTGTGTGTAGTTAATTTAAGAGTGCTATTACATCTTGCAAGATTAATTGCCTTATTCCAGAGATGAGAGCCCAGTAGAAGGGCTGGTTAACCTGGTTCTCATACGTCCAAGCCCAATATTTGCATCCCAGGAAAGGCTCCATTTTGGCTCCATTTATTTTTTAAACTTGGAAGGATTTGGAATAAACTCTTAGCGCTGGCACATCTCCCTCTGACTCAGCGTTGTGGCCCACATTGGACCTGGGATAACCCAGTCAGCAGAGCAGGAGACTCCTCATCTCAGGGTTGTGAGTTTGAGCCCCACATTGGGCAAAAGATTGCTGCATCTTTGGGGTTGGACCAGATGACCTTTGTGGTCCCTTCCAACTCTATGATTCTGTTATATTTTAGGATTCTGAGAGGAGGTTGAGAGAAGTGGTCCTGGAAAATAGACACATGTTCCTTTTCCTGGAGCCCCTTGAAAACAGTACAGTACCTTGGAAGTTGAACGGAATGTATTCCGGAAGTCCGTTCGACTTCCATTCGGAAACCAAGGCGCGGGTTCTGATTGGCTGCAGGAAGCTTCTGTAGCCAATCGGAAGCCGCGGATATCATGGCAAGAGAAATTGATGGATTATGCAGAACTGGCAAAATTGACACATAAGCTATGGGAGAAGGACAAGTGTGATTTCAAAGATGAATGGGAACCCTTTACAAAGAACTTGATGACGCAACAAAGTGAATTGGATTCTTTGGCAGGTTTTGAATAAACACAAACTCTTTATTGACAATAATCAGTTGGATAATTTAAGGATTTATACAAATTTGTAACGTGCAGAGAACAGTATCCACAGAGAAACCAAAGATTGGAACTGAGGGGAGTCGGTGGGGGAATCCTTTATGGGAGGGTGGAGGGAGGGAGGAAAATTGGGAAAATTAAGGATGCGATATTTTTGGATAATATGTTTTGTTTAAGTTTATAATAAAAAATTATTTTAAAAAAGGAAGCCGTGGATGCCCCGTCGGACGTTCGGGTTCCAAAGAACGTCCGCAAACCGGAACACCCACTTCCAGGTTTGCGGCGTTCAGGAGCCAAAACGTCCGAGTACCAAAGCGTTCGGGATCCAAGGTAGGAATGTGTTCTCCTTTTGGTGTTGGCAAAAAGTCTTGCCCTGGCTTACGGTTTTGGTTTTGCTTCCTTGGCTAGGTCTCCACCATCATGTCTGCCAGCACCACCACGTTGCGCTACCCGGGCTACATGAACAATGACTTGATCGGGCTGATCGCCTCCCTGATTCCCACTCCCAGATTGCACTTCCTGATCACGGGCTACACCCCTCTCACCACAGACCAGGCTGTAAGTGCTTTCCTGCCTCTGATTCTAAGCCAAGCTCTGTGAGTTCTCATGCTTGTTCCATTACTGGCTCTTGGCCCCCCTCTGCACCCTCAAGGGGTCTGAGAAGAGACCGTCTTCAGTCTCCTGCCCTCCTGTTTTAATGGCCAGCCATTTCACATCCTAGAAACTGTGCAGTCAGAATGTGTCCAGTCTATGGTTGCAATGATTATAATGGTGTTAGAGGCCTGCGGGCAGTGCTTTTCTTCTAAAACAATGCTTAGGGGTACTCTCATTTTGACTCAAGAAAATCACCATTTTCTAGTTCAAATCAGGGGAAATACCGTATTTTTCGCTCTATAAGACGCACTTTTCCCCTCCTAAAAAGTAAGGGGAAATGTGTGTGCATCTTATGGAGCGAATGCAGGCTGCGCGGCTATCCCAGAAGCCAGAACAGCTAGAGGGAGCCTTCATCCCCGTGCCCTGTGGAGGCTTCGCGGGGCTATCCAAAAGCCAGAACAGCTAGAGGGAGGGCTGCGCAGTGCTTCCTCTAGCTGTTATAGCTTCGCGCGAAGCCTCCGCAGGGCACGGGGAGCCTTCATCCCCGTGCCCTGCGGAGGCTTCGTGCAGCTATACCCCAAGAGCCTCGCTCCCTTTAAAGAGCTGCAAGGTGTGTGTGTGCGGCGCTTGCAGGCTTTTCCCCAAGGAGGGAGAAGGGCAGCCCGTCATCTCGCGGCTCGTGAAAGGGAGAGCTGAGCAGAGCCTGGGATGCATATGGGCTCTGCTCAGTGCTCCCGTTAAAGAATTTTTTTTCTTGCATTCCCCCTCTAAAAACTAGGTGCGTCTTATGGAGCGAAAAATACGGTAAATACAGTAAATGGACAAAAGCACAAAGAACATGCATTGCCTCCTATTACACAGCTGTCAGCTCCCAGTAACCTCCACATTGACATGAGGTTTTGTGCACGAATATCTTCCCGAAACTGACCCATCGCCGTTCTAGATTCCAACTCCTACTTCACACATTAAACGCTCGCTTCCGTCTGAGACTCAGGAAACACCGTGACATGGAATGAGGCTGCCATCGGGGGTAGAAACAGAACTGACGATTGACCGTGCTAGAGAAGAAACTGATATTTTTTTTTGAAATTTTTAGTTTCTTCTCCCGTTAGATCACAAAATGTTTAGGGGTATGTGTCCCCCTGTGTCCTCCCCAGAGAAAATCGCTGCCTGCAGGTGCGCAGAAACGAAAAGGAAGGGTAATACCTGAGGCTGACCCCTTTGGCAGCACTCCCACCCTGCTAAATACAGATGTTTTCTCCCCTTTTCACCTCTTCCCTCGCAAGCAGCAGCAGAAGACGCAGAAGGGCAGATCGCAGAGGCTGGGAGTTCAGAAAAGGGTATCAAATGCATGGTGTGGGTGTGACGTCTTCAGTGTGTGAGAGAGCTCTCTCGCTCCCTATTTTCTTGACCTTGATCTGTGGATACAGGGTTTGACCTGGCAGCTGGTCTTTCTGTTTCTATCTCTGTCACTTAAGGGAAGCCAGGGTGGCCCAAGAAGGTGAATCTGCTCCCCCAAATATCAGACAAACTCGCTCTACGTGGGGCTGCCCATGAGACTGACCCAGAAACTCCAGCGGGTGCAGAATGCCGCAGTGAGATGCCTTACGGGGTCCTTGCTGCGATATCACATTCACCCGGTGCTATACCAGCTGCACTGGCTCCCGGTGGAGTACAGGATCAGGTTTAAGGTGCTGGTTTTAAGCTTTAAAGCCCTATACGGCCTAGGACCCTCGTACCTACGGGACCGCCTCTCCTGGTATGTCCCACAGAGGAACTTACGGTCTTCAAACAAAAACATCCTGAAGGTCCCAGGCCACAGAGAGGTTAGGCTGGCCTCAACTAAAGCCAGGGCTTTTTCGGCTGTGGCTCCAATCTGGTGGAACGCTCTGTCACAAGAGACTAGGGCCCTGAGGGACTTGACATGTTTCCGCAGGGCCTGCAAGACAGAGCTGTTCCACCAGGCCTTAGGTCAGGGCACAGCCTGACTCCCTCCTTTGGCAATCTTCACTGAACTTTAGTCCAATGGTTGCCATCAATTTGAGTTGAATTAATTTTAATGAAATGATTTTAGAATGTTGTATTATTTTATTGTTGTTAGCTGCTCTGAGCCCGGCTTCGGCTGGGGAGGGCGGGATATAAATAAAATTTATTATTATTATTATTATTAAAAGAGATGTTGTATGAGGCGTGTTAACTAAAGCTGGGAGGCTGAAACATTTTCCTTCCGAATGGTCTTGGAACCTAGGGGTGATTCTTCTGTAATGTCTCAAGATAGCCTCTTGGTGAAGACACTTCCTGAAATGGATAATTCTTCCCAGCTGTGATGATCCACTCTCTGTGTGCGGCATGAACATTTCATTTCTCCTACCAATACTGACCTCTCTACCAATACTGGCCTATACTGACCTCTCTCCCCCCCGCCCCCCGCAGGTGGCCAGCGTCCGCAAAACCACCGTCCTTGACGTGATGCGGCGGCTGCTGCAGCCCAAGAACGTCATGGTGTCCATGGGGCGTGACCGGCAGACGAACCATTGCTACATCGCCATCCTTAACATCATCCAGGGGGAAGTGGACCCCACCCAGGTCAGTGGCTAGAGAGAGATCAGCCATAGGAGAGGGACTGTATGGAAGAACCTGCACCAGGGGGGTCACTGCTCATGATGGGCAGTGTCAAGGAAAGCAATCTGAGAACCGCATACCCACATTTCATTCATAAATAAAAAAATAACCCTGCCCATCTGGCTGGGTTTCCCCAGCCACTTTGGGCGGCTTCCAACAAAATATTAAAAACATTATAAACTTCACTAAAGAGGGCTGCCTTCAGATGTCTTCTAAAAATCAGATAGTTCTTTATTTCCTTGACATCTGACAGGAGGGCGTTCCACAGGGCGGGCGCCACTACCGAGAAGGCCCTCCGCCTGGTTTTCTGTAAGCTCCCTTCTCTCAGGGAGGGAACCACCAGAAGGCTCTTGGAGCTGGACCTCAGTGTCCGGGCTGAAGGATGGGGGTGGAGACGCTCCTTCAGGTATACTGGGACGAGGCTGTTTAGGGCTTTAAAGGTCAGCACCAACACTTTGAATTGTGCTTGGAAACGTACTGGGAGCCAATGTAGCTCTTTCAGGACCAGTGTTATGTGGCCTCGGTGGCTGTTCCCAGTCACCAGTCTAGCTGCCGCATTCTGGATTAGCTGCAGTTTCTGGCTCACCTTCAAAGGTAGCCCCATGTAGAGCACATTGCAGTAGTCCAAGCGGGAGATAACTAGAGCATGCACCAATCTGCGGGCCAGATGGAGCTGGTAGACAGGTGTCCTGGACACAGAATTGTCCTGTGCCTCCATGGGCAGCTGTGAGTCCAAAATGACTCCCAGGCTGCGCACCTGCTCCTTCAGAGGCACAGTTACCCCATTCAGGACCAAAGAGGCCCCCACGCCTGCCCACTCATCCCCCCAAAACAGTACTTCTGTCTTGTCAGGATTCAACCTCAATCTGTTAGACGCCATCCATCCTCCAACCACCTCCAGACACCTCTGCGGTGCCTGTGGAATGCTGAAGAGATCCACCACTACTCAAAATATAAAGTGTCCACAGTCTCTTCCTAGCCTGGATAGCTCAGTTGGTTCAAGCATGGTGCTGAGAATGCCAAGGTCGCAGGTTCGATCCCAGTATGGGGCAGCTGCTTATTTCCATATTACAGGGGGTTGGACTGGGTCAGGGGTTTCCCGAACGTGGGTCTCCAGCTGTTTCTGGACTACAACTCCCATCATCCCTTGCTAGCATGGGTAGGGATGATGGGAATTGTAGTCCAAAAACAGCTGGAGACCTAAGTTTGGGAAACCCTGGACTAGGCAATCGTCAGGGTCTCTTCCAACTCCTACCTTTCTATGATCCAAAGAGGAAGCAGTCAGGATAGCTCGGTTGGTAGAGCACGGCACCCTTCATCTCAAGGTTGTGGGTTCGAGTTCCGCAGTGGGTGAAAAATTGCTGCATTGCAGGGGGTCAGACTAGATGACCCTCGTGGTCCCTTCCAACTCTAGAATTCTATACAGGTCCCTCGGTTTGCACACTTGAAAATAATCTGCCTTCCTTACAGGTCCACAAGAGCCTGCAGCGGATCCGAGAAAGGAAGCTGGCCAATTTCATTCCCTGGGGCCCAGCCAGCATCCAAGTAGCGCTTTCTAGGAAGTCTCCATACTTGCCATCAGCACACCGAGTCAGCGGTCTGATGATGGCCAACCATACCAACATTTCGTCGGTGAGTCTGGGTGCAAGCACGGATGCGTCCGTTTACTAAGGGGATTGGTGTTTTCAGGCCTAATAAATATTGCCCTGGCAGCATGCCTGTTACTCCCATCTACTCTCCTGACTAGTAGCTAACGCTGATCACAGTCCAGGAACGGCTTGTAAACTGGATTCAGTTTCCCTTAAGGCTTTTCGTGCTCAAGTTTCAAGTTTGTTGAGATATATGTAAGAAAAGCAAGGGCCGTAAGATGATAGCTCTCTGAAAGTAAATGTAGGGGAGAAAAGAAAGTCCTGTAAGATGTTCCTGGAGAGGCTTCTAGTAAAGGGTGGGTGGTTCTGGGTTGTTTGGAGAGGGTGTTGCTGTGACTGTATGGAGCAATGGGCAGAACTATGGTGCATGCTCTGGTTATCTCCCTCTCGGACTACTGCAATGCGCTCTACGTGGGGCTACCTTTGAAGGTGACCCGGAAACTGCAATTAATCCAGAATGCGGCAGCTAGACTGGCGACTGGGAGTGGCCGTCGGGACCACATAACACCGGTCCTGAGAGATCTGCATTGGCTCCCAGTACGTTTCCGAGCACAATTCAAAGTGTTGGTGCTGACCTTTAAAGCCCTAAACGGCCTCAGCCCACTAGACCTGAAGGAGCATCTCCAGCCCCATCGTTCAACCCAGACACCGAGGTCCAGCGCCGAGGGCCTTCTGCGGTTCCCTCACTGCAAGAAGTGAGGTTACAGGGAACCAGGCAGAGGGCCTTCTCAGTGGTGGCACCCTCCCTGTGGAACGCCCTCCCATCTGATGTCAAGGAAATAAACAACTATCTGACTTTTAGAAGACATCTGAAGGCAGCCCTGTTTAGGGAAGTTTTTAATGCTTGATGTTTTATTATGTTTTTGTATGTGAGTTGGAAGACGCCAAGAGTGGCTGGGACAACTCAGCCAATTGGGTGGTGTATGATGATGATGATGATGAAACCATTAGGATTTAAAAACCTCCATGGGTAGACCATCCCAAGAGATCCCCAGCCCCTGTTGACAGCTGGTCCGGAGGCTTTAGATGCAGCCAGAGATGGCAGCAGTGAAAAAAATCCTTCCCCGCTGCAACTTAATCTGTAATACATTGGGCAGTGGAGCTCTTTCAAGTGCTGAGAGGCCTAGTTGCATTCTGAGCAGCAGGAGCCATTGGAACTATTAGCAACCCTACTGCACAAAACATACCATAGTTGTTGGGTTTTTTAAGTCGCCGATTTATTTCAGCTTGGCTCCACCTTGATGCAAAACCTACAGCGCCCTGCCCCCCTGTGGCTTTCTGAGCTGTGTGGTATAGTGGTTAGGAGCAGTGGACTCGTAATCTGGCGAACCGGGTTCGCTTCCTCGCTCCTCCACATGCAGCTGCTGGGTGACCTTGGGCCAGTCACACTTCTCTGAAGTCTCTCAGCCTCACTCACCTCACAGAGTGTTTGTTGTGGGGGAGAAAGGGAAAGGAGATTGTTAGCCACTTTGAGACTCCTTAAAGGTAAAGGGACCCCTGACTATTAGGTCCAGTTGTGGCCGACTCTGGGGTTGCGGCGCTCATCTCGCTTTATTGGCCGAGGGAGCCGGCGTACAGCTCATGTGGCCAGCATGACTATGCCGCTTCTGGCGAACCAGAGCAGCGCACGGAAACGCCGTTTACCTTCCCGCCGGAGCGGTTCCTATTTATCTACTTGCACTTTGATGTGCTTCACTTTGATGTGCTTTCGAACTGCTAGGTGGGCAGAAGCAGGGATCGAACAACCGTCGCGGGGATTCGAACCGCCGACCTTCTGATCGGCATGCGCTAGGCTCTGTGGTTTAACCCACAGCACCACCCGCGTCCCTCCTTAGGTGATAAAGCGGGATATCAAATCCAAACTCTTCTTTTACCCAGCTCTTTGAACGCACCTGCCAGCAGTACGACAAGCTGCGCAAACGCGAAGCCTTCCTGGAGCAGTTCCGCAAGGAGGACATCTTCAAGGAGAACTTTGATGAGCTCGACGACTCCCGGAAGGTTGTCCAGGAGCTGATAGACGAATACCACGCCGCCACCCGGCCTGACTACATCTCCTGGGGCACACAAGAGCAGTGAGGCATGGGCACCCCTCCGGAAGTGACAAAGATGCCGTCCTTCACCTCCTGTGACCCAGGGCTGGGGCTGTGAGGGTACTTGCAGGTCCCTAAACAGGGGAAGGGATTCCTTGTGTTGTTTTTGGCTCTCCTGTTAGAATATCCATCACTTGTCAAGCTGCAGCCTAATGCTCCCATTCCTGGGCCTGACTGCACCCCCGTTGCCTTAAAAGAACCAGGCTGTCTCTCTGGCATTTTCCCCTGGAGCGAGTCTGGTTAGCAGCATTAGGATAGCTCCTTTTCTTGTTTGTTCCTTTCCATGTCCCTAAGAAGCTTTACCCTCTGCTAAGCGGTTTTCCTGTCGCACGTGTGTTTTATTGAAACTTATTCGATCGCAGGCGGAAATAAGCACCAAAGAGATGCAACGTTTTGAAGTTAACTAGGCATCTGTGTTTCTGTGTATTTTGTGTTACCGTCCCACAGCAGCTGAAAGAAACTGTGCCGTAGCTACACATAAGACAGGACACGGGTGAGGAGATACCAGACTACCAGGCAGAACCTCTAGCATAGCATCCGGCTACCTTTTTTTAACAGGGAGGTTCATGCTGATAAAGGGACAGGACCATGGAGACCAGTAGCAGGGATGAAAAAGACATATTCTTTGCTCTTAAAGCTGCTGAACAAAAGAACCCTTTATTCCCTTTTCTTTTGGGTAGCAATGGTATTTGTTTTCTTTTGCTCCAAACAACACAATAGGATTCTCCTCCTATTTCCTACCATGAATTCTTCTAAAAGCTCTTGCACCTTGAGGAAACTGCATTAGCATGGCTCAACCTGTTGAGGGATGCACTGGCGTAAGGGTGGCTTGGCAGGGGCTGCATGGGAACTGGGGTGGGGTTGGCCCTGCCGCAGCCAAATGAGGCTACAGGTTGTCTCCCTCTGCTCTGCACACCCCAACCACTGCAGGAGAAACAGGAGCCCACAAATGGATTTGTCATGATGGGCAAGAATTGATGCCTCGCATTTTGCCCTCTTTAAAAACAATAAATTGCCAGATTAACCTTTTCAGCTGCTGACACTTCCTGACGCACGATACATCAAGCTCTTTATTCTTTCTCGCCATCTTGCTGCACTCCAGCCTCTGCCATTTTCGTAGCAAGTGGCTCATAAGTGACCCATCCGCACCCCGAAAAAATGTCCCAGAAATGGGTGGTGTTTCGCCCATCCCACAAATGGGAGTGTTTGATTAAACAACAAAGACTTGATTTTGTTTATGTAGAATGGGCAGCTCTTTTTTAAAAAGGAGGAGATTGGTGCAAAAAAGAAATCCACAAAACGATTGCAGTGGACTTTTGGTGGCAAGAGGTGGAATTTAACTATTAAGTGCTGCTGGATGGATTCAGGAGCTTTTGGTGGGACTCTGTTTTCTTGGTACGTAGGGCACAAGCAGTGGAGATGGGAGTTAAAGGTAAAGGGACCCCTGACCATTAGGTCCAGTTGTGGCCGACTGGGGTTGCGGCGCTCATCTCGCTTTACTGGCTGAGGGAGCCGACGTACAGCTTCCGGGTCATGTGGCCAGCATGACTAAGCCGCTTCTGGCGAACCAGAGCAGCGCACAGAAACGCCGTTTACCTTCCCGCCGGAGTGGTACCTATTTATCTACTTGCACTTTGATGTGCTTTTGAACTGCTAGGTTGGCAGGAGCAAGGACCGAGCAATGGGAGCTCACCCCATCACGGGGATTCGAACCACCAACCTTCTGATCAGCAAGTCCTAGGCTCTGTGGTTTAACCCACAGCACCCACGTCCCTGGAGATGGGAGTTAGGGGTTGCCAACCTTTTGTGGCCCGTGCGAACCTACCTCACGTTTACTGCCTCTTCCCCCCATATTGGTTAGGCTTGAAAAATATTTTCCAGGCCTAAACTGGTGTGTGTTAAGATTATCCTGGAGGTTGCCGCTGGAGAAACGAGAGTAACCTGCTTCTTCGAGTTCTGATTTCAGCAAGGGCTGAAGGCCACTTCAGATTCTTGTGGGTTCGGGCTCAATACACTTGCTCAGTAGATAAGTGAAAGTCATTCTGTGTGTGCTTCAAAGCAGCTTTCTGTAGTTCCCTGCTGCCTGTTGGGTCTTGACACAATTTGTGGACGTCAAAGGAAACATAACTATTTGCCAAAATGTTTGTAGCATGATGTGGGCTCTCTCACGCTGGTCTGGCAGTCCACTGGACTTCATTTACTCAAAACTCTTGTGAAATCCTTTTCTTTGGGCGTTGTGTAGAAGGAGTGGAAACTCCATGTGCACAAATTTGCGGCTGAACAAGCCTCTGTTCACATGAACGCTCTTACAGGTGGTGCAGACTGCAAGCCATTCGCCATGCAGTGAGAGAGATCGGAAAAACGAGCTACGATATTAGAGATTCAGCACAAAAAGGCAAGAGGCCGTGTGATGCAACATGAGCACCAGCTGTTTTAGAGGCACCCTGTTACCGTATAGTATTTATAGATTTACACCCTGCCTTTAAAAAAACGATTCTCACTGATAATCACGATGCTATCAGCTGGGCTCAGAACAGCTTGGCCAGAGGCCTTTGTGGTGGGAAAAGAGACAAGAAGCTCCGGGGGGAAACTGGTAATCCCTCTCACAAGACACGCTTCATCCAGCTCAAAGCTAAGCAGCCACTGGCTTGTGTTTACTACATTTATTTTGTTTTTTAAAAAAACAGCTTTGCAAGAGAGAGCCATAGGAGGAGATGCTACCCACCACTCCCAAGTCCTCCGCTGTTCTTCACCATCTCTTGATGTGCGAGTGAAAACACGGCGCTGTCTGCACAGACCAGACGATAGGCACAGTGTCAAGCTGCCTGCAGCTTTACGGGCAGAAGAGAGAAGCGTGCCAACTACTTGTTCTGAGAGACCGAATGGAGGAAAGGAGATCTATCGATATAAATAAATTTTTACACGCGTTGGGGAAGGGATTCCCTCTACACAGGAGAGGACATACGTTTCCAGCTCCTTAGGAGCATAAAGTACCACGGGTATCGTCACTACAAGTGTCTGGCTGGGGAAGGCACTAGATCTCCCTGGCCTTCAAGGCTGCTGCCAGGGCAAAAGGTGGCGCAGGCAGGGTCCCATCGCTGGCCGTTTCGTTAAGTGCAGTCCTTTGTTGGTGGCGGTAACGGCGGGAGTCTCCTCCTGCAGCTCCGTGCGGAATACGCTGGGTCTGCTGCACCGCCTCCTTTGCCTGAGAAGAAAATAGGGCAAGGTCAGAGCTTGGCCTACCCCTCCTAGGCCGTTTCCTGCCCCTCTGCTTGCAGATTAAGTCTCTACCTCCTTTCCCTTGAAGGACAATAGGGGAGTGGGCAGAAAGGGGTAGTCTATATCCTTCAGCCAGACTGGCCAGAGAGTTGTACAGTGGTACCTCGGGTTACATACGCTTCAGGTTACAGACTCCGCTAACCCAGAAATAGTACCTCGGGTTAAGTACTTTGCTTCAGGATGAGAACAGAAATCGTGCTCCGGCGGCGCAGCAGCAGCAGGAGGCCCCATTAGCTAAAGTGGTGCTTCAGGTTAAGAACAGTTTCAGGTTAAGAACGGACCTCCGGAACGAATTAAGTACTTAACCTGAGGTACCACTGTATATATTCCGCGAGCAAGGAGCTCCGCTTTCAAGCAAAGCAAAGCTTTTGATGAAGGGAAGGAGAAACTGTTTTGTGGTGCTAAAGACAACCAGTGAGATGGGTATCTATTTAGTGAAACACTAAATACAAGGTGATTTTTAATTTTTTTTAAAGTGGCCTAGAGAGGATAGTCTGCTTGCTAGCTGGGATTTCAACTCTGACCTTCCCTCAGGCTAGTTTACGGAGAAGGGCTTGATTTGTGTTTATACAGGCTACACTTTTCTTTTCAAAAAATCTGAAACCATTAGAAAGTGGAGAGATGATATAGTCAGAGCTGCCATCTCTCACTAGTTTGGCTTCCGAAATAAAATTTTCAGATTGTACAAAAATGGGGGGAGGGATTGAAAATTCAGGAAGAGGGGTGGATGAAAAATGCACCTTTCAAAGTACATTTATTGAGATGAATCAGCTTTCCATAATGTGCTTAATCCCCAACCGCAGCCACCTTGGGACTGAGGACAAGACACAGGGTAGGGAGTCCCTTTTCTAAAGCCAACAGTTGCTGCCCACAATGTGTTGTTTCAGCAAAACCTGTTTACCACCTTGTGTCACTGCCCTGTGATGACCATAGCTGTCAATGTTTCCCTTTTTTTACGGGAAATTCCCTTATTCCAAATAGGATTCCTTGCAAGAAAAGGGAAAAGTTGGCAGCTATGGTCATGACTAGGTCCCACAATATCTGTTAAGATGCAGGACTTTTTTCCAGTCTGAACTCACTGGAACTCAGTTCCGGCACCTCTCAGGCAGGCGCCATTGCCATTATGAGAGAACAAGGGAGGAGTTTGTGGTGAGTTCTGGCACCTTCCTTTCTAGGAAAATAGCACAGGTATTAAGAGTTGCCCCGGCCCAATGCAAATCCCCAAGTGTTGAAAACACACCCTTTCCAGAAGATAATAGATAGCAAGCTACTGCATGAAAGCAGAGTTAGAGAAAGGTAAAGGTAAAGGGACCCCTGACCATTAGGTCCAGTCATGGCCGACTCTGGGGTTGCGGCGCTCATCTCGCTTCATTGGCCGAAGGAGCCAGTGTACAGCTTCCGGGTCATGTGGCCAGCATGACTAAGCCACTTCTGGCGAACCAGAGCAGCGCACGGAAACGCCGTTTACCTTCCCGCTGGAGCGATACTTAGTTATCTACTTGCACTTTGACGTGCTTTCGAACAGCTAGGTTGGCAGGAGCAGGGACTGAGCAACGGGAGCTCACCCCATTGTGGGGATTCGAACCGCCGACCTTCTGATCGGCAAGTCCTAGGCTCTGTGGTTTAACCCACAGTGCCACCTGCAAATATACCCAAATCTGTTTTGATTCTGGAGTGTGCTACATGTCTTGGAAAATCCCTCCCTCCACAATAATGGTCGGATCCTGCTTTGCCAAATAGCAGTGCCTGCCCACTACTCCTCACGACTGGCCTCGAGTGTGTGCCACTGGTCTCTCATAGTTCTCTCCATCATGTACCTTCTCAAGTCGTGCCCGGAAATACGGAAGTGCAGGGGTGACGACTTACCTGATAAATAAACCTCTGCATCACAGAGGACAGACCCAAAGGCCGACCACGTGCCCGCCAGGCTGATCTCTGGCTGCCTCGTCCCCTGTATCTGTTTCCGTTCGTACACGGCAACTCCCGTCAGAGAAGCTGTCTCCAGGAAATGGTTGCACGGGAACTGCTTCCACTCCGCTCGCTGCTTGACCGCGGGCGGGAGAGCCCACAGCCCAGCAGACGATGCTCCAGCGAGAGATCCCCTGGTGGTAAGGAAGATCTTGGAATTAGAGAGCAGGCAACTAAGGCAGGTGGGCAGCAGGTCAATAAGGAAAAGCTGGTCTAAGCAAGGGAGGTAGGTGTCGGTGGAGAAGCCTCCATTCAGGTTCTGCAAGTGTGACGCAGCCCAAGGCTGGAAACGTCTCAAATGGGCAATACAGCCATAGATGAACAGCTAATGGGCCTTGTAGGGAGAGGGTGTGTCGCTTGGAACAACAGCACTCCCCACACCTGCAAGCTTGTTCTCTTGGTCAGCGTGACGTCTTACCTGTTCAAATAGCACTGCAAACTCCTGGCTGTTGCAGGGGACGCAGTCCAGGTTCAGACACCCATAATGCCTGAACCAGAGTCTGCCAGGGGGCTTCCTGGGTGGCTCTTCCCCAGCTGAGCTAGAACAAGGCAAGCAAAGACATCCCGTCAGTTCTGGGACATGCAAAAACGCCCTAACCTGATCCAATGTTCTGACCGCATATGCCACAGATACTGGAGCAGACGAAAAAGACTGAAACTTTCCTGGTAGCTCGATAATAGTCAAACCTCGGTTCCCGAACACCTCCTTTTTGGAGCATTTCGGCTCCTGAATGCCGAAAACCTGGAAGTAAATGCTCCTGTTTTTTAATGTTTTTTGGAAGTCGAATGTCTGACGCAGCTACCGCTTGAGTGTGGGAAGCTCTTGCAACCAATTGGAAGCTGCGCCTCGGTCGTCGAACATTTTGGATGCTGAACGGGCTTCCGGAACGGATTACGTTTGACAACTTAGGTTTTACAGTGGTACCTCGGGTTAAGTACTTAATTTGTTCTGGAGGTCCGTTCTTAACCTGAAGCACCACTTTAGCTAATGGGGCCTCCTGCTGCCACCGCGTTGCCAGAGCACGATTTCTGTTCTCATCCTGAAGTAAGGTTCTTAACCCGAGGTACTATTTCTGGGTTAGCGGAGTCTGAAACCTGAAGCGTATGTAACCTGAAGCGTATGTAACCCAAGGTACCACTGTACTGTCTCCTCCTTCCCCACAAAGGCAGATACATTCTGTACTCATCTCAAAAGTGTGCCCTGCATAACTATAGGTTTTTTAATTTTTAATTTTTGCAGAGTTTTGCTCCCGCTTGCTGAAACAGACCCCACCCCTGCAATCACATGCACATCCCTACTCCGGCAACCCAGCATTTCCCAAGCCACTTCCCCCGTATATTTGCAAGATCCTCTCTGGAGCTGCAAAGGCTAGGATGTCGCTTTGACTTGGGATTTTCAACGTGCTGCCAACTCTCTTTAACTCTCCTCCTGGCTCCAGCGTGTCCAGCTGTGACACAAGTTAAATTGTACCGGGTTGAGGGGAGGTCATTTACCTTTCGAACCTCGTGAGAACATCTGCCACCAGGGCATCCTCCGGCAGGGGGCGCACATGCTGCCAGCTCTCCTCGTAGAGGGCAAATGAGTTGGGGCTATGCGCCAGCCCCAGGCGCAACATCAGCTCCAGGGCCACCTGGGACGAGGAGACAAAGGGGGTGACAGGAGGCCTGGGCATGTCCAGCAGGAGGGCACTCAGTGCTGCAAAGGGGACACACACAGACAGACAGACAGTGTCAAGCATGCGGAGGGGCGGAGAGGGGGGAAGGGTAGGGGCGGAAGGGTAGGGGTGCAGAGACCCAATTGGTGCACTGTGGTGGGAGGAAAAAGGAAAAGAAGCTTGCCTCATCTCTCGCCAACCGCACCGCGGAACGGAAGCAGCCAGCGCCGCAATGCCAGACGAAATCCTGGCTGCTTGGGCCTTTTGGCAAAGAAAGAGGCAAGTCTTCTTTCCCTTCCTCCCCCCTCTCTCCCAAGTAAGGTAAAGGGTAAAGGGACCCCTGACCATTAGGTCCAGTTGCGAACGACTGTGGGGTTGCAGCACTCATCTTGCTCTATAGCCCGAGGGGGCCGGCGTACAGCTTCCGGGTCATATTACAGGGAACCAGGCAGAGGGCCTTCTCGGTAGTGGCACCCTCCCTGTGGAACACCCTCCCATCAGATGTCAAAGAGAACAACAACTACCAGACGTTTAGAAGACATCTGAAGGCAGCCCTGTTTAGGGAAGCTTTTAATGTTTGATGTATTTTAATATTTTTCTGGAAGCTGCCCAGAGTGGCTGGGGAAGCCCAGCCAGATGGGCGGGGTATGAATTATTATTATTATTATTATTAGTGGCCAGCATAACTAAGCCGCTTCTGGCGAACCAGAGCAGCACACGGAAACGCCATTTACCTTCCTGCCGGAGCGGTACCAGTGCTTTCAAACTGCTATGTTGGCAGGAGCAGGGACTGAGCAACAGAAGATCACCCCGTCACGGGGATTCGAACCGCCAACCTTCTGATCGGCAAGCCCTAGGCTCAGTGGTTTAACCCACAGCGCCACCCGCAAACCCCCTCTCCCAAGTAAACGCCACCAATATCATCCGCAAGTTTAGCCGCAGCTTCCTGTTGGCAACCTGCAAGCCCCACAGGTAGGAATTTCACCCGAACTGGCCCCTGCCCACCACCCACCCTCGCCATTCAGCCCCAGGGCTTCTGCTCACCTCCTGGACTGTGGTCTGGGAGGTGACGGCCACATGGCAGGTGGCGATGCTAGGGCAATGCACACCGCACTCGGTCTCCTGGCGCCCCATCAGCCCCGCAATCTCCTCCAGCGAAGGGACGCACTCTCGCCCCTTGGTCTTGTGAAGGGCCTCTGCGATGAAGCGTCCATACCAAGTCGCCTCCGAGTCTGGGAACTGGTTCTCTGTCCTGCTGGGACCAGGGAAACACTGGGATTAGGGAACCCACGCGCGAGAACGTTGCTCAGCACTCCACGCCCCTATCCACAAACAGGAGGAATGGATGAAACTCAAAGACTAGTTAAACATGTTAAGATAAGTTAATTGGAAAAACTTGCAAATATCAGATAGGCTTGGGATTTAAATATGTAATGTTAGAGAATAACATGTTTAAAGTTAAAATGAAAAGAAAGAAAGATGTTAAGTGAGAGCTGGACCATAAAGAAGGCTGATCGCCGAAGAATGGATGCTTTTGAATTATGGTGCTGGAGGAGACTCTTGAGAGTCCCATGGACTGCAAGAAGATCAAACCTATCCCTTCTGAAGGAAATCAGCCCTGAGCGCTCACTGGAAGGACAGATCCTGAAGCTGAGGCTCCAACACTTTGGCCACCTCATGAGAAGAGAAGACTCCCTGGAAAAGACCCTGATGTTGGGAAAGATGGAGGACACAAGGAGAAGGGGACGACAGAGGATGAGATGGTTGGACAGTGTTCTCGAAGCTACCAGCATGAGTTTGACCAAACTGCGGGAGGCAGTGGAAGACAGGAGTGCCAGGCGTGCTCTGGTCCAGGGGGTCACGAAGAGTTGGACACGACTTAACGACTAAACAACAACAATGAGAAAATTGGTTTTGGAAAACTGTTACAATGATATACACTGAAATTCAGCCAGGGGGATTTGAGGAAGTCACTTAACAATGTTACTAAGATTGGATAAAATACAATTAAAATGTATGTTTGTTTGTTTGCTTAAAATTTTTGGAAAATCAATTTAAAAAATTTGAGGGGGGGAAAAGTTTCCTGCATTGCAGGGGGTTGAACTAGATGAACCCTGAGTCCTTTCCAACTCCACGATTCCATCATCTCTGGCCTCTCTGCCTGATCACGGTGAGCAAGGCAATACACGCACCCCATACACACACGCACCCCGATTTCCCTTTGCCCCAGGGCTCACCGCTGGAGGTGCAGCTGCAAGTAGCACAGGACAGGAAGCGACGGCCTGAAGGTGCAGCTCATGCAAGCAAGCAGCTGCCAGTATCGCAGGTCCGCGGCTGCACCCGGCGCTGGGGGCTCTGTGGTCTGCTTCACCAGCTGGCAGTAGATCTCGTCCACCAGGGCGGGGAGGTCGTGGCACGTCTGCAACACCCCCTGCATGAGAAGGGCTGGCTCCCGCAGCCCCTCCAGCTGCTGCAGCGAGTGGAACAGCTTGACAGCTTCGTCACGGATCCCCGCGTAGCCCTGGCCACCGGGAGCTGCAGAGACACAGGGAGAAATAAGCTATGCACTCAGAATCCATTATCGGTTATTGGATTTAGACACCGCCCTATACCCAGAGGTCTCAGGGCGGTTCACAAAGAAAATGGTAATAGTGGTACCTTGGTTCTCAAACACCTTGGTTCTCAAACAACTTGGAACCCAAACACTGCAAAACCGGAAGTAAGTGTTCCGGTTTGCGAACTTTTTTCGGAAGCCGAACGTGCTCCATTTTGAGTGTTACGCTTCCGATTCGAGGGCCACACTTCCGTTTTGAGTGTTACGCTGAGGTCTGTCTGTTTTTGCTATTCATTTTGTGTTTTTGTTTTTGCGGCTCTTTTTGTTTTGTTTTTGTGACTGTGAGGAACCCAGTTCAGCTAATGATTGATTGAGTGAGTGACTGCAGTACATTGTTTACTGCTTTCATTTCACAGATCAAGGGTCTCGTTAGATGGTAAAATTCATGTTAAATTGCTGTTTCAGGCGTTGTTTTTAAAAGTCTGGAACGGATTAATCCATTTTGCCTTACTTTCTATGGGAAAGCACGCCTTGGTTTTGGAGCGCTTTGGTTTCGGAACGGACTTCCGATACGGGTTAAGTTTGAGAACCAAGGTACCACTACTGTATATAAAATCAAATTAAAAACAATAGCCCAATAAAAAACCCAAAAAACGAGCCACATACTAAAAGGGTATTGGATGTCAATAAGATCAACCAAAAAAGATAAAGCTAAAGGGACCCCTGACCATTAGGTCCAGTTGTGGCCGACTCTGGGGTTGCGGCGCTCATCTTGCTTTATTGGCCGAGGGAGCCGGCGTACAGCTTCCGGGTCATGTGGCCAGCATGACTAAGCCACTTCTGACGAACCAGAGCAGCGCACGGAAACGGCGTTTACCTTCCGGCCGGAGCGGTACCTATTTATCTACTTGCACTTTGATGTGCTTTCGAACTGCTAGGTTGGCAGGAGCAGGGACCTAGCAACGGGAGCTCACCCCATTGCGGGGATTCGAACCACCAACCTTCTGATCGGCAAGTCCTATGCTCTGTGGTTTAACCCACAGCGCCACCCACGTCCAAGATCAACCAAAGGCCTGGTTAAAAAGGAACTTTTTGCCTAGCACCTAAAGGTGTATAATGAAGGCGCCAGACGAACTTCCCTGGGGAGAGCGTTCCACAGATGGGGAGCCACTGCAGAAAAGGCCCGTTCTCGTGTTGCCACCCTCTGGACCTCTCGAGGAGGAGACACACGAAGGAGGGCCTCAGAAGATGAACTCAGGGACCGGGTAGGTTCATATGGGAAGAGGCGGTCCTTGAGGTATTGCGGTCCTGAGACACGTACCACCAATTGCTGAACTGCTTGGGATTGTACAGCCAACGGCACGTGGTGCCCAAGGACTGAAGCCATCAATTTTAGGACAATGCTGACCCACGTGCAAGGAAGCGGTCACCCACCTGCATACGGGAAGGGTAGCAGAGGCGCGTAGATTGGGCCAGCCGTGTAGCACAGGATGGGGTTATTTTGATAAATCTGATCCAGGATTTCTGGGCTGTTACGGTTCTCCTGGGATGAGGAGAAAGAAAAAAAGCGAATTGCATGAATCAATAACAAATTCAATATTTTTATAGGGGTTCTTCTGACCCCCGGACTTCCCCCCACTCCTCTCCCCGGTTTCCAGTAATTATCTCTTTTATTTTCTGTGACTAAATACTTTTATCCAATCTATTAGGTCTCCTTTTTCAATACCCTTTATCAAATTATATTACAAGTGCTAATCCAATCCTGCTAAGGTTTTTAAATGTTTGCAATGCTCCTTCATATATTCTTATAAAGTTAATCCATTCATTTCTAATTTTTTTGTGCTCTTGGTGTATATAATCTTCCCGGTCAGTTTTGCCATTTCGGCATAATCCATCAGTTTCAATATTCAATATTCTTTTGATGGGGTTCTTCCTTCCTTCCTTCCATCCCTGGGCATATAACATTCTTGCCGCTATCACCGCGTACATAAATAGGACCTTTTCCCTCTTTCGCTATCTCTTCTGCTACTATACCTAATAGAAAAGCCTTTGGTTTTTTAATGAAAGTTATTTTAAACATTTTTTTAGCTCACTATAAATCATTTCCCAGAAGGCTTTTGCTGACTTACAGGTCCACTCTGCCCGAAGAATTTCTATTATTATTATTATTATTATTATTATTATTATTATTATTATCTTCTTTACTGAAATCCATGGATATCATACATGATCTTATATTCACATACAAAGGTAATAGTGATGATGATGATGATAATAATAATAACCTTAAATGATTTTACCATTAAATATTTATGCTTATACGTGCTCTTTTATTTTACTTTCTAACTAAACAAAAATAAACCAAAGTAGAATCAAATAAACTAAACTATAGACTTCCCATCATTTCCTGATGTACTTTACATTTACAATATTGAATGTACTTATACTTATTACCTTACTCTTAATATATTTTCTAATACTTTCTTGTAACGTATCGTACCATTTTTTGTAATTTATTAATATTTAATTTACACAAAGGGACGCGGGTGGCGCTGTGGGTTAAACCAGAGCCTAGGACTTGCCGATCAGAAGGTCGGCGGTTCGAATCCCTGCGATGGGATGAGCTCCCGTTGCTCGGTCCCTGCTCCTGCCAACCTAGCAGTTCGAAAGCACGTCAAAGGGCAAGTAGATAAATAGGTACCGCTCCGGCGGGAAGGTAAACAGCGTTTCCGTGCGCTGCTCTGGTTTGCCAGAAGCGGCTTAGTCATGCTGGCCACATGACCCGGAAGCTGTACGCCAGCTCCCTTGGCCAATAAAGCGAGATGAGTGCCGCAACCCCAGAGTCGGCCATGACTGGACCTAATGGTCAGGGGTCCCTTTACCTTTACCTTACACAAGGGTCATTCAAACACTACCATAGATGTTATATTGTTATTATATTTTTGTAGGTATTTCTTGAACATATCCCATTTTTTGAGTAAATGATTGTTTTGTATTTCCCCTTAACCTATTTGTCAGTTGAGCCATTTTTCTGCCTGCAGAATTTCTAGAGCTACTGATTCTAGTCTGGGAACTGCTGCGGTGTCGACAAGAGCACCTTCCCAGAAGAGCTGCTTTAGGAAACCTGCGTGCAAATACCTGCTGCCACCATGAAGGGGCTGCCCTCGCCAAAGGTGGCTAACCAGGTGCGCCTGGGCTCTGGGCACGAAACCTGTTTGTATTTCACATTGCAAATCCTCAGGGCAGACGCTGCAACTTAACACTTTTGGGCACGTCAGCAATAAGGAACGGGCCTAGCTCTCCACTCCTACCCGCAACAATATTAATTGGTCGTTATTTAATTAGCATAGGCCTCGCCTCTCTGACAGAAACCAGCCCCTTGCCCCGAGGCTTAGATCGTTAAATTTAGGCCCTGTTTAGGGAAGTTTTTAATGTCTGACGCTGTATTGTTTTTAATATTCGGTTGGAAGCCGCCCAGAGTGGCTGGGGAAACCCAGCCAGATGGGCGGAGTATAAACAATAAATTGTTGTTGTTGTTGTTAATTATAAATAATATGTTTATGTTATTTGTCCAGAGATGGAAGAAAGAAACAATCCTGACCAGGGAACAATGGCAAACCAAGTTGATGGGACTATACTGAAATGGCAAAATTAAGTGGAAAGCTCAGGAACCAAGAGGACAAGAACTTTAAAAAAAGAATGGGGAAAATTTATAATTTATTTGGGAGACCATTGTAAACAGGTGAAAACATTATCAGGATTTTAATCACACTTGAAAGGCAACAGAAACTATGGACAATTTAGATCAGGCATCCCCAACCTGAGGCCCTCCAGATGTTTTGGCCTACAACTCCCATGATCCCTAACTAACAGGACCAGTGGTCAGGGATGATGGGAATTGTAGTCCAAAACATCTGGAGGGCCAAAGGTTGAGGATGCCTGATTTAGATGGATAAAAAATGTGGGTAATGGATTGATATGCAGGTGTAAATATTGGCATTAGGACCCATAGAGGGGATGGTGGAGGGGGAGTCGTGAGATTTAGAGCAATCTCTTTACAGTGGTACCTCAGGTTAAGTACTTAATTCGTTCCGGAGGTCCGTTCTTAACCTGAAACTGTTCTTAACCTGAAGCACCACTTTAGCTAATGGGGCCTCCTGCTGCTGCGCAATTTCTGTTCTCATCCTGAAGCAAAGTTCTTAACCTGAAGCACTATTTCTGGGTTAGCGGAGTCTGTAACCTGAAGCGTATGTAACCTGAAGCATCTTTAACCTGAAGCGTATGTAACCCGAGGTACCACTGTATATGGATTTTTAATTGACTTTCATATATTTTCTAAAATCAAATAAAAATTATTTTACAACAGAGGTGAGCCGGCAGGAAAAATAATAATTATAAAAAAGATGTTTAAACAACCCGTCAAGCCTGTAACATTGCAGACGCTCTTAAAGCAGTTATGAATAAGAATTAAAGCCTGCAGAAACGGCAGCCCAAACCAGCAGCATGACCTTAAAGGAGTGAGAAATGCCTTGTGTGCAGTTGCCGCTCCCTTCATTTAAGGGAGGAAACCGCCGGGTGCACTCATTATGCATTTCTGCAACTGCTCTCTCAGCTCCAAGGGCTTCCCAGCTCCTTTGCTGCCTGACGGGAGCGTGGCTTGGCCCATTTGCAGCCTCAGCGGGTGTGTCCTGGCCCTTGCATCACACCCATTCCCTTCCTGCCCCCCCCACTCACCTCAATGTCACACATGAGGAGCTGCGTCGGGGTCTGCACGGGGGGCTTGCTGATTATGACCTTCTGAAGGGCGCAAACCCAATGCACAGCTTCGTTTAAGTGCTCTGTGTAGAGGCGGTAGCAGTGCTTTCTGCCAAAAACAGTCACTGCCCAGTATCCTGCGAAGAAGGGAGACAGAAGGGAGTATCAGCATGTGATTAATAGAAACACACACACACACACACACGTATACACAGGTAAGGTAAAGGTAAAGGTACCCCTGCCCGTACGGGCCAGTCGTGTCCGACTCTGGGGTTGCGCGCCCATCTCGCTTAAGAGGCCGGGGGCCAGCGCTGTACGAAGACACTTCCGGGTCACGTGGCCAGCGTGACAAGCTGCATCTGGCGAGCCAGCGCAGCACACGGAAACACCATTTACCTTCCCGCTAGTAAAGGTAAAGGTACCCCTGCCCGTACGGGCCAGTCTTCCAGACTCTAGGATTGTGCGCTCATCTCACTCTATAGGCCGGGAGCCAGCGCTGTCCGCAGACACTTCCGGGTCACGTGGCCAGCGTGACAAGCTGCATCTGGCGAGCCAGCGCAGCACACGGAACGCCGTTTACCTTCCTGCTGGTAAGCGGTCCCTATTTATCTACTTGCACCCAAAGGTGCTTTCGAACTGCTAGGTTGGCAGGCGCTGGGACCGAGCAACGGGAGCACACCCCGCCGCGGGGATTCAAACCGCTGACCTGACGATGGCAAGTCCTAGGCGCTGAGGTTTTACCCACAGCGCCACCCGCATTCCATATACACAGGTATAAATATACTAGTAAAGGGTAAAGGGATCCCTGACCGTTAGGTCCAGTCGCGGACGACTCTGGGGTTGCGCGCTCATCTCGCTTTATTGGCCGAGGGAGCAGGCGTACAGCTTCCGGGTCATGTGGCCAGCATGACTAAGCTGCTTCTGGCGAACCAGAGCAGCGCATGGAAACGCTGTTTACCTTCCCGCCGGAGCGGTACCTATTTATCTACTTGCACTTTGACGTGCTTTCGAACTGCTAGGTTGGCAGGAGCAGGGACCGAGCAATGGGAGCTCATCCCATCACGGGGATTCGAACCGCCGACCTTCTGATCGGCAAGGCCTAAGCTCTGTGGTTTAGACCACAGCACCACCCGCGTCCCTATCTATTAGCATTAGTAGCAGATATAGCCCTGAAAGGAACACAGAAATGAGGGAAGTAGGAAGAGAAAAGGCTTTTGATTCCCCATGACAGGCACACACAGGTCATAGAGAGGCTTTGCTTTTCTATCTATATCTATCCTTTCAAACTTAGGAGCCCATTGTCTCATGAACACTTCTCCGAAGTTTAAAATTTCCTGATGCTTTCCCTTTAAGTTTTTCCATATTTTAAAGATCCCCAAGGTTCTGTGGTTTAATTTATGCTTTTACATTTTGCATGCAATGTATTTCTATTGCAAAAAAGCAGCTTTGAGACCGAGGTAGCGAACAGCAAAAGGGTCTTCTCATTCGTTGCGCCCACCCTGTGGAACGTGGTGCCCTCAAATGTCAAGGAAATAAGCGACTATCTGACTTTTAGGAAGCATGCGAAGGCAGCCCTGCATAGGGAAGTTTTTAATGTTTGACGTCTTAACTGTGTTTGATGTTTTCATTTGCCGGAAACCACCCAGAGTGGCTGCGGCAACCCAGTCTGATGGGCAGCATATAATGAATGAATGAATCAATCAATCAAAGAAAGCTGAAACAGGAGTTGGGAACCTCCTTCGGCTCAAAGGCCACATTTCCTCATGGGCCAGGGGTGCCAGCAATGGGCTGGGCAGACACAAACACGGCCAGAGCAATAGCCACGATTCTTCCCTTTGTACAGAAGGCTGCACTCCAGCCGCACAAAATGCACACAAAAACCCGGTTTCTACACGTAACACCCACCCATCCACCCAAATAAGCTAGAGGCATTGCTACAGATCAAGGTCACATTCCAGTCGGGTTGTCATATTTCAAAAAATGAAAATCCGGACAGAAACGTTGTTGGTTCCTACCCCACCCCCCAAGTTGAAGAGGCCGTGGTCTGAGGAGAATTCCAAGGGCCGGAGGAAAAGGTTCAGAGGGCCACATTTGGATCTGAGGTTCTCCAACCCTGTGCTAAAAGACTCGATACCCAAGCACTCCACAGCCAGGCACAGGCCCACATTCTTTACCTGTCTCCTTGTAGGTCTGCTTGTCAGGCCAAAGCACAGAACAGAGACTGGTGAGGACGAGCGAACCAAGGCACCGGGCCGTCACCTCACACCCGCTATAGTAGTCGAGGGAATCCTCCGTCAGCACAAACCAGTACTTGCGAGGACGCAGCCAAGGGGTCTTTATACCTCCCCGGACGTCCCGTTGCAGCCAGCCTGGAAGAGGCAATAGAAAGATGGTGAGGTGGAGCCTGTGCTCAGGTTGACCCCCACCCCAAGAACACGTTGGCTCTCTTTCTGCTTCTACAGGTGGGGCAGATAGGGCTGGTCAACCTGGGAAGGGAGCCCATTTATGTAGGAGAAGGAATAGTAAAAAGGTAAAGGGACCCCTGACCGTTAGGTCCACACGCGGCCGACTCTGAGGTTGCGGCGCTCATCTCGCTTCATTGGCCGAGGGAGCCGGCGTACAGCTTCCGGGTCATGTGGCCAGTATGACTAAGCCACTTCTGGCGAACCAGAGCAGTGCACGGAAATGCCGTTTACCTTCCCGCCGGAGTGGTACCTATTTATCTACTTGCACTTTGACGTGCTTTCGAACTGCTAGGTTGGGAGGAGCAGGGACCGAGCAACGGGAGCTCTCCCTGTCGCGGGGATTCGAACCGCCGACCTTCTGATTGGCAAGTCCTAGGCTCTGTGGTTTAACCCACAGTGCCACGCGCGTCCCCTAAACGCTTTGTGGCTGCTCTTTAATTTAGCGCAACTTGTAATGCAAGTACCACGCTTTTCACCCCTTCGACACAAACGCTGCCACTCCTCCAAATGACTGGGAACCACCCTGCTCAAAAAGGCTGGGCAGCGTCAGCCACCCTTTCCCAGAGGCAGGAATAATGAAAACCCAAGCAAAACCAAGGAGCCCCGATTCTGCTCAGGGAGTCGCGCTGCGTTAAGAACCCACCTTTCACGATAGCATCGGGTTCTCCTTGCAGTCTCCCGCTCTTCTTCTCCGTGATAAGACTGTGTGTTTCTTCGGACACTGGCAGAGACCTGCGGGACAACAGAGCGGGTCAAGCAGGGCCTCGCTGAGCTCGAGGGCCGCATTCCCCTCTCAGCAAGCTTCTGGGGGCCGCAGGCAAAAGTGGGTGGAGCAACAAATGCAAACGCTCAAACCTTTCCACGTAGGCTAGTTTCTATGCCCCTCTGAGTGCAAGGAAATATTCTAGTCAGGCAATATTCTGGGGCTGGTGAGGACTGTGATCTGGAGAGACAGGGTGTGGCTGCAAGGGGGAGGTGCTGAGGGCCAAACAGAGAGCCTTGAAGGGCCACATTTGCTTTACTTCAGTGCTTTATGCACCTCTGAGCTAAAGAGATGGAAGCATCAACCTGAGGCCCTAGTGTGACCAGGGTGGATAAAAATCAACTTTTATATATCAGATTTTTAAACTGGATTATTTTTATTTAAATTGGATTTTTTAAATAAAATGCTTTTGGAGAAAAAATATTTCTAGTTTTCTATTTAAGCTACATTATAGTCCAAAAGCTATTCATCAGGAAATAAGGATTTGTTTTTAAGTTTTTCATGTGTGCTAAAACTCAGTCTGTTTTTATTGTTTAACCACATCAGTTAACAAACATGGATACATACGCTATAATGTTGTTGTTTTAGTTAAATAAATTGTTTAAATTGTTGTTAAGGAAATGATTGTTTTCCTCCTTCCAATAAAGTACAGCAGAAAAGTTGTCCAAACAGTTAGCTTATTAAACCTCACAATAATTTCATCATTATCTATGTATTTCTAATAGCATAACCACATCAGTAATTTTTGATGCAACTGCAAAAACTACTCTGAAAATTTATTCTTCCAAAAATGAAACCTCCATCTGGTTGTAAATATTAAGATTATACCAGCAAGAATGAGTCTTTCTATAAAAAAATATAATTTAAATCAAGTCTTACTGACTAGTGATTAAAATTGTGATTTAAATCAAATCCACCCTGAGTGTGACCCATCCCCGGAGGCCTGGTCTCCAACTGGTGGGTGGGGAGTAAAAAAAAAACTGCATTTCAGCTGGAACTAAAGTGAGTTCGCAACCTACCGTATTTTTCGCTCCATAAGGCACACCTGACCGTAAAGCACACCTGACCATAAGGGGCACCTACCTGGGGGGGGGGGGATTCAAGAGAAAAAAATGCGGCTCTTGAGGGCTTTTGCGGGAGGTGGGGGAAGTGAGAGAGCCTTGCTCTGTCCCTTCCCCCACCTCCCGCAAAAGCCAGGAATAGCCACGCGAAGCCTCCCCAGGGCAGTGGGATGAAGGCTCCCCGCTGCCCTGCGGAGGCTTTGCGGGCTACCCCAGAGCTGCTCGACCCAAAGGTGGAAAGCCACCGCCAGCCCCAAATAGCAGGTCGGGGCTGGCGAGGGAAGCCCGGGTCCCCCCCCCCAGCCCCAGGGACCACACATTCGCTCCATAAGACGCACAGACATTTCCCCTTAGATTTTAAGAGGGGAAAAGTGCGTCTTATGGAGCGAAAAATACAGTATATGGTCAAAAATTAAAACACAGCCCCAAAATTGCGAATGTTCAGCTAAAGGTGGGGCTCAGGGCTTGAAAACTGCCTGCTCCCATGTTTCCTCGCCTCCCTCCCCACAGAACCCCAAACTGCGGCCTACGCACATTCTAGCACCCGTCCCCACCGCTTTTCCTCCTCTTCCTCGGACGCGGCCCCACACCCACTTCCCTCCACGGCTGTGGGAAAGTGGGCCGCCAGCTCTTGCACTGTTAACCTCCGGCTAAAAATAAGCTGTTTATATAGAAAGGCTGCCAAGAATTTGGGAAACGAAGGAGCTCAGGAGAGGAGAGGATGCCGGCTGGATTGTCCGAGGGAACAGTGTGTGCATTTGGGGAAATGGGGGGGCAACAAAAGAGGAAGGGAAGGGCTTGCCCCCCACCCCACCCCTAAATTCTGCAACCCTCTCTATGAAGGGAGTCCAGCCCCACATTTATTTTATTTATTTATTTTTGCCTCTGACTTGCATATTTGCATTTCCCCCACCCCAGTGTCGCCAGGACTGCTCCAAAATGTGCAAAATAGTTAAGCGATTTCCAGCCTTATCCACCCACCGCCATCTCTGAATTTTGACTCCATCCCATGCATAGGGTCCACTTGCAAGTGCTATTTCCCATTTGTACACTTCCATGGGTCCGGGATATACAATATTCTCCTTCTTGGGGGGGTGACTCTAAACTCCATTTCAGGTGCTCAGGGGTACTATCATTAGTTAATACGGAACAAGCACTTATGATTCCATTTGGGGCTTAGAGGGAGGGCCCTCCATGATCAGAGGGAGGTAGATTGGCCCCCCCCACAAGGGAGATGGAAAACAGGCAAACCAAGACTCCCAGTAACTCCTAGACAAGGGCAGGCAAATAGCAGGAGTTGGGCTAACTTTGAAGGCCAGTTTTAGGCTTCTGGCAAGAGTGACCAGTCCCTCCCATAGCAGATTGCAAAGTGGAGAATAAGAGGGAAAGAGAGAGGGCCCATCTACGTTTTGGGCCTGGCCACATCCACCACTGGCTTCGGCCCCACCCAAGATAATAATAATAATTTATTATTTATACCCAGCCCATCTGGCTGGGTTTCCCCAGCCACTCTGGGCGGCTTCCAACCGAATATTAAAAACAATACAGCGTCAGACATTAAAAACCTCCCTAAACAGGGCCACCTTCAGTTGTCTTTTAAAAGTAAAATAGTTGTTTATTGCCTTGACATCTGGTGGGAGGGCCACCACCAAGAAGGCCCTCTGCCTGGTTCCCTGTAATCTTACTTCTCGCAATGAGGGAACTGCCAGAAGGCCCTCGGAGCTGGACCTCAGTGTCCGGGCTGAACAATGGAGGTGGAGATGATCCGTCAGATATACTGGGCTGAGGCAGTTTAGGGCTTTAAAGGTCAGCACCAACACTTTGAATTGTGCTCGGAAACATACTGGCACCCTGATAGCCTGCCAGGTGAGCTCAGGTAGAAAGAAAAGCTCCCCAACCAAGACAAGAGGTGCTGCCAGCCAAGCCCACAGCCTTTAACCCGGAAGTACGTGGTACCATGATGAGAAAAATCAACGCCTGCACTTGCTCACTCTTCTTCGCTGACCACTTTGATCGCCCTGGTAATGAGAACAGGTCCTGGGGTTCGAGTGCAGATTGAGAGGCACCCATCTCAGGCACCTCCTGTTGTCCGTCATCCAAACGCCTAGCTCGAGACTCGGAATTTCAGAGTTGTGGGTTTGAGCCCCACGTCGGGCAAAAAGATTCCTGCACTGCAGGGGGTGGATTAAATGACCCGTGTGGTCCCAACTCTACAATTAATAATAATAATTATTATTTATTGTTTATACCCCGGCCATCTGGCTGGGCTTCCTCAGCCACTCTGGGCGGCTTCCAAAAAAATATTAAAATACTGTAATACATCAAACATTAAAAGCTTCCCTAAACAGGGCTGCTTTCATATGTCTTCTAAAAGTCTGGTAGTTGTTGTTCTCTTTGACATCTGGTGGGAGGGCGTTCTACAGGGCAGGCGCCACTACCGAGAAGGCCCTCTTCCTGGTTCCCTGTAGCTTCGCTTCTCGCAGTGAGGGAACCTCCAGAAGGCCCTCGGCACTGGACCTCAGTGTCCGGGCAGAACGATGGGGGTGGAGATGCTTCTTCAGATATACTGGACCGAGGCCATTTAGGGCTTTAAAGGTCAGCACCAACACTTTGAATTGTGTTCAGAAATGTACTGGGAGCCAATGTAGGTCTTTCAAGACCGGTGTTATGTGGTCTCGACGGCCACTCCCAGTCAACAGTCTAGCTGCCGCATTCTGGAATATATATATATATATATATATATATATATATATATATGTATATATATGAGTCCACTGCCACCTAGATGTTTTCAACCCCCTCCCAAAAGACATCACTCGCCCCTTTTCCTTTCTGTTTTCCCCAGGCACTCAGCCACAGCTATGTTCAGACACTCGCTCTGCGGAGGACGAACCCCAGAGCTCTCAGCTTCACACACGGTCCTCTGTTCCCCTCGGCCTTTTCCCAGGCCCTGTCTTGCAACAGAGGAAGATGCTGGAGTCCCTTTCCTCCAGGCGCCCTCGCTAGGCCTGACCCCAGCTGGGAACCATTAGCTTGCAAGCGGGGCGGGAGGAGTGTGGGTCACCAGACAGAATTCTTCCCACAATCGCTTCTCCTCTCTCTCTCCCCCAGTTGCTCTCTAGTTGAGAAAGAATTGAGAAACCTTCCAAAAATGAACAAAACAAGGCACTCTTGGGATGCATTAGTTTAAGGCCCAGGAGGAATGCCCCCCAAATGCGGGTTGAACTCTTAGGTTTTCAGTGTCTCAGGAAATTGGTCTGTTTAGCTCAGTGTCATCTACATCGCGATGCCTGACAACAAATCCTAATTATTGGGTCCTTTTGCCCCATCTTTTTGTGCCTGCCCAGCAGCCGTGTCATGCTTATGATAATATTTTATTCTCTTGTTAATTATGCTGTTTTAAATGTGCATTTTATATTTGACTTCACTCAGCAATGTTTTCTTTTGAAATGTTTTAAGATTTTTGTTTTTTCCCCGTTAACTTTGTGTTAAATATGTATTCTGTAGTTGACCTCCTTTGTAATGTTTTATTTTGAAATCTTTGAGATGGTATTTTGGTTTCCTGTTAATTGTGTTGCTTTGACTGTGTACCTTCTTCAGAAATGTTTGATTCTGGATTGTTTTATTGATGTTTAATATGAAGTAAACCGCTTTGAGATTTTTCTTAAAAATATAAAGCAGTATAAAAATGAAATAAATGAATAATAATAATCTACAATGACTTGCAGCGGTTCTCCAGAGTTTCAGGTTGGGTTTCTCTCCCTAGTCCTACTTGAAGATATCAGCAACTGAACCTGGGATCAGAGTGCATCTGAACATGTACAAAGTGTTCTCCCCACACAGCCGCCCCCACATATCTGAAATCAGAGGGAATAATTTCAGGGGAGAGGGTGGTGTTTTCTAGGCAAGCTTAGGCCCTGCCACTTATTCTTTTTTAAAAATTAAATACTTATTTGGGCAACTAGGATGATCTTTCCCCCACTCCTACGCCTGCAATCTAAGTTAGTAGGAACCCCCAGTCATATGCTAATTTGAGACAGGACCAAGTCCCAGGACTGTTGTTTTTTTTAACATGCAACAAGAAAATCACATGCAGTGTGTGATCCTCCCTTAGCACGTAGCTACTGCTGCAAACCACTGCACATCCCAAATCAGAAGGTAGGACTTTGAAGCAAGGTGGCTTGTTACGGAGGCAGGATTCAGCCGTAGGGATTTTTTAAAAAACTGTATTCACTAATGCCTTTCCAGTATTTTGCTTTTGGCCAAAGGTGGAGCCTGATGACAGCATCGAAGAAGAAGGGAATAAGTTGGCAACAAACAGAAGGGGCAGGCAGTTATTGGCCTTTGATGGGCAAGGGTTCTTACTTAGATTGCAGGCACGGGAGTGGGGAAAAGATCTAGTTGAGCAAATAGGTCTTTTTTTAAAAATTATTATTATTATTATTATTATTAAAAAGAATAAGTGTCAGGGCCTAAGCCAATCACATTAGTTGCAGGATCCTACAGGTTTCTGCTGACAGGAGCCAGAATTCTGACATGAACAGCTACCCCACGCACAATAACACATTTGCCTATTTGAGTGCCATGCCCCAAACTGAATCAGAATTGTAGAGTTTGTAGGGACCGCAAGGGTCATAAAAATCTGCCCTTATTCCCTTATGGGGAACAAGGGCAGATTTTTGTTTATTACAGGCCCAACCCCATGCAATGAAGTAATCTTTTGACCAACGTGGAAATCAAACCCACAACCGAGATTCAGAGCCTTGTGCTCTACTGACCGAGCTGCCCCACAACCCTTCGCTGCTCACCTTTCGGAACCGCTGCTGGTCCGACTGGGCTGAGTGACGTTCACCTGCAAGGGAGCTCCCTGAAAAGCAAAGCGGGGAGAGACACACTGATCAGGACACAAGAAAACAAAGCTACGCTTTGCATGTGATTTGGATAAGGAGACATGTTAAAGGTAAGGGGACCCCTAACCATTAGGTCCAGTCGTGGCTGACTCTGGGGTTGCAGCGCTCATCTCACTTTATTGGCCGAGGGAGACGGCGTACAGCTTCGGGTCATGTGGCCAGCATGACTAAGCTGCTTCTGGCGAACCAGAGCAGCGCACAGAAACGCCGTTTACCTTCCCGCCGGAGTGGTACCTATTTATCTACTTGCACTTTGACGTGCTTTCGAACAGGGCAGAGAGAGACTTTGGATTCCTAAGATTTTTGGATTCCTAAGATTTAGAATCCTAAGATTCTAGCCTTAACAATTTAAGCATTATTGGGATACATGGTTATACAGAAAATGTAAAGGTAAAACTCTTCCAGGTGGCCTTGCCACACTAGGTTGGCAGGAGCAGGGACCGAGCAACGGGAGCTCACCCCGTTGCGGGGATTCGAACCACCGACCTTCTGATCGGCAAGTCCTAGGCTCTGTGGTTTAACCCACACGCCACCTGCGTTAGAAGACAGGTTGGAAGGCTTTTAAGACTGGGGGGGTTTCAAAAGCCGGAACAACACCCTCTGCCGCACATTATTATATTGTGTGTGTGTGTGTGTGCTCACACAAAAGCAAGAGGCCAGTCCAGAGAGAGATTGGGGGAAAATGCACAGTAGCGTTGCCCTTCCCATTTCCCCAACCACACAAGGGAGCGAATTATTAATCTGCAATTTTCCCAGGCTGCCTCGTCTGGGTTGCTGCCCCTCCCAGGCCACAGTCTGTCTGGCTAGCCACCCCCACCCCCACCGCACACACCGCAAGCTGCAGCAGCTGAACGGGTTCCTGTATCCTCAGCCGACCTTAGCACTGGGCTCCGGGGCTGTGCAGAATTGCACAAGCACATTGCTGAGTAAGATACAGGCAAACAAAGTCCTATTGTGGCCAAGGCTTCCTTCCTCTGCAAAGGGGGATGGGCAGGCCGGGAGAGCAGAAAAGTCCCCAGCAGGGGGCAAGAGGGAAACCTGGTCTCCTGTACCTTATTCAAAGGGGCTCGGTGGTGTTGGCAGGCGCCAAAATCTGCAAGGAGGTTTTTGGCACAGTTAAAGGGGACCGGGGACGGGGGCAGGGCAGGACACACAGCCAGGTCCGGTTTCGACATAGGCCAATGCGCTCCTCCTGGCCCCCTCTCCCTGCCAGAGCAAAGGCCAGGTGGAAAAAACGGGAGAGACGAAATATAAAGCCAGGGAGCTGCTGCAACAGGTAGCCTGTTATAGACAGGGCACCAACTGCCCTCTGGCATTAGGACACCTGTTATAAATCAGATCAAGTTTGCAAGGGCTGCCACAATCCTTGCAGGGGCAGGCAGGCTGGCAGCAGGCGCCAAGAGAGTGTGGAAGGATTATTCTGCAGAAGAAGCGGAGCTGGAACTGGCAGGGAGACCCTGGTACACCTTCAAATGCTTACCAAAAAAGAAAAAGTAGAACCCTCTTTCTCCTAGCTCAGTTAATTATCACCACCCGTATCATAAACGCCGCCAGATTTTAGGATCAAAACCACCGATTTAAAATGGCAAGCTGAGGAATGTACAAATTCAGGTATGCGCCAAAAGCCTAGGGTTTGCCATATTTCAGAAAGTAAAAACCAGGACACCCCGAAAGTTGTGGAGCCCAAATAATGCCTACAAAAGGCTGCTATTGATGCTAGATGTAATAATAATAATATAATTTATTATTTATACCCTGCCCATTTGGCTGGGTTTCCCCAGCCACTCTGGGCAGCTTCCAACAGAATATTAAAATACAATAGTCTATTAAACATTAAAAGCTTCCCTAAACAGGGCTGCCTTCAGATGTCTTCTAAAAGTCTGGTAGTTGTTTTTCTCTTTGACATCTGGTGGGAGGGCGTTCCACAGGGAGAGCACCACTACCGAGAAGGCCCTCTACCTGGTTCCTTGTAACCTCACTTCTCGCAGTGAGGGAACTGCCAGAAGGCCCTTGGCGCTGGACCTCAGTGTCCGGGCAGAACGATGGAGGTGGAGACGCTCCTTCAGGTATACTGGGCTGAGGCCGTTAAGGGCTTTAAAGGTCAGCACCAACACTTTGAATTGTGCTCGGAAACATACTGGGAGCCAGTGGAGGTCTTTCAAGACCGGTGTTATATGGTCTCTGCTGCCACTCCCAGTCACCAGTCTAGCTGCCGCATTCTGGATTTGTTGTAGTTTCCGGGTCACCTTCAAAGGTAGCCCCACATAGAGCGCATTGCAGTAGTCCAAGCGGGAGATAACTAGAGCATGCACCACTCTGGCCAGACAGTCCACGGGCAGGTAGGGTCTCAGCCTGCATACCAGATGGAGCTGGTAGACCGCTGCCCTGGACACAGAATTGGCCTGCACCTCCATGGACAGCTGTGAGTCCATAATGACTCCCAGGCTGTGCACCTGGTCCTTCAGGGGCACAGTTACCCCATTCAGGATCAGGAAGTCCTCCATACCCACCCGCCTCCTGTCCCCAAAAAACAGTACTTCTGTCTTGTCAGGATTCAACCTCAATCTGTTAGCCGCCATCCATCCTTGCTTTACATCCATGCTATGCAATGACTAAATCCATACAGCACAGCATCGTGTGCTGCCATTGCTGGTGATTTCATCTGAATTAGAGGAAGTGGCAGAAGCTAATAATGGTAGGTCATATAGGAGAACTGGGAGATCAAAATGTTGACCAAGGCTATGGAGAAGGATACAAGACAAGGAGAAGGACAAATGCCTTTGTTATCACAAGGTGGAACTAGCAATGGAAAAGAAGAAGCGAATCCTGATTTATGACTCACTCAGCATGCATAAAATCAGCCTTTCCAGCACGTAGGCTGTGTTTAAAATGAATTCATCGTTCAGAAAATTATCAGCAAAGCAGAAGAAGTGGGATGTTCTGATGATGCTTGGAAATGCAAAACTTTGCTGGGTTTCCTTTTGGTTCGGCAACATGCACCATCTTGCTCTCTTCAGCTTAAAATCACCAAGAGGGCGGCTGTCATAATTCAGATTATAGCATTTACAAGCATATTAAAATTCGTGCACCAAGCTAGCCCTAGCTTCAACGTTGTCCCAACCTGCAGAGGAGCATAGCTGAAAAGACGGTAAGAAACAGCGAGTATGTGGAGGCCAAGACATAAGCAAAAGCTGTCTTGATTTCGTGAGTGCCATTGTAATATGTCAGGCTGCATTGTATCTTTAAAAAATCACAGTATGCCTGCACTCTGGCACTGTTGCTCAGCACATATTTAACAGCACTATATTTATCTGCCCAGAGGGCAAGCACTGGGCACACAGAGAGAGGAAGAAGGGGGCTTGCAACAGAGGACCAGTAGAAGCAAGCGCTGTCTGGCAGCCATCCCATTACATCCCCCAACACTATAAGACCGCTGTGATTCCCTTAGCTCTCAACTATCCTTATGTTAAAAGGACGCGGGTGGCGCTGTGGGTTAAACCACAGAGCCTAGGACTTGCCGATCAGAAGGTTGGAGGTTCAAATCCCTGCGACGGGGTGAGCTCCCGTTGCTCGGTCCCTGCTCCTGCCAACCTAGCAGTTCAAAAGCACATCAAAGTGCAAGTAGATAAATAGGTACCGCTCTGGCGGTAAGGTAAATGGCGTTTCCGTGCGCTGCTCTGGTTCACCAGAAGCGGCTTAGTCATGCTGGCCACATGACCCGGAAGCTGTACGCCGGATCCCTCGGCCAATAAAGCGAGATGAGCGCCGCAACCCCAGAGTTGGTCACGACTAGACCTAATAGTCAGGGGTCCCTTTACCTTTACCTTTCCTCATGTTACGGGGGGTGGGGGTGGGGGTGGGGAATGCCAGCTTCCGTAAGCCATGATTTCCCCAAAGTACCAAACGGCAAGGTTTGCAGCACCGATGGGGCCATCTTCGTCTCATGCAAGGTTGTCATGCGAGCGACAACTCTTGGAATGCCTCCTTCTGCACAATTATTCAAAGTGCAAGAGGCCCTGCCCTTGTTTTTGCATCTTTCCAGTGGGTACATATGCAAAGGCTGGTGAATAAATGCCACAGTCCCGTTCCAGAGACTGAACTCCTTTGCAGAGTTGAGGGTAACTCAGAGCCGACAGTTTCATCATAGCTGATCACCAGTAATGGAACACACACAGAGTGATTCCAGAACAATGCATTATATTATATTATATTATATTATATTATATTATAGTGGTACCTTGGGTTACAGATGCTTCAGGTTACATACTCCGCTAATCCAGAAATAGTACCTCAGGTTAAGAACTTTACTTCAGGATGAGAACAGAAACTGCGTGCCGGTGGCGCAGAGGCAGCAGGAGGCCTCACTAGCTAAAGTGGTGCTTCTGGTTAAGAACAGTTTCAGGTTAAGAACGGACCTCCAGAACGAATTAAGTTCTTAACCCGATGTACCACTGTATATTAATTAGCTTTCTTGTCCCAACTTTCCTCCAAAGCGCTCAAACCAGCGTTAGAAACTCAGATATATAAGCTAGGGGCCAAATGGCTCCTTAAACCAAGGTTACAGTCACCAAAACAGAATGTCTGGTTGCCATTTTGGGGCAAGAAGGCTCTAAAGTCTTACTTTCCATGCTCCAATTTTAGTATATGTGCTGCACTAAAATCTTATTTTCCAAATGATGGACTGACTGTGATTCTGTTAAACACCTGGCTAGTTCAGATGACAACCTTGGGCTAGCTTAAGAACTTTGAGAACTTATCCAGGGGCAATCCACACATATAATGATGACCTATTTGCACCTCTTTTTCTTAACGGTGACTGCTCCTACTCAAGGCTGCACAGAAAACAACAACAATTTGGTTCCAGAAATGCATTCTGATTGTGCAGATAAAATATAACGGAGAGAATTCTATAGGACGTGGTACTAGTGTGTGAAAATAGTCCAGATCCAATGATCCCCAGATGATGGACATGTCAGGTGCCATCCTGGAGCCCAGGCATCTTGACTTGGCCCCAAGTGGTCGATAGCCAGGTACAAAATGTGCCCGGCTAATTTCAAACTTCCATACATCATGTATGGAAGTATGGAAGTGAAAGCTGGACCATAAAGAAGGCTGATCGCCGAAGAATGGGTGCTTTTGAATTATGGTGCTGGAGGAGACTCTTGAGATCCCATGGACTGCAAGAAGATCAAACCGATCCATTCTGAAGGAAATCAGCCCTGAGTGCTCACCGGGAGGACAGATCCGGAAGCTGAGGCTCCAATACTTTGGCCACCTCATGAGAAGAGAAGACTCCCTGGAAAAGACCCTGATGTTGGGAAAGATGGAGGGCACAAGGAGAAGGGGACGACAGAGGACGAGATGGTTGGACAGTGTTCTCGAAGCTACCAGCACGAGTTTGACCAAACTGCGGGAGGCAGTGGAAGACAGGAGTGCCAGGCGTGCTCTGGTCCATGGGGTCACGAAGAGTCGAACACGACCAAACGACTAAACAACAACACAATTTCGAACATTGAAGATGATGTCCATGGCTCTTCCCCTTTCCGTATTATCCTCACAACAAGCCTGTGAGATGGGTTGGGGTCAGTGGTGGTGAGCTTGATGGCTGAGTGGAAACATGGACCCTGATCTCCCAGGTCTTAGTCCAACACTTACCCGTTGCATGATGAGCCCACCAGGAGTTAAGACAGCCCTCCTAGAACCCTTCTCAGACGACTTCCTAGTAGGATTAAACTACCAGAGCTGGAAACTGCAGGTTCAGAGTCTTTGTGGGAGAAGGCCCTAATTTGCTTCTGGCAAGGAGAACCCTAGGAAGGACTCCTCAAGGTCTCCTCAAGGAGAGAGACTTCCAGCCACCCATCAGGCAAGACCTTTCCACCTGCCTTGCCCGACCCTCCAATCTCTGCTTCTCTTTTTTTTAAAATAATAATTTTTATTAAGTTTTCCATTTTAACAATCCAATCAGATCACATTGCATATTCCAAATTATACAAATACATCTCATATAATCCAAATATTCTGCCAAATTATAATTTTTTGTTGGGGCTTCCCATGCTTCAAGTTCAGTGGGGTTCCAATCATCTTATGTTTCTACTGCCTTGAGTTTCCAATAGTTCCTTCTTTAAATCTTCCTGTTGTTATCCTTCCTTCCTTCATGGCTTCTCAATTTGTATTGTATTATTTTATACACTGTGACTTGCCGTTGTTTTTATTTATTATAGTTTAGAAATTATTTATTGTAATTGTTAAGAGTGGATTTCTGTTTCATTTTTATACGCTGATATTTAATATTCTATACTCTTCTAGTGGATTGTTGAATCTGACTTTATTTGATATAAGTTGCTTATTTTAAAGTTATGTTTTATTATCACATTTTTGGATTGGATTGTTATATGGTGTACATTCTTTGCCTCTTCAGCTTGTAAACCGCCTTGGGTATAGTGAAATAGAAAGGTGGTATACAAATTAAACGTGAAATGAAAAATGAAAATTAAACATCCCTCCCCTGTTCTGACAGGTGTCCCTTCCTCCTTCTCTGGGAGAAGTGAATGACGCCATACTATAATGACTAGGCTCAGGAAGGCTTTTAAAAGTTTAATGGTTGTTTGTAGCAATTATCTCAAATTTGCATGGTAAGGAAGGGCCCTCTTTGAGTCTGCAAGCCCTTGTACTCACTGAAAAAGCATCTTTACTGTGAGGGACTGGTGGGGAGAGGGAGCAAAAAGAAGCCAAGTACTTCTCTTTGCTTTCTTTGGTAGGGTTTTAGTTCAGGTGAACAGTGTACAGTGGGACCTCGGGTTAAGAACTTAAATTCGTTCTGGAGGTCCGTTCTTAACCTGAGGTACCACTTTAACTAATGGGGCCTCCCGCTGCTGCCGTGCGATTTCTGTTCTCATCCTGAAGCAAAGTTCTGAACCCGAGGTACTATTTCTTGGTTAGCAGAGTCTGTAACCTGAAGCGTCTGTAACCCGAGGTACCACTGTAATACTTTAGAAATACAGTCATACCTTGGGTTGAAGTTGCTTCAGGTTGAGCGCTTTCGGGTTGCGCTCCGCGGTGACACGGAAGTAACGGAACGCGTTACTTCCGGCTTTCGCCGCTCGCACAGACGGTCAAAATGATGTCACGTGCATGCAAAAAAGCGGCGAATTGCGACCCGCGCAGACATGGGTTGCATTCGCTTCTGGATGCGAACGGGGCTCCGGAACGCATCCTGGTCGTATCCAGAGGTACCACTGTAAAGTGTTCTGAAATAGTAAACTCTTTGTAAGAGTTTACCCATTGACTATAGCAGCTTTCCCACCACCTTCGAAAGAGAAAACTCTACTCCCTTAAAAATAAAACTGTTTCAGCTTATGTAACTCTTCGGACGACAATCCACATAAACGAGCAAGTTGACAAATCATGGATTTTCTCACTTGGGCAAAGTGGGGTCTGCGGGTGAAAACACGGCTGTGTCTGATCACTTCTCACCACAACCTGATGGAGAAGGGAACTGAACACTTTTCCTTACCATTCTGAAGGCCCGAAATGAAGGAACTTGCATGACTGAAAAATAAATTCTGCATTCCTCTTTCAGAAAGCTTTGGCAGGGCAAAGACACTGGACTTGGAGGGAAGCCATTAAAAGGGGGAATGTGGGGCTAGAAGTTCTTCAATTGCTGTTCCATAAACCAGGGGTGAGCCATGTTAGGAAACTCAAGACATATAAGGTCACTGCCAAATACAGTAGCAGCTTAAAACCTAGGTTACGGTCGCCACAACAGAATGTCTAGGCGCCATTCCGCCCCCCCCCCCAATGAGATTTCTTTTTCCTTTTCTTCAGTTCATTTCTAGACTGCTTTATATCTCAAAGAAGAAATCTCAAAGCGCTTTACAACCCATTAAAACATCAAATAAAAAATCCAGAATAAAACAAATTCACGCTGCAAGGAAAATATTTCAGACCCTTCTCCAAGTGACATTTTGCTTCCCCCCATATTTATTTGCCTACTTAATTTAGCTCATAGCACAGCAGAAGTACTCTAGGAAGCCAGGGTGATGTAGTGGTTAGAGCAGGGGTCAGCAAATGTTTTCAGCAGGGTCCACTGTCCCTCAGACTTTGTGGGGGGCCGGACTATATTTTGAAGGGAAAACAACGAACGAATTCCTATGCCCCACAGATAACCCAGAGATGCATTTTAAATAAAAGGACACATTCTACTCATGTAAAAACAGGCTGATTCCTGGACCGTCCGCTGGCCGGATTTAGAAGGCGATTGGGCCGGATGCGACCCCTGGGCCTTAGTTTGCCTACCCATGGGTTAGAGTGTTGGAGTAGGACCTAGGAGATCAGGGTTCAAATATGTACTCGGTCATGAAGCTGACTGGGTGACCTTGGGCCAGTCACAGGCTACCTCACAGGATCATTGCAATGATTAACTGCTTAGCTGCTTAAGAAAGCCGGAGGGGCCAGCCAGGTGGAGATGACAGGTGCCAACCTGGCATTCAAAGATCTCCAAGTGGTCGCAACTGGACCTACGCCAGTCACAAAACGTGCCTGGCACCTGGCTAATTTTAAAAGGGGGGTGGGTGAGGAAGCTGTGGCCTTCCAGATATTGGCAAACTTCAACTCCCTTCTTCCCTGACTATCGGCGACGTTCCCGGGGACCATCCTAACCCCAGCCAACCTAAGCTGGATAGGTAAAGATAAAGGGACCCCTGACCATTAGGTCCAGTTGTAGTCGACTCTGGTGTTGCGGCGCTCATCTCGCTTTACTGGCCGAGGGAGCCAGCGTACAGCTTCTGGGTCATGTGGCCAGCATGACTAAGCCGCTTCTGGCGAACCAGAGCAGCGCACGGAAACGCTGTTTACCTTCCCGCTGGAGAAGGTATTTATCTACTTGCACTTTGACGTGCTTTCAAACTGCTAGGTTGGCAGGAGTAGGGACTGAGCAACGGGAGCTCACCCCATCGCGGGGATTCGAACCGCTGACCTTCTGATCGGCAAGTCCTAGGCTCTGTGGTTTAACCCACAGCGCCACCCGCGTCCCAAGCTGGATAGCATCCTCCAAATCAGGCACCCCCAAACCCGGCCCTCCAGATGTTTTGGGACTACAACTCCCATCATCCCTAGCTAACAGGTCAGGGATGATGGGAATTGTAGTCCCAAAACATCTGAAGGGCCGAGTTTGGGGATGCCTGTTCCAAATCCTTAAATTTCCTGAGGGGTCAATGTAAGGAGTGCCAGGCGTGCGTGACACTACGGCACACCCAGTTAACACCTATCAGATGACCAGGTTCAGGATCTGGTCTCTCCAGCTAGGCAAGCTTTTGTAGTGGTAAGTGAGCTCACGCCCACCCCAGCTCTGCTTTGGCGTAGCACCCCACTGGGGAAAACAGGTTCTGGCAGCATCGCACAAAGGCTATAGTTAAAAGACATGATGAAGTAGCTGGAGCATTTCCCCTGTCCAAAAAAAAAAAAAAAAAAAAAAAAGCTAAAGCACATGGAAATTACTTGGGGGGGGGGAATAAATGAATCAGATAATCATAGAATTGTAGAGTTGGAAGGGACCCTGAGGAAAAACAAATGGAACCAGGTTAGCTTTGCCGTGGTTTAATGTATTTTTAATCTTTGTATTAAACGTATTTTGGGATGCGGGTGGCGCTGTGGGTTAAACCACAGAGCCTAGGGCTTGCCGATCAGAAGGTCGGCGGTTCAAATCCCCGCGACGGGTGAGCTCCCGTTGCTCGGTCCCTGCTCCTGCCAACCTAGCAGTTTGAAAGCACGTCAAAGTGCAAGTAGATAAATAGGTACCACTCCAGCGGGAAGGTAAATGGCGTTTCCGTGCGCTGTTCTGGTTCGTGACATGCTGGCCACATGACCCGGAAGCTGTACTCCGGCTCCCTCGGCCAATAAAGTGAGATGAACCCCAGAGTCGGTCACGACTGGACCTAATGGTCAGGGGTCCCTTTACCTTTACCTTTATTAAATGTATTTTAATGTATTTTTAATCTCTGTTGGAAGCCACCCAGAATGGACGGGGTACAAATAATAATTTTTTAAAATTTATTATTATTATTATTATTTAGTCCAAGTCCATGCAATGCAAGAATATGCAGCTAACCTATATGGGGATCAAACCTGCAACCTTGCCGTTATCAGCACCACGCTCTAATTGAGCTACCTAGGCTGAGAGACAAGGATGGTTAAGACAGAGGTGCGCAAAATCAGGCATGGTATTGGGGAGGGGGAATGTCCCCGCCCCTTTCAATGCTAAAACTGAGGGTCACCCTGTTAAACTGGTTGGCCAGCAGACTGGGGACAGACAAAAGAAAGTCACACAATGCATTCCTAGACCACAATTCCCATCATCCCTAAACACTGGCTAGGCCTGATGGGAGCTGGAGTCCAGGAACAGCTGAAAGACCACAGGTTCCCCAGCCCTGACGCAATGTATTGAACTTATGGCCACAAGAGACAATGGCCATAGGCTTAGATGGCTCTAAAATGGGATTGGACCTATCCTCTATAAATGGGCCTATCGATAGGTATTAGCCATAGTAATTAGTCCAACAGCCATGGAGAGGGCTGTTGGGTTCAAGCCCTGCTGTGGGCTTCCCAGAACCATCTAATTCAGCCGGGAGGCGGGGGCGGGCGAGCTGTTGATGGACCATCTCCCATCAGCTCCAGGCAACATGGCCACTGGTGATGGAAGATGGGAACTGTAGTCCAACAGCATATTGAGGGCCGAAGTTTCTCCATTCCTGCTTTAGCTAGACATAGGTAAAGGTAAAGGGACCCCTGACCATTAGGTCCAGTCGTGGCCGACTCTGGGGTTGCGGCGCTCATCTCGCTTTATTGGCCGAGGGAGCCGGCATACAGCTTCCAGTTCATGTGGCCAGCATGACAAAGCCACTTCTGACGAACCAGAGCAGGGCACGGAAACGCCGTTTACCTTCCCGCCAGAGCGATACCTATTTATCTACTTGCACTTTCACGTGCTTTCGAAGAGCTAGGTTGGCAGGAGCAGGGACCAAGGAATGGGAGCTCACCCCGTCGTGGGGATTTGAACTGCCGACCTTCTGATCGGCAAGTCCTAGGCTCTGTGGTTTAACCCACAGCGCCACCCGCGTCCCATACATGCTTCCATTTTTACTACTGTTGTTGTTGTTGTTTAGTCATTTAGTCGTGTCCGACTCTTCGTGACCCCGTGGACCAGAGCATGTCAGGCACTCCTGTCTTCCACTGCCTCCTGCAGTTTGGTGAAAAATTTTACTACTAAGCAGGATTAAATAGGAGGTGCTCAAAGTACATTACAAAGAAAGACTCTGTCTGTGTGGACAACCCTGCGTCGAGGACCTGTGCCATTACAGTGGTACCTCAGGTTACATATGCTTCAGGTTACATACGCTTCAGGTTACAGACTCCGCTAACCCAGAAATATTACCTCGGGTTAAGAACCATGCTTCAGGATGAGAACAGAAATCGTGCTCCGGCGGCGCGGCAGCAGCAGGAGGCCCCATTAGCTAAAGTGGTGCTTCAGGTTAAGAACCGTTTCAGGTTAAGAACGGACCTCCGGAACGAGTTAAGTATGTAGCCAGAGGTACATACTTATTTATTGCAGTGCCCATTATATATAGACCCAAGAGACCGATTTATAAAACCCCTGTTTATGAGTGGAATATATCTGAATAGGGTGGAAAGGGTGAAATGGCTGCTGAGTGACACCGACGACTTTGTTACTTATAAAGTAGCACTCTATGGGCTGGTAGCTAAGAAGATCAGGAGGAAGGAACTAGATAAAATAGCGGTCAACTGCAAAGGGGATTCGGATATTTAATTTGGCACATCTTACCTGAGAATCTTCTGCTACTCTATTCTATTTAATGCAACAAATAATTTTAGTAGCCGTGAACGTGGTTTTATTGTATGTGTGGTGCCCGATGATTGTTATGGTTATGGTTATTGTTGTTGTTTTTTGTTGTTCTCCTTCTGAATAAAGCCATGGCCTATGGCTAGTGCAATAAAAAGTTTAATTGGAAATTGGAAATAAGAGGTGCTCCCCAGCCATGGCAGAGGAAAGGAAGGGGAAGGAATAATAATAATAATAATAATAATAATAATAATAATAATTTATACCCCGCCCACTCTGGGCAGCTCAAAGAAGCATGTGTATATTTAGCCCCCAATAACTTGTCTCTGGGATTTGTGATGCAACCTTTTCATGCCTTCAGCCAAATCATCTACCGCCCCAAATTTTGTTTCCTCTTGGGAGGGCAACAGGACCTACAAATGCAGCCATGTGTTGGCAAACCAAGGCTACAACTCGCTGGGCAGTCCAGCTTGGAGATCCCTTCCCCCTCCTCCCAACCCAGGGCTGGCGCTTCCTCTTCCGTGGACGTCTAATAACACCTCTGCGGAGATCTGGAGAACCCCAAACCTGTTCCTTCCAGGCTGCAGTGATGCATCGCCTCCAACATGTCACATCCCGTTCCTCTTGACAGGACCTGCCTTTGTGACTGGAGAAGTTTCAGAGCAGAAAGGTGTGCGTGAGTGTGAGAGAGAAAGAGACTCCCAATTTTCCCAGCAGATCCCGCTTCAGGTTAAGCTAAACCTTTTCAAGGCCCTTGGCCAGCTAGACCGCAAACTGCTTCTCTACAACGTTTTGCCTGTACAGTGGTACCTCGGGTTCAGAACTTAATTTGTTCTGGAGGTCCGTTCTTAACCTGAAACTGTTCTTAACCTGAAGCACCACTTTAGCTAATGGGGCCTCCTGCTGCCATCGCGCCACCAGAGCACGATTTCTGTTCTCATCCTGAAGCAAATTTCTTAACCTGAGGTACTATTTCTGGGTTAGCGGAGTCTGTAACCTGAAGCGTCTGTAACCTGCGGTACCACTGTACCACACTTCGTCCAAGGATCACAGGGCGGCTTACAATGTAAAAATACATAAATACATACCATCGTAACAAACAATAGCCCCCACACACTGTTTAAAAGGCCATAGATTGCTTAATTAGCCAAAGGCCTGGGAGAAGAGGAATGTTTTTGCCCGGTGCCTAATGATAGGTAACGAAGGCGCCAGGCGAGCCTCCCTGGGGAGAGCATTCCACAAGTGGGAAGCCACCACAGAAAAGTCCCTGCTCTCGTGTTGCTGCTCTCCAGATCTCTTGCAGAGGAAGCCCACAAGTGCAAAGGTATGCCTAGCATCCAAAGTACTAGGTCAGAGAAAGGAAATATTTTATTAGAGGGAACAGGTTTGTTCTACCCTAGAGAATATCATTATTCCTGTAAAAAAAATCAACTGGCACAAATCTACGGCTGTCAAGAAATTCATCCTTTGGAGCTGGTCTGGGTCCTATTCTGGAAGAGGCAGTTGGGTGGGCAATAGGGCAATAGAGGGAGGAATTGGCGGTGCCCCTTTTGCTTCCCAGGGAGAAAGCAGAGGGAAATGGAGGGTGGGGAAGATGAATGGCTCCTTTCTGAACTCCGGTCGCGCTGTGAAGGGCCCTGTGTCCCAGCCAGCCAAAAGGCAGCCCTGCTCTCTGTCACTCTTGAAGCTGGCCAAGCTTCAGCTCTCCATGATTTCCTTTTGCCCACGGTGAAAAGGAAATGGGCTGGGAGGAAGAGGTGGCCAAGCAGCCAAGACAACAGCTCATTCTGCATAATTCATGGCCGTAGAATTACATAAGGATTATGAATATGAGGAGACACCCGCTCCCCAACTCACGTTGCCAGCAAATCATTCCTGCCACTTAGTTCATGCTACCTATCCGGAGAAAGCGCACCCTCCCCCGAAATTGGGAGGATGAGGAGACGGGCAGTGCTGCCCTGGGGACGGCTCCCAAACTGCTTACAGGATGGAGACAATCACGCCGATGGGGCCGGGGGTGCTATCCTGCAGGTTAGATCGGCCCCAAAGAGCATATATCCTAGGTGCAAAAGCGCCTGAAGAAGTTTATGCACCGATTTCTACCGCGCCAGTCCTCCTTGGATCCACCTTCCTTTGCTCCTTTGCAAATCAAGAACGCAGGTCCAGGGCTGCATGAGTCAAGGCTCACTAAAGCCTCCGAACACGTTTCAAGCGAATTCCTTTACACTGAGTAAAGCGAGCAATTCTCTCCCCCCGCCCGCGACGCACAGGACAGAGCTTCCAAAGGCGAAGCCGCAGTTAACCTGCGCGAATTTACGTCCCAGGCGCGTTCAGAACACTTTGTCCTCCTGGTCCCGTCCCGCTCCCCCCCCCCCGGGGGAATCGGGGGCGCGGGGACGAGTTAAGGCACGCGGGCTCCTCTAGGGTCGCAAAAGCGCAAGGTATTAAAAAAAATAAAAGTGAGATCTGCCGGCCAGCTCTGCAGAAGCTGCAGTCCCCGGGCGGGAATAGGACGCAGCAAGTAACTCCGGGAGCTGCCCAACTCACCTCGTCGCCTTTGCTGCGCAATTCGAAGGACTCCTCGGCTTCGTCGTCGTCCGCCCCCCCTTTGCCTGCCTCGCCATAGTCGCGTCGGAGCAAGGTGAAGCCTTGCCTGCAGCACAGCAACCACCACAAGCCGCCGGGGAACGGCATCCGGCGCCTGAGCTCGCCGCGGGAGCCTCGATCCGCGCGCGCAAGGCGAGCCAAGGAAAGGACGGTGCGCCCAGGGCGCGTTTGGAGACGCCAAACAGGGACCCTCCCGGCGCGCAGCTCCCCGGCCGTCTGGCGCGCTCGCTCAGCCCGCGCTCGCCCCGCCCCGGCTCTCCCCGCCCCCGAGCTAGGGAAGAGGAGGAGGAGGAGCGCGTCCAGGCCCAGCCCCGCCGGTTGCCCCGGGAGGAGCCGCCCTTTCCGGGGGGCCGGCAGCCGGATGCGTCACGCGGACCGGCTGGGAGAGGGAGACAGGCCCAGGGCGCGCTCGGCTTCCCGCTGCCCCGGAGCCGGAGGCAAAGCAGGCGGGCGGGCTCCGGTCTGGTGCCAAAACTCAAGGATCGGGGCCGGGTAGAGCGATCGGGGCGGCTCAGAAAGCGCCGCCGGGACGGGGCTGCGCCTTTTCCCGACTTCGGCTGGAGAAGGGAAAGCGCAGGGGCGAGTTGGGGAGGGGTCTCGATCCGAGGTATCTGAAGCCTCTGGTAAGGCGGCAGGGAGGCTTCTGCTCGAGAAGCAAGAGGCGCAGTTCTCCTGAGCATATGCAGAGGTTTTCGTTCCTCGGCTGCAGTGGCGTTAACCGGCTCCCCGTCCGCCCTCTTAAGTACACACCTGGAGTTGTAATGGAGGGTAATATGTGATTTCCTGGCGAACTCGGAAGGCAGGTTTCGCACGCCGAATAGCCTCCAACATTCCCCGATGGAGAGAGGGACGTCAACTGGGCAGCTTACAACATATATAGAAACATAATGAAACGTTAAACAGAAAAAATTCCTTATGTAGTGCTGCCGTGAGATATCACCTAAAGGTTATATAGTTACTTATCTCCTTGGCTCTGGAGTTGCCTAACTCCATACCCTCCTACATTTCTCTGATGAAAACAGGGACGTCCTAAGGAAAAGCGGGTCATTCCAGGATCAAATCAGAAACCGGGACGATATCTATGGATCTGGAACTGTCCCTGGAAAATAGGGACACTTGGAGAGTCTGGACCAGCCTTGAAAGATGTGGAACATAATAAAAAAGGAGAGTTGTTCTGAGAATGGGCAGACTCGCTTTTTCTCTATTCCCAGGGCATTTTTAAAAATCCTTCTGCATGACAGAAATTAAGAACTCTTAGGCACGTCAGGTTCTTTGCGGTAGCTCCAGAGAAGCTGCGAAACATTCGACTGGGGAAGACAAGTCTATCAACAGCTATCAATCACCCAACTATTAATTAGCCTCCGTTTTGGGAGGTGCTATGTGATTAAATACTAGGCTAGCCAGCAGTAGGGAAGGGTGGCTGTTGACTTCACGTCCTGCTCTTGAGTTTCCCTGGAGGCGTTTAGTTAGCCACTGTGGGAAACAGGATGTGGATTAGATGGTTTCCTTGGCCTGATCCCACAGGGCTCTTATTAGGCTTTGCATTTCAAAGGCGGTGGCAGCAGGTCTGCAACTGCCTCTTCCTTCACCCATCAGCTTTTCCCATCAGCTAATGAGAAAACAAGTTGCATCTGAGGTTGTTTTTTTTAGTGAATTTCGTGGTTTTTGTTGCACTTACCTTACCTCTGAGGAGGCCAAGGATATTCGTGTATGACAGTTCCTTCAGTCGACAAATCATCTCACCAGCAGTCTGCACTTTGCAGCCTCCCCAGGTGCCCAAGTTTCAGCTAGAGCTCAGGGGAAACCTTTATGAGGCAATCTTTCTTGTGAGAGGGTAAGGAAGTGTAAGGAACCAAGGAGGCTGTACATGTGCTTGAGAAATGTTTACCAGAAAGAAAAACATACACCACCCTTCTCCACCTCTCAACAATAAGGAAGGCTCAAAACCTCGCAGCCACTGAATTTCTAAAGAACCCTGAGAATGATGCAAAAAATAAAGTAGCAATTTTTAGTTTTTTTGCAGAGGATGAAAACTCAAGTAACTGGAGGACAAATACCAACACAGCACTGTGCAAAGTCTTTGTTATTCTGCCATATTCAAAACAACCATTTTCACATTTGATGTTAAAAATGTGTTTCTGAGTATACCTCTTGCTCTGTTTATACTACATGTTACTCATGTGGAAAAGAAAGCAGAACAGCATGGAATTTTGACACTGTACATTTTTCTAGCTGCTTGTTGCAGACTGATCTAAAATAGCTAGGAAGATTTCAAATTGCGGTTTGTGGTTTTGCTTTCAAACAGCTGCAGGGACCCTGGTTTTTATATCTCCCCCCTTGCCATTTTTCAGGTAAAAGACTGGCATGAGAAGGGCATCTGGCGCCCCTTCCATGCCCCTACCCAGTTTAGGGGGCTCAGGTGGGCTTTTTTTTTTTAGGGGGACGGACTGAAACCTATCCTGCTGCAGTCAAAATCTGAAGCCTCCATAGCTGCTTTTAATTGGGAAACATTAAAAGAAATATATAAAGAAACCCTGTCATGGCTCTCCTGAATCATATTTCAGAATTTTTGCAACTATGCATGAGGGGAGGGTGAAATGATATTAATAGGTAGCTAAACTGTGTTAAGTTGCGCCCAACAGCTAAGGTGCAATTGGTCATTTTAGTTGTACGGTCCTAAGGACACCCCCCCACACACACTATTTAGACAGTAAGTAAGGGCTTCAAAATGTAGTAAGATAACCCTGCTGCATTTGTGGGCCTTGTTGCTAATTCGGCTTGGACTTTGGCCTCCCGCAGTCCTCCCCTGATGGCATCGCTGCTGCCAAGTAGATTCCTGGAATGGCATCTCTTGCCTGGTCAGTTTATCCAAGGCAGCTGAGTCTGAACGGCTTTCTGAAAGAATTATGCCCTGAGATTCCACCACCATCCCTGGTTTGGATCCTCTGCTTTGCAGGGATCAGAGCTTTTGGCATCTCTCAAAATCTTTACAGATCCAATCTTCAGGGAAGAATGTCAAAAGAGCATGAGAGGGAGGTGTTGGCAGGCTGAAGGGAACGCCAAGTCTGCAGTATCTTTGGGGTGAGGACTCAGTGGACACAGGATGCTGCCTGTTTTGGGGCAGGGGGAGGGGAGAAAACTCTTCTTTTTATCCCCATATTGCGGGTTGAACTGTACACAGCGATTCTGCAGTATAAAAAGGTAAAGGGACCCCTGACCATTAGGTCCAGTCGTGGCCGACTCTGGGGTTGCGGCGCTCATCTCGCTTTACTGGCCGAGGGAGCCTGCGTACAGCTTCCGGGTCATGTGGCCAGCATGACTAAGCCGCTTCTGGCGAACCAGAGCAGTGTACGCAAACGCCGTTTACCTTCCCGCCGGAGCGGTACCTATTTATCTACTTGCACTTTGATGCGCTTTCGAACTGCTAGGTTGGCAGGAGCAGGGACCGAGCAACGGGAGCTCACCCCGTCACGGAGATTCGAACCGCCGACCTACTGATCGGCAAGTCATAGAATCATAGAGTTGGAAGAGACCACAAGGGCCATCAAGTCCAACCCCCTGCCAAGCAGGAAACACCACCAGAGCACTCCTGACATATGGTTGTCAAGCCTCTGCTTAAAGACCTCCAAAGAAGGAGACTCCACCACACTCCTTGGCAGCAAATTCCACTGTCAAACAGCTCTTACTGTCAGGAAGTTCTTCCTAATGTTTAGGTGGAATCTTCTTTCTTGTAGTTTGGATCCATTGCTCCGTGTCTGCTTCTCTGGAGCAGCAGAAAACAACCTTTCTCCCTCCTCTATGTGACATCCTTTTATATATTTGAACATGGTTATCCTAGTCCTAGGCTCTGTGGTTTAAACCACAGCGCCACCCGCGCTGACATTTTAAATTCCCTGCCCTGGAGCTCAAGACCACCCTTCCATACCTCATACATACATCACAGAAGGGGTGTAACCCAAGACCACCCCCCCACAAACATCATACCTACATCACAGAAAAGGTGGTCTACAACAGAAATTTGAATGCTGTTTTTCCTGTCTGCCACGTTATCTGATAATGCCTTATCTGATTGCCTTTCCGGGTAGTCTGGCCATTCCTTTGAAATGCTTATTTTACACATTTTTTTTTTTAGTTCATTATATATCATTTCCCAGAAAGTCTTTACAGTGGTGCCCCGCAAGACGAATGCCTCGCAAGACGGAAAAACCGCTAGACGAAAGGGTTTTCCGTTTTGAAGTTGCTTCGCAGGACGAATTCCCCTATGGGCTTGCTTCGCAAGACGAAAATACCTTGCGAGTCTTGAGATTTTTTTCGCTTTTCCCCTTTATCTAATCTGCTAAGCCTTTAATAGCCTTTAATAGCCTTTTAGCAGCTAATCCCTAAGCCTTTAAGCCTTTAATAGCCGCTAAACAGCTGATAGCGCTAATAGCGCTAATCCGTCAATGGGCTTGCTTCGCAAGACGAAAAAACCGCTAGACGAAGACTCTTGCGGAACGGATTAATTTCGTCTTGCGAGGCACCACTGTATTACCTTACACAGCCACCACATATGATAAAAGGTACCTCCCTTTTCTTTACAGGTATTTGTACTTGTTCTATACATTTTTTCTAACTTACTAAGTGTCAAATACCGCTGGTACAACATTTTCATCTAATTTTCTTTCAGCGTACAACATGCTGTAAATTTCAGATCTGTTTTCCATTGCCTTTCCCAATCTGCAGTCTGAATGTTATACCCCGAATCCTTTGCCCAGTGTATCATTACACATGCAATGTATCCTTGCAGGCACCAGGCAGAGTGGTGGGCAAGTGCTGGTGGGGTTTGGAAAACCGATGCCCAAGGTGTGAGGGTGTCCTTTCCCCAGCACGGCACAAAGACCCAGCCACCCATCCTGTTGGCTTCCGAACGAGAAACGGGGTGTCTGCGTGAGGTGTCCTCCTCCTTCACCTCTCACAGGAAAACGTCCTTGTGGCTGGTGCTGAAAAGAGGTGCTGGGCCTAAGCGATGGCTTTCACGCGCAGCTTCCTCTTTCCACGAAATCCCCGCCTGAGGAACGTCTCCACCGTTGTGGGGAAGCGGCCTTCCTAAGGGGGGACTTCTCTTTTGATTCATTTCCTGTGGAAGACTAGACTCAAGTTCCCAGGCTTGCCACTTCCCCAAACGGCTGCAAGTGACAAGAACTAGCATGGTGTACCACCAGCAGATGGACTTCTCTTTTCCCAGAGGGGACGTCAGGGGCTGGGCCTGCTTTGCAAAGTCAGATCGTAAGCCCCCTTGGAAGACTAGGTAAAGGAAAAGGTACCCCTGACCATTAGGTCCAGTCGTGGCTGGGTTGCGGCGCTCATCTCGCTTTATTAGCCGAGGGAGCCGGCGTACAGCTTCCAGGTCATGTGGCCAGCATGACTAAGCCGCTTCTGGCAAACCAGAGCAGCTGTTTACCTTCCCGCCGGAGTGGTACCTATTTATCTACTTGCACTTTGATGTGCTTTGGAACTGCTAGGTTGGCAGGAGCTGGGACCAAACAAAGAAGAAGAAGAAGAGTTTGGATTTGATATCCCACTTTATCACTACCTGAAGGAGTCTCAAAGTGGCTAACATTCTCCTTTCTCTTCCTCCCCCACAACAAACACTCTGTGAGGTGAGTGGGGCTGAGAGACTTCAGAGAAGTGTGATTAGCCCAAGGTCACCCAGCAGCTGCATGTGGAGGAGGGGAGACGCGAACCCGGTTCACCAGATTACGAGTCTACCACTCTTAACCACTACACCACAAAGGGAGCTCACCCCATCACGGGGATTCGAACCACCGACCTTCTGAATGGCAAACTCTAGGCTCTGTGGTTTAGACCACAGCGCCCAATTCGTCCCAGGGCTTGGGAGACGGAAAGTCCTAAATATCCGAGTACAGTAATGTTTCCTCTGGGCTGGAACACTGTGGCCATTGAACTATTAACCACCTCAGGTTGGTCAGTCCCTCTCCACTCAGTATAATAAGCCAAGAAGGCAAGGGTTGAACATACATTAGGTGTGTCCCCATTTGTCCAGCCACCTTAGTTACATCCTCAGGCCTTGGCAACTGAAATCCACCCAACGGAAACTAGAGCGGGTAAAACTATGGAGACCTCCAAATACGGATTCAACGGTTGCGTCTGAGTCAGGGCAGACATGGGTTGTTGTTTTCTAATCCTCTGTGAGCTTTGAGAACATGTCACAGAGGGCCCTCTAGGGTTCTGCAACGTCCCCGGGCAGGCCAGATTGCAAAAAGCCCTGAAGGAACCGCAAAAGCTCTGCTGGGGGTGGCACTGGAAGGATGCAATGGTGCTGGAAAATAACTGCTTAGGCTCCCATTAGCGTCTTCTGACTTCTTGTGCTGTAGCTATCTTCCTTCCTGCTTGGTTGCCCTTTGCTCCCTAAATTACCAAGGAGCCAGTTGGGATAAGCTAAGCGGAAAAGGGTGCTGAGGAGGAAGGGTGTCAAAGGCCTGACTCATCTTCATATTCTGCAGAGTGACCTGTGCCAGCTGCGGCAACTGGAAATTCCCCAAGGCTGTCTGGACTCCTGGGGATTCCATGAGCTTCCTGGGATGAACCCTCCCCCCTTAACCAGCAGATCCATCTCGGCAGAGGGGACTAGATGCAGAGAGACTTAAGAGCGCCTCCGGACATGCGAACCATGTGTAGGAAACTTGTGCAGCAAGCAAATCAGGACGAGCGCGAGGCAAAAGTTCGTTGTCAGCCAACCACCCCATAAACTAGTCAGAAGGAATGCTCGATAAAGCCAGATATGATCTAAGTACCTGTGTTAACTTTTGTGCAAGCAGATCAGGATGAACACTCAGTGAAGAGGCCATCTGGAAGAGCCCTAAACCTCAACAGGAAGCAGTTAGATCAGGGGTTGGCAAGGTTTACCTCGCGGGACCGGTTCACTCCAGTGGAGATCCCTCCGTGGCGCCTGCGTCTGTGCAGACATGATATTCGGCGTCTGCGCAGATGCGATTTCCGGCGCCGTGGAAGCGAGTCCCTGCGCCGCACCAGTTTAGCGCAGCGTCCAGGGACTCAGCGAGCGGGCAGCTCAGTTTGGGGGTAGCTTGTGAGCCGGTTAAACGACCTTCGTGGGCCTCTTGCGGCCCATGGGCCTTAGGTTGCCGACTCCTGAATTAGATCGACAGAGGGAGGATTTATTTGGCTATAGACACTCTATGGACAAATACGAAAGAACAATAATATACAAAATGGATGAAGGCAATGCAAAAAATTTAGATGTGATATAAAAAGCCAGAAGAAGGAAGGAAGGGAGTTGGCTCTTAGGAGCAAATATAAATGTAAAATGTAATACAATATGTGTATGTGGAGTATGTTAATGAAAATCAATAAAGAATATTATGAAGGAGAAAAAAGAATTACCGTAGATTGACAGAGATGTCAGAATACCCCACTCCCCACCCCCCTTCAGAAGTAAAATGTGTGATGAGTTGGTTTTTATTTTTGTTTGATCAGGGATGTTGGAAGCCCCCTCTAGTATCTTTTTCTTAAGTGGGGTGCACACCTTTGAAATAAGTCAGTACGCTCGGATAAGCTAACCACAGATGCACCTGTTCGGAAGGGCGCATCACCTGCAAGACACGATGCACGCACCAAACATCAAGTGTGTTTGAATGCTTGCAGGTGCTATATGAAAGAGCGTTTCTCGATTGTGCAGTCTGCGTGTGTGGCGCTATGTGACTTTTCACGGCTGCAAAAGTAACAGGGTTTACATGCAAAGGGGGGAAAAGAGAGCATGCGACGGTTAAAATTCCACTGGGAGGACAGTCTCCAGCCCAGCCAGACAAGTGTGGGAGTGAATTTGGCAGTCCTGCATTTCCTCTGTCCAGAGCTCAGCCCGAACCCACCCAGTTGTTCTGAGATGCTGCTTGACCCAGCATTTACGCCAAAGCGGGGGCAAGCAGGTTTAACCCCTGCTAAACCTCAACAGTGGGAGATGTTGGGAATCAGGAAGACTGAAGGAAAACTAGGCACTGAGCCCGACAAGCTCATGTTTATTACTGCTCACATTTTTATCAACAAGTCTGAAGGCTTAGAATCGTTCAAAATCAAGTAGTAAAAAAATAAGAAATTTGAAAGCTTTGTTTGTGTATATATCTAAAAGCAGTGCTTTTTTCTGGGGTAACACAGGGGTACGCATACCCCTAAACATTTTGTGAATCTTTGTACTTTTGTCCATTTACTGTATTTATTTCCCCCGATTTGAACTATAAAATCGTGGTTTTCTTGAATCAAAATGAGAGTACCCCTAAACATTTTTAAAGAAAAAAATCACTGTCTAAAAGTGTGTGTGTTTCAGTTTTACTAAGTAAAAACAGCTGGTTTCCAGCCAGAAGTGACATTAATGGAAAATATGGTATTTTTCAAAAGTGTCAGGGAGCAGTGAACAAGAGTCCGCAACAAAATGTTGCAGTTTGCCCTGGTTTGCATGTGTGAACCTGATCCTGTGGCTGAATTGGTTGGGCAAGGGGGAGAGTTAGTATCAAAGGAAGGAGTCTTTGTTCTAACTTGGGTCTTACTTCATGTCTGTATGTTATGTGTGTTTTAAGGTTTTGAACGTTTAAAAATGCAACCAGTCTGCATGCAAGTCACTGGAACCGGAGTTCAGCATGTGACTGAGTGACTGGTTCCGCCTGGAAGTGCAAAGAAGCAATTTAAGTAGACTGACCTTTGCTGCAACCTGAGAGGTGTGGGGAATTTTTTGAGTGGGGAAGCAAACTAACCTCAGCCTCACCTGCAAAATTAACAGTACACTATATGGGCAGGGCTGCTGTAGACTATTCTCAGTGAAGCCCTCCAATCTGCAATACATGTATAGCAATGAATGCGGGTGGCGCTGTGGGTTAAACCACAGAGCCTAGGGCTTGCCGATCATAAGGTTGGCGGTTCGAATCCCCGCGACGGGGTGAGCTCCCGTTGTTCGGTCCCTGCTCCTGCCAACCTAGCAGTTCTAAAGCACGTCAAAGTGCAAGTAGATAAATAGGTACCACTCTGGTGTTTCCGTGCACTGCTCTGATTCGCCAGAAGTGGCTTAGTCATGCTGGCCACATGACCCGGAAGCCAGCTCCCTCAGCCAATAAAGCGAGATGAGCGCCGCAACCCCAGAGTCGGCCACGACTGGACCTAATGGTCAGGGGTCCCTTTACCTTTATATAAGGGCAGGCACACCTTGGTTCTGGGTCCTCCTCCTTTCCTGCTTGTGAGGGGAGGACCCTGTTGCAACAGCTTTAATAAAGATCAGGCTTACTAGCTGCTTTGCTTCTCAATATTCTCTGGTTGGCCTCTGTTATTTTCTCCTACCAATAGGGAACCCACTTAAGGACTCTATACGGGCTCTTGATATCCCATAAGGGAAGAAGGGCAGATTTTGTTTACAACACTTCCCACAGACATCTGGTTGGCCACTGTGAGAACGGGGTACTGGACTAGGTGGGCCATTGGTCCAGACCCTCCAAATATCTCTATTTTCCAGGGACAGTCCCGGATTTACGGAAGCCGTCCCGGTTTCTGATTTGACCCCGAAATGTCCCACTTTCCCTTAAGACGTCCCTATTTTAATGTTGGAGAGCGTGCTGTTACATTCTTAGGCACTAAATAACTTTGGACAGCCTGTGTAGGATTCGGAAGTGGGGCATATCTTTCTTTAGCAGTTCACCCCTTCCCCCCCATTGATTTTCCAAAAAATTTCAACAGACAAACAAACAAACAAACAAACAAACAAACAAACAAACAAACAGATCTTAACTGTACTTAATCCAATCTTAGTACTGTAACATTGTTAAGTGACTTCCTCAAATCCCCCTGGCTCAATTTCAGTGTACAGTGGTACCTCAGGTTAAGTACTTAATTCGTTCCAGAGGTCCGTTCTTAACCTGAAACTGTTCTTAACCTGAAGCACCACTTTAGCTAATGGGGCCTCCTGCTGCTGCCGCGCCACCGGAGCACGAAACTGTTCTTAACACAAACCTGCCAGCTAATGGGGCCTCCTGCTGCTGCCGCGCCACCGGAGCACGATTTCTGTTCTCATCCTGAAGCAAAGTTCTTAACCCGAGGTACTATTTCTGGGTTAGCGGAGTCTGTAACCTGAAGCATATGTAACCTGAAGCGTATGTAACCTGAGGTACCACTGTATATCTTTGCTAATTTTACAGGGGTTAAGTACCATCTATACATCATTTTCATAATATTTCCCTTTAACACTGTACATGCAGTGAACTTGACCCCTTTCCTCCACAACAGCAGTTCACCCTTAGCAGAAGCACCACGGAAGGTGGGGAGCGTGCCGGAAATTGCCTGAACGGGGCTGCATTGACTTGACTTTTCCTTTGCTGCAGCTTTATCGACGGGGGAGAGGCTCTGCACAAGTTCCTGTTCCCCGTTCCCCTTTCCCCCTTCGCATCCTGCTGGCCTTTAAACGCTGGCAGGCCCCCATCCCTTACTCTGCAAGCTTAGATCAGGGTTCCTGCTGGAATCTCTGCCCCCATAGCTGCCATGCTGGTAGCTAGGGGACAAATCCAAACCCTGTAGGCGAAGGCAGGGCAGCGCCAGGCCTGCTCTGTCTTCTCTTGCTTAGGAGCTGCCGAACCGGCTTGGCTGCTTTGCTGTCACCACGAGGTTGCCTGGAGCGTTCAGATGGGTTGAAAGAGGCGGAAACGCAGCATGGGGACGGCCGTGAGCAGTGGCTTACTGGCCCATCGCCTCACCCTGGGGTGGCTGGGGCCCCGTGCTTTTGGGCAGCTGTACGGCAAGCCGAAGTTCAACAGGTGCAGCTTTTGCTTGCCATAATAATAATAATAATAATAATTTATTATTTATACCCTGCCCATCTGGCTGGGCTTCCCCAGCCACTCTGGGCAGCTTCCAGAAAAATATTAAAATACTGTAATACATCAAACATTAAAAGCTTCCCTAAACAGGGCTGCCTTCAGATGTCTTCTAAAAGTCTGGTAGTTGTTGTTCTCTTTGACATCTGGTGGGAGGGCGTTCCACAGGGAAGGCGCCACTACCGAGAAGGCCCTCTGCCTGGTTCCCTGTAACTTGGCTTCTCACAGTGAGGGAACTGCCAGAAGGCCCTCGGTGCTGGACCTCAGTGTCCGGGAAGAATGATGGGGGTGGAGACGTTCCTTCAGGTATACTGGACCAAGGCCGTTTAGGGCTTTAAAGGTCAGCACCAACACTCTGAACTGTGCTCAGAAACGTACTGGGAGCCAATGTAGGTCTTTCAAGACCGGTGTTATATGGTCTCGGCGGCCGCTCCCAGTCACCAGTCTGGCTGCTGCGTTCTGGATTAGTTGTAGTTTCCGGCTCACCTTCAAAGGTAGCCCCACGTAGAGCGCATTGCAGTAGTCCAAGCGGGAGATAACCAGAGTATGCGCCACTCTGGCAAGGCAGTCTGTGGGCAGGTAGGGTCTCAGCCTGCATACCAGACAGATCTGGTAGACAGCTGCCCTGGACACAGAATTGACCTGCGCCTCCATGGACAGCTGTGAGTCCAAAATGACTCCCAGGCTGCGCACCTGGTCCTTCAGGGGCACAGTTACCCCATTCAGGACCAGGGAATCCTCCACACCTGCCCGCCTCCTGTCCCCCCAAAACAGTACTTCTGTCTTGTCAGGATTCAATCTCAATCTGTTAGCCACTTTGGCTTGCCTCATGCGCCTGCAACATCAGGCAGAAGTGCTGGTTGAAATTATGCCTGCCATGCAGCTGTTGCAAAAGATAAAAGAGCCCTGCCTGGAACTAATCTCTATCCTGACCTCCATATGAAGAAAACAATGGAAGAGCAGAAACCGACACATACACACAAATGCAAGCAAACAGAAAATAACATTGTAAGGTATTGGAACAGTAAAGGCAGCAGGATCCCATGGAAAATACTATACAGTGGTACCTTGGTTCTTAAACTTAATCCGTTCCGGAAGTCCATTCCAAAACCAAAGCGTTCCAAAACCAAGGTGCGCTTTCCCATAGAAAGTAATGCAAAATGGATTAATCCGTTCCAGACTTTTAAAAGCAACCCCTAAAACAGTAATTTAACATGAATTTTACTCTCTAACGAGACAATTGATCCATCAGATGAAAGCAAGAATAAGACAGTGTTGTAGATGATAAAAATTAAAAATAACGTTTTTTTCTTACCTGCACTGATAATAGCCATTGTTTGTTTTTATCCATTTCCGCAGTCACACAGTCATTCATTTAATCAGTAGCTGAACTGGGTTCCACACAGTCACAAAAACAAATTAACCGAAAAAGCCTCAAAAACAAAAGCGCAAAATAAATAGCAAAAACAAAAGCGCCAAACAATCTGTTCCAGAAGTCTGTTTGACTTCTGAAATGTTTGAAAACCGAGGCGCAGATTCCGATTGGTGCAGGCGCCCCAGAAACAATAGCTGACAGCCGCATCAGACGTTCAGCTTCCAAAAAACATTCGAAAACCAGAACACTTATTTCTGGTTTTTTGGCGTTTGGGAACCAAGGCGTTTGAGTACCAAGGCGTTTCAGAACCAAGGTACCACTGTATTAACTGAATGCCTTAGAGCAGGCACCCCCAAACTCAGCCCTCCAGATGTTTTGGGACTACAATTCCCATCATCCCTGACCACTGGTCCTGTTAGCTAGGGATGATGGGAGTTGTAGTCCCAAAACATCTGGAGGGCCAAGTTTGGGGATGCCTGCCTTAGAGCAAGGATGGGTGTTTATTGTGGGGGTGGTGACCCTCATCTATGCATATATATTTTTTGCAGCACCCGCATGATGTGGTTGGCATCAGAGTGCCCCATGCCCCCACTGACATTTAATCTGGAGTTACCCTTTCCAGAGGAAATGTGAAACAAACCACCCTGTTACCAATGTCCCGGTTGCAACATCTCGACAATGCGCTTGCAAATTAATCCCTCACTGGGAATTCACCCCTAAGTAACTTTACTCCTCCAGCTCAGTTGCCCTATCAGCGCAATGGGACTAACTGTGACTCGGGTGTTGATGGGGGTATGAGAAGTTGGGTTTTGCAGAGAGGAAGGGTGGACTCACCAAGCGGGGAGAAGGAGAAGGGTTCAAGGAGCACTAGAAGGAAGGTACAGACTCTTTCAAGACTTGATAAATGTGGTAAAGGTAAAGGTAAAGGGACCCCTGACCATTAGGTCCAGTCACGGACGACTCTGGGGTTGTGGCGCTCATCTCGCTTTATTGGCCAAGGGAGCCAGCATACAGCTTCCGGGTCATGTGGCCAGCATGACTAAGCCGCTTCTGGCGAACCAGAGCAGCGCACGGAAACGCCGTTTACCTTCCCGCCAGAGCGGTACCTATTTATCTACTTGCACTTTGACGTGCTTTTGAACTGCTAGGTTGGCAGGAGCAGGGACCGAGTGACAGGAGCTCACCCCGTCACGGGGATTCAAACCTCCGACCTTCTGATCAGCAAGTCCTAGGCTCTGTGGTTTAACTCACAGCGCCACCCGCGTCCCTGATAAATGTGGTACATCTACATCTACATCTTTTAAACTGCTGCTGTTTTCGCGTTTTGGGTGTTGGAGTTCGCTTTTATTGACGCATGAGGATTTACGTAGGGCTGTCTTGTTTTTATGTGAGCCACCATGAGAGGGCTTTGCCCCCAAAGGCAGCCGGCCATTTCAAATAAACAAGGAGCCGGAGAATAAGGGTGATGCCAGAGGGAAGAGATGGTATCCACCTCCGCACCCCACCCTCCACCCCAGCAAAATTCCAGAAACCTTTCCCTAATAAAAATGACAAGCAGAAAACCACAAGGCTGCCTGTAAAAATTTAGTCAAGGGCTAAATTAGAAGCAGAGAGCGTAGGAACATCTGGCCGTAGATAGATGTTATTATGAGAATATAAAAAGTGAGTCACATCCGGCAGTTTTACAAAAGGTCCAAACTTTTATACTGCGGAGAAAAGTAGAGGAGCAAGGGGGCAAAGCGTTGGAGCATGGTGAAGCCTGGGTCAAAAGCCACAGGTTCAAACTATTGGCTCTTTTCTGCGACATGCAAAACTGCCCGCTGGTGAGAGGTCCTTGCCAGCCTTTCCAATTTTGAGAAGGGCTCTGGAGTGGTTTGTTTTCAGCACAGAGCATGAGATTCTTAATATCAGGTTTGTGGGTTCAAAGACCTACGTAGGTGAAAAGATTTCTGCATTGCAGGGGATTGGACTACAGTGGTACCTCGGGTTGAGAACTTAATTCGTTCTGGAGGTCCGTTCTTAACCTGAAACTGTTCTTAACCTGAGGTACCACTTTAGCTAATGGGGCCTTCCACTGCCGCCGTGCCGCTGGCGTGCAATTTCTGTTCTCATCCTGAAGCAACGTTCTTAACCTGAGGTACTATTTAAAGGTTAGCGGAGTCTGTAACCTGAAGCGTCTGTAACCCGAGGTACCACTGTACTAGATGATCTGTGGTCCCTTCCATAGTGGCATTTGACTCCTAGTAAGTTAGCAAAAGGGACGCGGGTGGTGCTGTGGTCTAAACCACTCAGCCTCTCGGGCTTGCTGATCAGAAGGTCGGCGGTTCTAATCCCCGCGACGGGGTGAGCTCCTGTTGCTCGGTCCCTGCTCCTGCCAACCTAGCAGTTTCAAAGCACGTCAAAGTGCAAGTAGATAAATAGGTACCGCTCCGGCGGGAAGGTAAACAATGTTTCTGTGCACTGCTCTGGTTTGCCAGAAGCGGCTTAGTCATGCTGGCCACATGACCCGCAAGCTGTACGCCATCTCCCTCAGCCAATAAAGCGAGATAAGCGACGCAACCCGAGAGTTGTCCGCGACTGGACCTAACGGTCAGGGGTCCCGTTACCTTTACCTTTACGTTAAGTTAGCAAAAATGTGTAGAACAAGGACAAATAACTGCCGGAAATGTAAAGAAAAAGAAGGTACCTTTTACCATATGTGGTGGTCATGTAAAGTAATAAAAAGCTTTTGGGAGATGATATATAATGAAAAAAAAAGTTTAAAATTATGTTTGTTAAAAAAAACCCAGAAGCTTTTCTATTAGGAGTTATAGGTACCGAGATCCCAAAGGACCAGAAAAGACTCTTAATGCACCCGTCAACAGCTGCACGGATGTTATTAGCCCAGAGATGGAAGGAAGAAACCATCCTGACCAGGGAATAATGGCCAACCAAGTTGATGGACTATACTGAAATGGCAAAATTATGTGGAAAGCTCAGGCACCAAGAGGACAAGAACTTTAAAAAAGAATGGGTGGGGGAATTATAATTTAATTGTAACCAGATGAAAACATTATCAGGCTTTTAACCACACTTGTAAAGACTTGTAAAGACTTTTTGGGCATTGTCGGCCAATTGGTGCCAAAGAAGGACAGAACTTTTTTTATGTATGCTACAACAGCAGCAAGAATACTCATTGCAAAGTATTGGAAGACACAAGATCTACCCACTCTGGAAGAATGGCAGATGAAGGTGATTGACTACATGGAATTGGCAGAAATGACTGGCAGAATCCGAGACCAGGGAGAAGAGTCGGTGAAAGAAGACTGGAAGAAATTTAAAGACTATTTACAGAAATATTGTAAAATTAATGAATCTTAGAAGGATGTTGGATAGAAACTAAGTGGTTTCCAGCTGTAATGCTTTAAGAGATATGAAAAAAGGTTTACAAATGGGCAAAAGCTTAATGGTAAGGATTTGCTGAACTAACAAACTGAACTGGAATACAAAAAAGGGAGGTACGAGGAGGTCCGGGGAAATAAGTGTAAGGAAGATATGCTATGGAAAATTAATGTGTTTTTAACTGTTTTTATTTTGTATGTTTCTTTCTATTTTTCATTTCTTTGTTATACCTTAATACGGGTTTTTTTATTCTTCTTGCTGTATTTTGTATTTTCTTGTATTTTTATTTTTTGTTTTTGTGTAATTCTTGTATTCTTTGAAATTTTAATAAATATCATTTTTTAAAAAAAAGACTTGTAAAGACTATGGACAATGCAGACGGATAAAAAAAGTGGATAATGGATTGATATGCAGGCGTAAATGGTGACATTAGGACCCATGGAGAGGATGGGGAAGTCCAGAGATTCAAAGAAATCTCTTTATATAGATTTGTAATTCTTTTTGGTATACATTTGTATTTGCAAAACCAAATAAAAATCATTTCAAAAAACAAACAAGTGGTCCCTTCCAACTCTACAATTCTATGATTCGATGTCCCTCATGTGCTGCTAACCCTCATGGGGATTCTGTACCTGGGCTGTTGCAGCAGAGCTCTGAATACCAGTACCTGGAAGCCACAGGAGAAGAGAATGTTCTTGCACCCAGGTCCTGCTTGCCGGCTTGCCAAAGACATCCAGTTGTACTCTGTGAGATCAGGAAGCTGGAATAAACGGCCCACTGGCCTGATCCAGCTGGCCGTTCTTACGTTCTTATGCCGTTTGGTCTCTGGCAGCCAATGCCTTGACAGCCTTTTGCTGGAGCATTACTGCACTTCTTGGCTACAGTGGTACCTCGGGTTAAGTACTTATTTCGTTCCGGAGGTCTGTTCTTAACCTGAAACTGTTCTTAACCTGAAGCACCACTTTAGCTAATGGGGCCTCCTGCTGCCGCCGCACCACCGGAGCACAATTTCTGTTCTCATCCTGAAGCAAAGTTCTTAACCCGAAGCACTATTTCTCGGTTAGCGGAGTCTGTAACCTGAAGCGTATGTAACCTGAGGCACCACTGTATTAATGCCACCACCTGCCAATCAGCCAAACTGCTGTTTTTCTGTTCTGTTTCTGGTCAGTCATCTTTCTACAACATTGGGCCCATGTTCCGAGAGCTCCCTTACGCTTAAACCTGGAACCAGCTGCCCCTGTGGCTTCGTCAAATTTTGATGATATGGGGGAAAGTTTGCCAGCAGTTTCACTCACAAGAGGGGGGGAAATACAGGTTGTAAGACATATTCCACTTTTTCATGTTTGACCTAATCACGCGCTTGGCAACATGGATGTAATCAGCATTTACATGTAGCTCTGAGCCAGTCATGGTGAATTCCTTGCAGAGGTTCAGCCCCAAACATTTTGCTGTATTAGTTGAAGGCTCCCCACCCCATTCCACATGCAGAAGGCAAGTGGACTGGCATTTGAATTCATGGCTGTGGGATCACGATACCTCTAAAGCACATTTGAAGAACATTTCCCCCTTCAGATAATTCTGGGCGCTGTAGTTTACCCAGCAGAGTTACAATTCCCAGCAAACCTAAGCAAACTGATGGTGCCCAGAATTCTTTGAAGGGGGAGATGTGCTTCAAATGTGCTATATAGCTTCTTTCTACAGATGGTATTTGACTCCTGTAAAATTAGCAAAGATATATCATAACTGTGACAATCTATGTTGGAAATGTAAAGAAAAGGAAGGAACCTTTTATCATATGTGGTGGACCTGTCCCAAGGTGAAAGACTTCTGGGAAAAGATTTATAATGAATTGAAAAAAAATGTTGAAATATACATTTATAAAGAAACCAGAAGCCTTTCTTCTTGGAATAACAGGTTTGGAGTTGCCCAAGAAAGATGTTAAATTATTTTTGTATGCCACAACTGCTGCTCATATTTTGTTAGCTAAAAAGTGGAAAACCCAAGAATTACCAACGATAGAAGAATGGCAGATGAAGATGATGGATTTTTCGGAGCTAGCTGACCTAACCGGAAGAGTCCGCTACCAGAAGGAGGACGAGTATCAGGAAGAGTGGATCAAATTTAATGATTATTTAGTTAAATATGTTAAGTTAAATTAACTGAAAACAGCTTGCAGATACTTAATTGGCTTAGGATTTTATTTATGTTAGGTGATGAATTAATATGTTTAATTCCATAATGTGAAGATTTAAGGATGTTAATGTTTAAGTTAAATTTCATAAGAATTGGGATTTGGAAAACCGTTAAAAGGACATGCAATGAAATTCAACCAAGGGAAAGCGAGGAAGTCACTTAACAAAGTTAATAAGTGTAATTTTCAATAAGGCTATGATTTTTGTTTGTTTGTCTTGTGTGTTTGTTTGTTTATAATATTGTGAAAACCAAGAAAAAAAATTTGGGGGGAAAACAAAAAACAAATGTGCTATATAGTGTGCACGCAGCCTTAATTCAGTGTTGGTGACAGAGCAGTGTTCTCTGCTGCGCTGAAAGGTAGTAGGCTGGCTAGCTTAGAGGGCACAGGACAGGCCTCCAATATCTGGCCACTCCCTCCCTCCCTCCCTCCCTTCCAGGGAGGGCAGCTGTCTTACTCCGCCTAATAGAAGGGCCGGCCCTACTTATTTGTACGATGTTGCCAGTGTCACGATGGGACC